TCCACAGGCTGAGGTTTCCTTGGGAACCTTTGATGGAACGTTTCTATCAATACCTCGTCATTGATATCTTCAGCCATTACCCAAGTGTTTTCTGACTCGGTTCTCCTTCCCACGCTACCAAATACTCCACCTGATCCCCCTTCCACCTGGCGTCGAGGATTTCTGCCACATGGCTGCTGCATTCTCTTTCTTCTACGACCAGTCCCCGAGTGGCCAGCCCTTCTCGTCCCCCTTCGTACGGTGACAGTAACGACCTGTGAAATACTGGGTGCAGTTTCATGTGGTTGGGTAACCGGAGCCTGAAAGCCACTGGGTTGACCTGTTGAATGACCTCAAAGGGACCCAACCTCCTGGGTCTTAATTTCTTACAACCTCCTTTGAACGGCAACCCTTGGGTTGACAGCCACACCCTATCTCCCACCCTTATGGTTTCACCTTCCCTTCGGTTCTTGTCTGCCTGCCTCTTGTATTCTTCCTTCGCCCTTTCTAAGTTGAGTTGGAGCTGACGATGGATTGCTTCCATTTCTTCCACAAAATGCTCGGCTGCCGGGACGCTCCATCTCTCCCCCTCTCCACCTGGGAAAGCCCTGGGATGACACCCATAATTAGCCAAGAAGGGGCTCATCCCTGTGGACACATTCTCGGCATTGTTGTAGGCAAATTCCGCCAGCGCCAACTTTTCTACCCAGTCATTCTCTCTGTCATTGACATAACACCTCAGGTATTGCTGGAGGACACCGTTTGCTCTTTCCGCCTGCCCGTTGGTTTCAGGGTGCCGGGCAGTCGAAAAATTGACCTCCACCTGCAGTAAGCTCATGAGCTTCCTCCAGAACCTGGAAGTAAATTGTTTTCCTCGGTCTGAGACCACCCTCAATGGCACCCCGTGCAACCTAAAAATGTTTTCTACAAATAACTTCGCTGTCTCTTCCGCCGTGACTGCATGCGAGCAAGCTACAAAGTGGCACATCTTTGTTAGTAGGTCTACCACCACCATGATGGCTGTTTTCCCTTTGGACTTCGGCAGATCAGTCATAAAATCTATCGACACTGCCTCCCAAGGTCGTTCTGGGGTTGGTAAGGGTTCTAATAGCCCCGCCGGCGCCCGCCCCTTTGGCTCGCTGGCATTGCTCGCACCCTCTTACATACTCACGTACATCTTCCCTCACCTTAGGCCACCAAAATTCCCTGGTGACCAACCACATGGTTTTGTGTTGTCCAAAATGCCCCGCCGTAGGGCTGTCGTGCAACTGCTTGAGTACCCTCCCCTTAACTCTCCTTCAGGGATATACAGTGCCCCTTTGTAATACAAAGCTCCATTTCTTTCCTCAAAACCCCTGGTTCCTCTCCACCCCCCCTAAGACCTCTGAGCTTATTCTGGGCGTATTCATCATTCTCTGTTTCCTCTACCAGTTCTCTTTGTCCCACCAATGCCGCCCCACACACCCAGCGGTCTTCTGGAATGACATGTCTCTCTTCGGGTGCCCCCTCCCTCCAAATATTCAGGTTTGCGTGAGAGAGCGTCCGCCCTAATGTTCTCTGGGCCTGGCACGTAACTAATCTCAAAGTTAAATTTGGAGAACTCCTGGGCCCATCTCACTTGCCGTTGGTTGAGCACTCGTGCCGTCCTCCAATACTCTAGGTTCTTGTGGTCAGTGCACACTTGCACCTTATGTTGTGCGCCCAGTAGCAGGTGCCTCCATCTCCGGAACGCCTCATGAATGGCTAGTAGTTCTCGGTCATACACCGTGTAGTTCCTCTCGGATTTGTTCAGCTTTCGCGAAAAGATTTGGCACACGGTCTCCACTCTGACCCCTTCTTGCCTGGCTGCAGAAGCACCGCCCCAATCGCTCTGTCTGATGCGTCAGTTTCCACTCTCATCGGTTTTTGTAAATCCACATGCAGGAGTTGTTGTTCCGAGGCGAAGGCCCTTTTTAGTTCCTCAAATGCTCGCTCCGCCTCCTCAGTCCACACGAACTTCTTCTTACTGCTGAGACAGTCCGTAATGGGCGCCGTCAGGTGGGCAAAGTTTCGGATGAACTTACGATAGAAGTTTCCAAATCCTAGGAACCTCTGCACATCCTTCTTTGTTTTGGGTGTTTTCCATTCCAGCACCGCCTGGACCTTGCCGGGATCCATGGCCAAGCCCTTGTCTGACAGGCGATACCCCAGGAATTCCACCTCCTTGGTATGAAACTGACACTTCTCCAGTTTCACCCACAGCTGGTTGGCTTGCAGCCTGCTCAACACTTCTCTGACGTCTCTCACATGCTGCTCCTCATTCTCAGAATACACCAACACGTCGTCTAAAAGGCCACACAATTCTTGTAAAGCAAAGGCCCCAGGACGTGGTTCATAAACGATTGAAATGTTGCGGAGCCTGCTTGTAGGCCGAAGGGCATAACCAAATATTCAAATGCCCCTAAAGGGGTGAACATAGTGGTTTTCCATTCATCCCCTTCCTTATTCGTACCAGGTTGTACGCCCCCCTTAGGTCCAGCTTTGTGAAAATCTTTCCCTTCCGCACCCTTGTCAAAATGTCGTCAATCCTGGGCATAGGGAAGGCTACTGGTTCTGACACTGCATTTAAGGCCCTGAAGTCACACACCAGCCTCGGCTTGTTCGTGTTTTTCTTATCCACAAAAACACTGGGCTGCCCCCACCGCCCTGGACTCTCTGATGAACCCTCTCTTCAGGTTCTTGTCAATGAACTCTCTTAACTCCTGCATCTCTCTGTCTGACATGGCGTACAGCTTGCCTACAGGGAGCTGTGCTCCAGGGAGTAAGTTGATTTGACAGTCAAAGGGTCTATGCGGGGTAGTTGGTCAGCTTCCCTTTCGCTGAAGACGTCACGGAGATCTGCATATTGTCGTGGTACCTTCACGTTCTCTGTTACTTCAGTCCCTGCTAGGGTGGCTTGGACCCCTGCCAAACCCTTTCCCTCTTTGCAGTGTTCTAAGCAATGTGCTGAACCAAAAGAAACCACTCTCTGATGCCAGCCCACCAGCGGATCATGTAACGCTAGCCAGCTCATTCCCAATATAATGGGAGCTCCTCCCAAGGTGGCCACATTAAAAGCTATCAGTTCGGTGTGCCTTGCTACCTTCATTATCATTGGGACGGTCTGCAAGCTGACTTCTCCACCCAACAGCTCCCTGCCATCGATCGTGGTCACCTGCAGGGGGCTGCTTAAAGGATTGTCTGTATCTGGTGTTCAGCTGCAAACTCTTTGCTCATGAAATTGCAGGAGCTGCCTGAGTCCAACAGCGCCTTTATCTTTAGAGGGTGTCCGTTTGGCAGCTCTAGCGTCACTTCTATCACTAGGGCGGGTTTAGGAGGTTCTGGCGTGGGCACTCTCACTGCTCTTTGGCCTGGCTGCTGTGCCCTGACAGTGGCAGCCAGGCGTTGGCTTTACTTGCTCCGGTATATTTTCCTCTCTTCCATCCACAGCTCCTACCATCCCTTGCCATTCTTTCCTCTGGGGGCAGACTCTGGCAAAGTGACCTGGCTGTTGGCAGAGATAGCATTTCCGGGCGCCTTTTCCCTCCTTCTTTGCCCCTCACTGGGCTTTGAAACCATGCGCGCGCGCGCTGTTCCGATTTCCATCGGCTCTGCCGGTGGGAAAGTTGGCTCTGGAATGTCTGGAATGCGGAACTCCTTCCAACGTTCCCCTTTCCCTTCCCGCCTCTCCAATGCTCTCGCCTCCTGGCGCGCTCCTATGGCCAGCGCTGATTTGGTCAGCTGGTCCATAGACTCCGCCCTGGGCGCCCGGGAAAGTTCGTCTTTCACAGCCGAAGAAAGCCCTTCTTCAAAGAGCATTTGAATGGGTTCCGCCGATAAGTCCCACCCCAATCTGTGAACAAGCATGGTGAACTCAGTCCAGTACTCACGGACAGATCGGCTCCCCTGTTTGCAACCCATTAACTGTCTGCGCACCACTCCCTTTTCAATATCGCTGGAAAACATCAGATCCATGGCGCGAAAGAACTTCATCGTGTCCTTTAAGACGTCACTATTAGCTGCCATCAGGGTCTAACCCAGTCTCTCGCCCCTTTTCAAGATGCTCAATAACGAAAGCCACTCGTGATTCCTCGTCAGGGAATTCATCAAACTGCAGATTGAGGGCATATTGCATTTCTGTCCGAAAACCATGATAGTTTTGGGCTCCCTCAAACTTCTGCACCAATCCTGGTACCTTTCTGGCAAACTGGGTGGCTTTCCCCTTTTGTCTGCATCCTGAGCCCTCCTCTCCTCAAGCCTCGCCGTCTGCATCGCTAGCTGGACCTCCAACATCTGGTACCTTTCTTCCAGGCTTGGACCCGCTCCAGCTCCTGCTTCTCCGGTTCCGGCTGGGTTGCTCATGATGCCTTCTCCTGCACAAGCTGCTTTCAAAGACTGTCGGAATGCTGTGATGGGATGATGAGCTGCTTGTGCGTAAAATCGTATCCCCTCAGAGTTTGTTCAAGTCCACAAACCTCTGTCTGTGACGGAGCCCCCAGACATGGCTACTCTAGTCACTAGCAGATTCCGACAGTGGTTGCTTTCGTAATCGCTTCCAACATAAAAGCTCCTTAACGGAAACACGTCTTCTGGAATCTCTGCGTGACAGTTTCCGGCGAGGAGTGGGTGTTCTTACAGGAGGTCCTGAAACTTCCCCACTGTTTTCGCTGGAAGTGTCTCTGAGCCATCCCTCCAGCTCAGCTCCTCTCCCCTGCTGGTTCCCTCTTCAGCTGCTGCGTCTCTCCCAACCTGTGTGAGCCCTTTCACCTCCCTGTTGGTTCCCTCTTCAGCTGCTGCGTCTCTCCCAACCTGTGTGAGCCCTTTCACCTCCCTTCCGTCCGATGGCAGTTCCCTGACAATACGCTTCAGGTTACAGACTCCGCTAACCCAGAAATAGTGCTTCAGGTTAAGAACTTTGCTTCAGGATGAGAACAGAAATCGTGTTCCGGTGGCGCGGCAGCAGCAGGAGGCCCCATTAGCTAAAGTGGTGCTTCAGGTAAGAGCTGTTCGACAGTGGAATTTGCTGCCAAGGAGTGTGGTGGAGTCTCCTTCTTTGGAGCTCTTTAAGCAGAGGCTTGACAACCATATGTCAGGAGTGCTCTGATGGTGTTTCCTGCTTGGCAGGGGGTTGGACTCGATGGCCCTTGTGGTCTCTTCCAACTCTATGATTCTATGATTCTATGATTCTAGGTTAACAGTTTCAGGTTAAGAACGGACCTCCGGAATGAATTAAGTACTTAACCCGAGGTACCACTCTACTCAAATGTGAACAAGCCCCAAGACTATGTGGGAAACAGAGCCTGAATCACCCAGCAAAAAATTCCAGTACTGTACCCAACATGGTACAGAGTCTTCCCTCCTACATTATTAGGCCGTGTAACTTTTTATATCGACAGATTATGAGAAGTACAGTGTACAACCAGGGTGTGGGTGGAGGAGAGCCTTTCAAGAAGGGATTTCCAGAGCTCATTCAGAACAGGGTCACCGTGTGTTTTCTTTCTGTGTGGGAAGAGGCCAAGGCTGATGGATGATTTCAGGTGGGTATTTCCCTCTTCCTTTCAGAGCTAAACTAGTAAAAGATAAAACTACCGGTTGAGTTTAAAATTGCCCTGCTTCTACCACTCAGCAAACATGTTTTTGGACATGAAGAGGATTGTGCTGAAATGGCTTCTGCTGGAGCTGTTGCTGCTGCTTCCTGGCGTTTGGGATGCTGGAGCTGACGAATCGTTGAGAGAGAGGGCTCTCAACCTCATGGTGAAAGTCCCTTTAATTGATGGGTAGGCCCAATTTCTTTCTTCGTCTCCCTGTCCAAAATACATTAAGACACCTTGTTGTGTTATTATTCTTGGGCATTATGGGGAAGCCTGAGGTATCATATGCTGTGCTAAAAAAGACCTCATTTTGTGTCAAAGGGAAAGCTTTCAAATTCTGCACCAAAATGATTATGCCATTAGATGATGGTGCTCATTTTACAGAACGCTTGTTTAGCTTTACTATTGCAATGTTGGCATTTCAATATTGATATTCACAGTACTTAAAACACTGTTTCTTGGGGTGGCTGAGGGTCAGATTAGTGAATTAAGTGTCCCCTTAATTTCCCCTTATTTAATCAACTTTAATTTCTCATAGTGGGGACTTAGATTCCAGTTCCTTACTAGTCTTCCCCCCTTTCCCCCCTCTTTTATCATAGAAAGAGAAGAGGGGAAAAATAAGAGGAATCAGTTATTTAACACCCCCCACTTGGGAACAAAACAGCATGAATGAGGGCAATTAATTACTAATCCTCAGGCCATACTGAGCAAGAAAGCAATAATATAGCCTGAATCTGCAAGCAAAAAGCTTTCAGATTAACAAAATAGTTAATATGAACCCAAAAGCCTTAGTAGTGTGCTTTAACTTTCCACATTAGATAAGCTGGTGCTGCAATTGCATTTTTAGCTCTCTTTTTAAAAAAAATAATAAAAATCTCCAGTACCAGGTCTGATAAACACAGGAGTTCAACACCAGAAACGGATGTGAGATGTTTGGGGAAAGTTTTGCCCTAAAAGGTACCACATAAATCTTTGAAATAAACAGCTGGCGGATTATTTCCAATATGGAGATGTGAGTGGTAACTGTGTGGTTTAAGTCTAAATTTAATTCTTTTTAATTGTTCTTGTTTATTTTAACTCCACCAGTGTGGTGTAGTGGTTAAGAGCGGTAGTCTCGTAATCTGGTGAACCGGGTTCGCGTCTGCGCTCCTCCACATGCAGCTGCTGGGTGACCTTGGGCCAGTCACACTTCTCTGAAGTCTCTCAGCCCCACTCACCTCACAGAGTGTTTGTTGCGGGGAGGAAGGGAAAGGAGAATGTTAGCCGCTTTGAGACTCCTTCGGGTAGTGATAAAGTGGGATATCAAATCCAAACTCCTCCTCCTCCTCCTCCTCCTCTTCTTCTTCTTCTATTCTGCTGACCTCAGACCAAAAGAATTATGCCTGCTGGGTTTCTGCCTTGCCTTTGTGGTTTAAAGGGCTCCAAAGTTAATTAACTTAAATTGCTATCAGCTGTGTGGGAGACCTTAGCGCTTGGAACTAGAGTTGGAGCTTTTGGTGTTTGGGATGCTGGGTGAATGCTTTGCTGGAACTCTTCACACACAAATTGTTTACCTTTATGAACTGTGCTCCCTACTGCATTTTGTTGATCCCCACCAAGATTTACCAATGGAGATTTACCCACTGAGAAAGAAGAAGGAGAAGCCCCTCTGTAAAAAGCCATAATAAGAAAGATAGACCACTGAGTGTGGATGAGGTGTCAGGATGAGAGAAAGAATTAAACCAAAATGCCTTTACAGCTAAGGTGGAGGTAATGCTGATTGGAAAACTTTACAACCGCTCATTAGACGAGGGGTCAGCAAACTTTTTCAGCAGGGGACCGGTCCATTGTCCCTCAGACCTTGTGGGGGGCCAGACTATATTTTTGGGGGGGCGGGGGGAAATGAACAAATTCCTATGCCCCACAAATAACGCAGAGATGCATTTTAAATAAAAGGACACATTCTACTAATGTAAAAACACACTGATTCCCAGACCGTCTGCAGGCCGGATTTAGAAGGCAATTGGGCCGGATACGGCCCCTGGGCCTATGTTTGCCTACCCATGCATTAGACTGTTCTATACTGATATGATATGACTTCGTGTGGGTAGACATAGCAGACGACACAGCAATTCTTCCAAAGCAGCTCTTTATTTGTAAGCTGGACAGAACTGAACAGCAAACAGCTCAGCCGGCCTGCTTTTATAGGCAGCCAGCTGTCAACAATGTAGCAACAACAACCCAGGGTTTCCCGCCTAAAATAACTGACGTGGACCTGAGTGAAAACTACATACACAATACTCCTGGTGGCCAGGGTGAGAACTTCAATACATAACACCCCTCCCCACCGAGATAAGGCGTTAGTTACAATCGTAATGGTTTCCTTATATACAGCACTACACGTAATGGTTCAATTAGGCACAAAAGCATATTGGTTACATTTCCCATACTTAGACCAACAGTGATACATGTCCAACAACATAGTCCTTTAAATAAGTTGGGCGCTTGGAAACTCTGCCAGACCGCCGGGGACTGGTAGCCAAGTCCGGGGGGCCACCCAATTCTTGCTGACGCTGTGGTGCGACCCTAGGTGGCGTTGAAACCAAATCCCCTGGATCCGCTGCTGTGGGTGGAGCCTCCGCAAGTGGAGTGGTCTGAGCCTGTGGTAAGTCTGGCAGACCCTCTGAAGCGGCTTGGTTTGGCTCCAGGCTGGCAGTTTGCGAGGGAGGTGTAGGTGGAGCCTCGCCATCTGTAAGTGTCTCTTCTGGAGCCACGAGCGCAGTTGGGGGCACCACGGTAGTGTCCAAGTCCCCAACCTTGCGCCTAAGCTGGTCTATGTGCCGGCGCCACAAACGTCCGTCTTCGAGTGCTACCTGGTACGAGCGAGGTCCAGTGACTCCCACTACTGTGGCTGGCACCCAAGGAATGTCCCCCACATAGTTCCGGGCAAAGACCTGGTTTCCTGGAACAAATGACTGTGGCATGTTGGCACAGCCTGGGGGTTCGGCCACGGCAAAGTCCGGGTGCAGCCGGTTGAGTGGTGACCTGAGGCGGCGGCCCATAAGCAGTTCAGCAGGACTCTGCCCTGTGGCCGCATGAGGGGTGATGTGTTGCGCGAACAAGTATTCGGCGACCCGCTCGTGCCAGTCTCCCCGGTCCAGGCGCGCCAGTGCCTCTTTTGCCGAGCGCACCATTCTCTCCGCTTGGCCGTTGCTGGGTGGATGAAATGATGCCGTTAGGGCATGGCGGATGCCCAGTCCCAAAAGATACCGCTCAAAAGTGCCTGACGTGAACTGCGGTCCGTTGTCGGAGACAAGGCCATCAGGACACCCATGCGTCGCAAACAGGCCTCGCAGCACCCGGATGACGGCCTCGGTAGTGGTGGAGGGCATCAGGGCCACCTCCAGCCATTTGGAATAGGCGTCCACCACTACCATAAAGGTCCAGCCGTGAAAGGGGCCGGCCAGATCAATGTGCACTCTTGACCAGGGTGTCTTTGGCGTCTCCCAGGAGTGTCCCTTAGCTGCCGGTGGTGCAGGCCTCGATTCTTGGCACGCTTGACAGGTGGACACCCAGGCAGTGATGGCATCGTCCATGTTAGGCCACCAGACGTAACACCGAGCCAACGCCTTCATTTTGACAATTCCTAGGTGGCCAACGTGCAGAGCCTCCAGGACGCGTTGACGGAGTCTTTGAGGAATCACGACGCGGTCTCCCCACAGCAGACAGCCGCGATGAGCCGAGAGTTCATGTTGTCTGGTTGTGAAGGGCTGGAACTCCGATGCAAAAGGCCCTTGTGGCCACCCCCTCCACACCCAGTTGAGCACACGGCTGATGGTGCGATCCTGGGCAGATGCAGAGGCCACAGTGGCAGCCGATACAGGCGCTACTGGAAGATCCTCTATCAGGAGGAGCGATGAAGCTGGAGCCGGGTCTTCCACAAACGCTGGAAGAGGGCAATGGCTGAGGGCGTCGGCATGGCCCATCGATTTCCCCGGGCGATGGTTGAGCCGGTAGTGGTAGGCAGCCAGGAAAACAGTCCATTGCAGCATGCGCGGCGAGAGGACCGGTGGAGTTGGACGATCACCGGCGAGGAGGCCCAGGAGCGGCTTGTGGTCAGTGATGAGGTCAAAAGTCCTGCCATAGAGGTATTCATGGAACCTCTTCACTCCAGCCACAAGTGCCAGTGCCTCCTTGTCGAGCTGGCTGTAATTCCGTTCCATCAGAGATAGCGTCCTGGAAAAGTAGGCGAGCGGTGCTTCTCTTCCGTCTGGAAAACGGTGACTAAGGACAGCGCCGATGCCAAAAGGTGAGGCGTCGCAGGCAAGGACCAGCGGCCTGGACTGCTTCAGGTGCAACCAATGCTCGGGCTGTCTCAAACACCTCAGGCCCACAGAGGCTGAGGAATAGGCCCCGCTTCCGTTCCTTTGAAACTGCTGTCAGCTCATTGGCTTGGAGGTAGCAGTCAAACCGAGCGAGGTAGGAGTCCCATGATTCAGAGGCTGGCGCGAACGGCGGTAGAGGCACAAGTGAAGCCATGATTCCGATGATAGTGTGAAGGGTGATGGATGGAACACAGTGCTCTAGCCAGAACAGTCAGCTCTGAATTGGTTCTGTCCAGTGATTTCGCTCTGTGATTCAGCTCAGTGATTCAGCTCAGTTCAGAGGATGGCCGCATCTGGCTGTGCTCTGATGTCCATTGATCCCACCTTCGTCGCCAGTGTTAAATAGTGGGTAGACATAGCAGACGACACAGCAATTCTTCCAAAGCAGCTCTTTATTTGTAAGCTGGACAGAACTGAACAGCAAACAGCTCAGCCGGCCTGCTTTTATAGGCAGCCAGCTGTCAACAATGTAGCAACAACAACCCAGGGTTTCCCGTCTAAATTTTTTTTTTTTTAAGATATTTATTGAGATTTTCAGAATGTTACAAAAAATAAAAAAAATAAAATAGAAGCAGAAGAGAATACAAAGAATAAAAATAGTTATAAGAAAAAATTCCAAATGAGAAAAAAATGACAGGAAAAAAGAAGAATGCAAAAATCCCAAAACTTTAAAAACATTTAAAAACAAATTCATTATTTTCAAATCCTTAACTGTCATTACCTTCTTTCTTAGACCTCCTCCTGTGATCACCAATAGTCAGCATGGATTTCTGAAAAATAAGTCATGTCAGACTAACCTGATCTCGTTTTTTGACAGAATTACAAGCCTGGTAGATGAAGGGAATGCAGTGGATGTAGCCTACCTTGATTTCAGCAAGGCATTCGACAAGGTGCACCATGATATTCTTGTAAAGAAGCTGGTAAAATGCGGTCTTGACTATGCTACCACTCAGTGCATTTGTAACTGGCTGACTGACCGAACCCAAAGGGTGCTCATCAATGGTTCCTCTTCATCCTGGAGAAGAGTGACTAGTGGGGTGCCACAGGGTTCTGTCTTGGGCCCGGTCTTATTCAACATCTTTATCAACGACTTGGATGATGGACTCAAGGGCATCCTGATCAAATTTGCAGATGACACCAAACTGGGAGGGGTGGCTAACACCCCAGAGGACAGGATCACACTTCAAAACGACCTTGACAGATTAGAGAACTGGGCCAAAACAAACAAGATGAATTTTAACAGGGAGAAATGTAAAGTATTGCACTTGGGCAAAAAAATGAGAGGCACAAATACAAGATGGGTGACACCTGGCTTGAGAGCAGTACATGTGAAAAAGATCTAGGAGTCTTGGTTGACCACAAACTTGACATGAGCCAACAGTGTGATGCGGCAGCTAAAAAGCCAATGCAATTCTGGGCTGCATCAATAGGAGTATAGCATCTAGATCAAGGGAAGTAATAGTGCCACTGTATTCTGCTCTGGTCAGACCTCACCTGGAGTACTGTGTCCAGTTCTGGGCACCACAGTTCAAGAAGGACACTGACAAACTGGACCGTGTCCAGAGGAGGGCAACCAAAATGGTCAAAGGCCTGGAAACGATGCCTTATGAGGAACGGCTAAGGGAGCTGGGCATGTTTAGCCTGGAGAAGAGGAGGTTAAGGGGTGATATGATAGCCATGTTCAAATATATAAAAGGATGTCACATAGAGGAGGGAGAAAGGTTGTTTTCTGCTGCTCCAGAGAAGCGGACACAGAGCAATGGATCCAAACTACAAGAAAGAAGATTCCACCTAAACATTAGGAAGAACTTCCTGACAGTAAGAGCTGTTCGACAGTGGAATTTGCTGTCAAGGAGTGTGGTGGAGTCTCCTTCTTTGGAGGTCTTTAAGCAGAGGCTTGACAACCATATGTCAGGAGTGCTCTGATGGTGTTTCCTGCTTGGCAGGGGGTTGGACTCGATGGCCCTTGTGGTCTCTTCCAACTCTATGATTCTATGATTCTATGATTCTATGATTCTATGATTCTATGATTCTCCTCCCTTTCTTTGTATCCTAGTTATTAATTATCCCAGCAAATCCTTGACCTTATCTTTCTATAATAAAATAAACCTTAACACTTAAAACTTAAATCTTATCCTTACCAACTTCTCATAATCATAATATTCTTTCATAATTCTTTAAACATCTTTGCTAAAGCCAAGTATTTTCATTCCAACATTTTCCTATCATTCATCAATTTTATAAAACAGTTCTAATAGTAGAAAAAAGAGGTATAAACAGATCCAATCTTCATCCAGCGTCCCTTCCTCCTGGTTCGGGTTTTGTCAGTCCTTATTCCCGTCAATCTAGCCCATTAACCTGGCAACCTTATGTCCGAGGCCCTCAAGTCTCTTCCATGACCCTTCCGCGGCTCTTCTTCATATTTGTAACTGTATTTTCCCTTGTCTCTTGCTCGTGGTAACTCCAGCTTGACAATGTTTTTAATCCTTCTCAACAGATCAGCCCCTTTTCCATGTTCAACAATGAATTCCATGTAGTATTTAAAAGCATGTTTCAAAGGCCCTCCAAAATTGAGAGCCCCCACAGTCCCAAACATCTCACGGCCCGTGGCATATTTGAAAAGTCCAAACATCTCAGCATAGGGGGGTCAATCCAGCCCCCCATTTCCAAACCAAGCCAAACTTTTCCTTTCCAGATATGGCTTTTTCCAAGTTCATTTGTCAAATCCAAAAAATCATATTCCTGTTGGGCCTGTTCTGTCAAAACACACTCCTGATTTAATGTCAAAAACTCCTGTTCTGTCAAGACACACTCCTGATTTAAATCCTGAGTGGGCTCCACATATTTTCCCACTGTCTGTTCAAAGTTTCCCACTGCCTGTTCAAAATTTCTAGTCGAAGTCGCCATCCAATTCACCTTCTCGTGTAACTGTTCCAGTAGATCGTTTGTTTTATAGAGAGCATACAACAAGGCTTCTGAATACATTGTCCCACAAGGTCAGACACTTGTTCCCACGATTGTAATCTGTAACAGCTGTCGACTCCCTGGAGTTAGTTACCGTTTCACAGTTACAATTTCACAGACTCCCCCTAGGGGGAAGACTTCTATTTATTCTTGCAACAAAGTTTCCTTTTTTTAAGATACTTTGTCCATATATAATCCTTTAAAATGCAAAAGGGAACAGTGGAATCACTAGGTTTCTCTTCTTTTAGCCATCTGTCAAAAACACTTGTCTTTGGTTAATGAACTTCACACGTCAGTCCTGACAGCCCGCTCCAGGATCAGGACGGAGGAAAGTTACTTCACTTTAAAGTCACTTTAAACAGTCCAAAAAGATCCCCCCCTTCTCCTGGTGTTGAAGGGGGGTTCCACAATTTTAAATGGTGAAATCCAATCTATTAAAAGAGATTTTCTGAGCTCTAGTTTAAGTTGCCTTTGCTTTATTCTGTTTACAAAAGAACAGAAGGATGAATTCCTGTTTAGACCTTCCCGTTCCGTACCAAATTCAAGTAAATTTTTAAAGTCCGATTCTTTTCTACTCGCAAGTCCTTATTTGATGTACAATTGTTCAAAGTCTAAGTACTCACGGGTGCTTATTTTAAAGTCCAAATTGGAATGGCAGATGAAAGTGATGGACTATATGGAACTGGCTGAGATGACTGGCAGAATTCGAGACCAGGGAGAAGGGTCGATGGAAGAAGATTGGAAAAAAATTAAAATATACCTTCAAAAATACTGCAATATAAAAGACTGTTAGAAAGAGGTTGGAAAAAGAAAATTAGGTCGTTCTGGTAGATATGATATAAAGGATTAAGTAAAAATGAGTTGATGAATTTGATGAAACAGAGGAGGTTTAATTACATTATTTAAATTTTAAAATACGTAAATGAAAATAAGGTTAGAAGGATTTGCTGGGAATACGATCTGAACTAGAATACAAAATTGGGAGGTGAGAGGAGGTCATGGAAATAAGTAAAGGGAAAAGGCTATGTAAAGGTTAAATCTGTTTTTGTTTTATTTTAACTTAATGCATTTTTATATTTTTTGTTAAGTCTTCTTTTTTATTCTATTTTATTGTTCACTTTATCTTTTTATTTTTTGCTTTGTTAAAGCTTTCTTTGTATTTTGTATGGTTTTTCTTTCTCTTTTTTGTAACTTTAAATTTGGAATAAATATCATTAAAAAAAAAAATTAAAGTCCAAATTGTCCCAGGAAAAAGGCAGCGCTCTCTGGCAACAGCTATGCGGCTTCGCTCCACGGAAATAGCATGGAAACTCACAGCACCGCGCCACTTCCCCCTCTTCACTTCGGAGCCCGTTAGTGGGTTCCTTAGCGGGTTGGGGGGGCGCTAAAGGTGCCCGCTGAGTCCCATGGTCACAGGCTTCATCCGCCTATGATTTTTAAGTGGGTCCCCGCTTCGCCGTAGCGGAGAAGACCCGTTTTCCGCGGAGCTAGTCCCTCCGGTTCAGAGGGAGTCCGCCATTGCCGGTGGCGCCACCCCGGAAGTCTTGGTTTCCCGCCTAAAATAACTGACGTTGACCTGAGTGAAAACTACATACACAATACTCCTGGTGGCCAGGGTGAGAACTTCAATACATAACACCGTGGGTATGCAATAACAAGGAGACATAGAGGACATGCAGAGTCTGCAACCCTCCCAAACTCCAAGCAATCCAAAATTGACAGTTTTATGCTTGGCAGTTTTGGCAACTCTGGTCCCTCTGGGTATTCTCTTTTTGCGTCAAATCATCACTTCATTCTGGCAACTACTTTGGTGGAAAGGGGTTAATGAGGACAGCCAAGAAACGAGGACTGAGAAGTCTGCAGGATTTTGGATCTCAGCCTGGAGATGAGTTATGGCAGAACCGTTTTAAAGGGAAGTTAATCCTAATTCCAGACCAAGTGGCCCTTGAAATATCACCAGTGCCAAATGGGATCCTGCCAAATTGGCAGGGGAAAAACAGAACTGTGCAGAACCTAGACTAACTGTTTAAATTAAGAAGCCATTCAAGATACCTATGTCCAGAATGAATCTTGATGGGTCCTCTCAGTGTTGGGGAGGTTGTTCAATGCTTGGTACATGTGGTGGTCCTGCCCATGAGTTCAGGTGTTTTGGAACTTTCTATAGCGAACAGTGCAAACATAATGGTCTAGGTTTTCTGTTATATTTTATCAACAGATACTAAGAAGTTGTTCTAACTGGATATCTTTATAGCTTCAGTCTATGTGTGCTGCTAGCATTGTCTGAATGACATTTTTTAAAATATGGAAAGGATGAAACACCCTCCCCCAAATCCTTCAACTCTTCCACTATGTATTTTTATCTTTCAGGCACAATGATTTGCCACTGAAGTTGAGATGGTTTTATAAAAACCAGCTGAGTAAAATTGATTTAAGGACCCTCAGCACCACATCCACAAATATTGAGAAGCTCCAGGCTGGTCATGTGGGTGCCCAGGTAGGCCAGGGTGGAAGTAGATGTACTTCCAGGGTAGAAGTATATCCGTACTCTTGGACTGAGTTCCTTGCTAGAGTGAGCCAGAGACCAAGCATGGGGGAGGGATGCGTATACTTCTAGCTTTGGCTGGATGTCTGTTGCCATAATGGAAAAGACGGAGGTGGAAATCAAGGCTAGATTGTAGACCATGCTGGAAGGTGTGTATGGAAACATATTTCCCCTTTATCTGCATTTCTGTATGGGTACACAATTAATGCTGCATCTAGGATTTGGGCAAGTTATCAGTTTGTGCCCAACCTGTGTCTCCTCAGTCCTAGTCTGGTGCTCTGACTATTATGGGACACTGGCTCTTGGTTGGTTGGCCAACCTGAACCCCTCTAGTGGATTTTGTGTTAGCGGCCAGGCCAGCACCATATGTCAGGAGGCCCTGAGCAGCATGTGCTGCCAATTCCCACCCCCAAACACCCCCACTCTCCTCCGCTAAGATGGCTGCACAATGTATGTAGAGTTTTAGTGTTGGCCCTGGCAACACACTTGATTGGGAGCCAAGTTCAGCTCCCCTCTGTGGGCAAAAGCTCTTCAATGCTCCTGCCCTTCCTTCTTTATCTTTAAAATGGTGTTGGACTGGAGCTGCGCAAATGGAGGACTGTCCCCTGACAGCTCTTCAAAGGAGAGGGCGAGTAGAACAGTGCTGTGGACCTGACAGAGGGCAAGTAAAACATGACCCACAACCCTCCTGAGAGATGTAGCAAGTCTCCTTAGCAGACAAGTCCTTGACTGTAGGAAGTTTACATTTTCCTGGCTAAGGGGCAGTGCAGCCTGTGGAAAGGAACCACTTTTCTGAGCAGTGAGCAGTTTGGTTTCATTCAGTGGTGGCAGTGGAGCTCTATCAGAGAGAACAGGGCACTGCCCCATCAAACTCTGTCTACCCTCAGCCAACCCCACCTGGTGGCCATCTAGGCTAGGGTTAGCACTGCCTGTCAGTTCCATCCTCCTTAATCCCAGGGTTGCCATTGCAGGATCCTGCAGGCAGAAGGCTGAGGACAAAACTAGCATTAGCTGGCTCTGCCTGTCGCTGGCTGCCTCCCTCTTTCATCCTTCCTGCCTTCCACCTTACCAGTCCCAATGGGCAGCAGCCACCACTGGGAAATGCAGGCTTATTGGGATTTTCACGATAATTGACTGGTTTTCAAATGGGCAGGTTAAGCACAGGTGGGGGATGCACAGCTTAAATACTCCAACAAATAGCCCAAACCCACATTAGATCTCTGGAGAGGCAGCCAGCACCCTCAAAACGCTGTTAGCTTTGCAGAGCCCCAAAACTTAGTTCTCTGCCTGCCTGCCTGCCTGCCTGCCTGCCTCACACTGCAGGCCTAGCCTGCCTTCCTACACCTGGCTGGGAGTGAGATGACAAGTCAACATCTATCTATGCCTTTTTGAACCATCTCGGTTCCCATAGAAACACATTGCCAGAAATTGTCTAACAAAAGAACGCTCCTGGCTAAATCCATCTGATCAGTCTGACCATTTTAGCAGCCCTCCCCTCTCTTGGCCAGATGCCAGTCTTACAATTGCAGAATCACAGAGTTGGAAGGGACTGTAGAGATGCTCCAGCTTTCCACCCATCCATCCACTCATGCTGACAAACTCTATTTTCATGTTTCTTTCAGTTTTGGTCGGTGTATGTTCTGTGTAGCGCTCAGAAGAAAGATGTTGTGCGCCTCACTCTGGAGCAGATTGATGTTGTCAAACGGATGTGTAAAAGCTATGAGGAACTGGAACTGGTGACATCTTCTGAAGGTGATGCTTGATATTGATTTTTACATTCTGATGCTTTCCGAACTTTGAGCTCTGGTCCATATGGCCCCTGGAAGACTGCCCAGAAGGCAATGTGACCCTCAGGCATAAGAAAGTTCTCCATCTGTCCTATACCAGCACTAACCACTACACTACACTGCACTGTCTCTAACTATAAAAGGTTTTAGCCGCAGGCCTCCATGAGTTACACTCCATATTTATACATAAAAGGAAACCATCTGGTCCACTAACAGAGCTCTGGGAAATTAGAGGTGGGAGATAAGAATTCTACCCCCATAATTGTTCCAAACACTCACCCTGTGAGCTCTGTGGCTAAGAGAGGATTTGAACCCAGGTCTCCTCATTCCAAGTCCAACACTCTTAACTACTGCCCCCCACTGGAACTGAAATTACTGTTAAGCTACTGTAGTTTATGACTACATGGTACGTGTGCCCAGTGCAAGCTCTCTGCATTGCTCTCTTTTGATCATTCTGTGTTAATGTGTCTGGTTAAATTCAGATCTGTCTTTCTGATCGAAATCCAGGCATTGCCAGCACTGACAGCAAAAAGATAGCATGCTTGATTGGCATCGAAGGGGGACACTCCATCGACAGCAGCCTCGCAACCCTGAGGATGTTCTACGAGCTGGGCGTTCGGTACATGACGCTGACCCATAACTGCAACACTCCCTGGTAAACTACAAACAAGTGTTCCTTCAGAGAGGGGCTGTTTCTCTGGGATTTGCCAACGTTGCTTAAAATACTGCAATGTATTCCTGCAGTGAGAAAATAAATGTATTTTCCCCTTCAAGGAGGTGGGGTTCTAGGAATAGCCAATACAGTAGTAGTTAAAAAAAAACACACACCCTACAACTGAAAGGAACTTGTGAGGTTACACGCAGCAAGTGTGTACGGGGCCCATGGGTAGAAGATGTCGAATGTTCAGATTGCACAGGTTGATGGTTGACCAGTGAGCCACAAGCAGAACAGAAAGAGATTGGGGACTCAGCTACATTAGTAAGGAAAAAGCATTTTGTATGTGTTCTAACACTGTGAAAACAGATGGCGCTGTGGAGTACCGTCTTTCGCCAATGTGATTTCCCATGTGGAAGTATACAATGTGTTTTCCTGAAACACTTTTTTTAATGTGTCTAGATCCAGCCCGCGATTACCTGCGCTGATTCAGAAAGGAGTTTAATACAGGTCACTATAAAGAAATATCCAAAATTTGTTTAGTCGTTTAGTCGTGTCCGACTCTTCGTGACCCCATGGACCAGAGCACGCCAGGCACTCCTGTCTTCCACTGCCTCCCGCAGTTTGGACAGACTCATATCCAAAATACACAGGTGTAAACAGTACTGGGCTAGATGATTCCTGTACTTCTTTTCCATTTGAATAATCATTTTCCTTCCCTGCATTTTTAGGGCTGAGACATCATCAAAGCAATCACAAGACTATCCTAACACTGGTGGCTTGACTGATTTTGGCAAAGTACGTAAACTGATGAAGTCCTTTGCAATGCCCACTACTGATTCTCTTCCGAAGAAGCATCCTAGCATCCTATAGCAACAAAAGCTTATTATCACCTGTCTGGGTTTTAGGCCAGTTTCCCCAAAGAATCCTGGGGGTTTATAGTTTGCAGAGGGGGCTGAGAATTATTTTCTGGAGTTCTCCATCTCCACCCCACTCCCAGACTCGTAGGGAGGAATTCAACATTGTCAGCAGAGGCACTTCACTTTGCCAGACAATATCTTTCTTAAACTGTGGTGCCCAGAACTGGACACAGTACTCTAGCTGGGGTCTGACCAAAGCAGAATAGAGTGGCTGTATTACTTCTTTAAATCCAGACGCCATAATTCTGTTGATGCCGTCTAGAATAGCATTAGCTCCTTTTGCTGCTTTCACATTGTTGCCTCCAGGATGCATGTCCAGTTTCTGGCTCTCCCTTCCCCACAGTCATTTTCAAAGCTCAAGAAAAATAGAATGCATATATTTCCATTGCCAAAGTGAAATATGAGCTGTGCTCTATTTTTGGCCAGAGTAGCAAAACCGATGAAACCGTCTTGTTTATTTTTGTGCTAGGAAGTGGTGAAGGAGATGAATCGTCTTGGGATGCTAATAGACTTATCTCACACATCTGACACAACGGCGGCAGCTGCCCTCAGCGTCTCTCGTGCACCAGTCATTTTCAGCCATTCTTCAGCCTTCTCCATTTGCAACAACCCAAGGAACGTCCCTGACCATATTTTGCACCTCCTGGTAGGTGTAGCTAAAGCTTAATGCTTGTCCAACCCAGGCAAAGGGAGGACATAATATGGAGCTCAGAGGTACATTTTTTCCTCCCAGGTGCAAAGTCAGTAAAAAGAATTCTTCCTCAGAGAACCAATTCAAAGATGTCCAGGTAAAAGCAAGATGGAGAGCTACTTATAAAGCTGTATTATAATGGTCCATCTAGTTTAGTACTGCCAACACTGACTGACAGGAACTCTCCAGGGTTTCAGACAGGAAGTCTCTTCCAGTCCTGCCTGGAAATGCTGGGGATTGAACCTGGGACCTTCTGAATGCAAAGAAGATGCTCTCTTGCTGAGCTACAGCCCTTTCCTGGTCAATGTCTTAAAGCATGGGTCACTATTGCTTAAGAAGTGAGGAGAAACCAAACTGATCCCAAATTATTCTCCTCTGTGACTGTTTGGTGATTGATACACTTGGAATATTCAAATATTTGTGGAATATCATATCTGCAACTGAAAATATTGTACTATTTGATACGTGCACATCATGGCATTTTGTGTTTTGCATGTGATCATTTCCAGAGGGGTAGCTGTGTTGTAGAAAAGCAACAAAAGAGTAATCTCTGCACAAATTGTGCATACTTCTGTGCCACACCACCAAGAGGCATTGAATCATCTCCATCAATTTATTGATCACCTTGTACACAATCATCTCAAGGCAATGTACAATAGAAACAGCAAACAACCGAACAAGAATGTCTTCAGTTGTTTCCAGAAAGTGCTGGTAGTGGGAGCCTGTCACAGTTTTACAGGAATGTTGTTTGAAACAACTGCCACATTGAAAGCCCTGCTCTGAGTTACTGCAGAGTAGGCTTCTGAGATCTTTGCAACTTCTGGGAGAAACTCAGTGATCTCCTGGGTATTTAAAGGATAAGGCGGTCCCTCGGATAACCTGGTTCCAAGCTGTATAGGGCCTTATATGTTAGTACCAACACCTTCAACTTGACCTGGTAGCAGATTGGAAGCCAGTGCAAAGCCTGCAAGATATTACACGCTGGCAGTAGTTTGCCCCTGCAAGCAACCAAGCTACTGTGTTCTGCACCAGCTGCAGCCTCTGAACTGACCAGAGGACAAGATTCACCTGGTGCAAGACAAATACATTTCTTTTTTTGCCAGACCTTTTTACTAGGCTCTTAATTATCGGTGGCCTTGGGTGGATGGAATGTTTTAATCCTGCCTTTTAAAAAAATAGGATTGTCTTTTAGATTTTTCTTTGTTTTTCCTTTCATGCCACTTTCAATGTATGTGTTTGTTTGCTTATATATTGTAAGTTGCTTTGAGTTCCCTTGGTAAAAAAGTGACCGATAAGTTTAATAAATAATAATGAGAACAATAACCCAAAGGGTAGCCCCACACAGAGTGCATTGCAGCAATCCAGTTGTGAACACTAGGAAAACGCAATCAGGCTGCAAGTGTTACTTTGGATTGTGGTGAATGAGCTGGCCATTCATTTTGCCTTCCTTCTTGCAGAAAGCAAACAACGGAATTGTGATGGTGACCTTCTTTGCCGAGATACTGGGCTGTGACAACAATGCAGTTGACATTTCGACCGTAGCAAGTGTGTACCTCCCAGGGCAGAAGTCAAGCACAGTGGGGGGACAAATCTGCCACTTTCAGTTCTCATTTTCCCAGTCTTAAATTCAGTTCTTCACATTTTCACAACACTCTACCAACTGGGGACGCGAGTGGCGCTGTGGTCTCAACCACTGAGCCTAGGGCTTGCCAATCGGAAGGTCGGAGGTTTGAATTCCCACTACGGGGTGAGCTCCCGTTGCTTGGTCTCAGCTCCTGCCAACCTAGCAGTTCGATAGCACATCAAAGTGCAAGTAGATTAATAGGTATTGCTCCGGCAGGAAGGTAAACGGTGTTTCTGTGTGCTGCTCTGGTTTGCCAGAAGCGGCTTAGTCATGCTTGCCACATGACCCAGAAAAACTGTCTGCGGACAAACGCCGGCTCCCTCGGCCAGTAAAGCGAGGTGAGTGCCACAACCCCAGAGTCATTCACGACTGGACTTAACTGCCATGGGTCCTTTACCTTTTTTACCTACCAGCAGGGATTTGGAATACAAGCTTGTGTCTCCTTACCTTATTGCTGTACACCACCTTGATATTTTATGAGTGGGCAATACACAAACACTTTTATAAATAAATGAAAATTGCCACTGCTGCAATTAGCAGCACAAAAAACCCTTCCGTGAATTCCAAAGAGAGATTAATTTCTGCTGCTGATTGCAGTGCATGTGTCAACTTAGACAGGATCAGAGTGGGAGGGAGGGGTTACACCTCCATTCCCCACATGCTGCGGTCTTGATTGAAAATGGACAGCCCTGCCATGTACTTGTTAGCAATTAAAAACAAAAACAAAAACCCCACACCCAGTACTGACCCCAGTGTTGCCCAGTGAACTCCATGGCTGAATTCTGATTTCAACTCTCTTCTCCCAGTCCAATTATTTACCAACCCCACACCACGCTAGTCACGTTTGCCGGTCTTTCTGAATCATGTAACTCATGCTTTCCATCCTCCCCTTAGATCATTTTGACCACATCAGGACAACGATAGGCTCAGAATATATCGGAATTGGTGGTGACTACGATGGAGTGAACAAGTTAGTAAACATTATTAGGGATAGGCAAGACTGAGGGACTAAGCTAGTAAATCAATATGTTGTTAACAACTTAATGAGTTCGTTAAACTGTGGGCATCCCATAAGCCACTGTGAGAGCAAGACGCACTTGTGGCTCATGGATTTCCCCCATCCTGATTGCTTGGCTGTTTGGTTTGCTGCACTCTGCTAGGATCTAATTGGTACTGTATTACTGTTTCTGGCATTGTGATTTGCTTTTTGTCTACTCCCTTGGCTTTGTTTGAAAAGAAATGTGGAAATAACAGCAGCAGGAGAAACAACAACAGTGTTTTACACTTAGGATTAATCTGCAAGATGTGAAGCAGTTGTTTACATTTCACCTGGAATTTTACCAGGCCTGAATTGTTTGGAGATAAATAATAATAATAATAATAATAATAATAATAATAATAATAATAATTTATTTATGTCCCACCATCTGGCTGGGTTTCCCCAGCCAATCTGGGCGGCTTCCAACCAAATATTAAAAACAATACAGCGTCAGACATTAAAAACTTCCCTAAACAGGGAAGTTTTTGTCTTTTAAAAGTAAAATAGTTCTTTATTGCCTTGACATCTGCTGGGAGGGCGTTCCACAAGGCGGGTGCCACTACTGAGAAGGCCCTCTGCCTGGTTCCCTGTAACCTCACTTCTCACAGCGAGAGAACCGCCAGAAGGCCCTCAGCACTGGACCGCGGTGTTCGGGCTGGATGATGGGCATGGAGACGCTCCTTCAGGTATACAGGAGATATTGAGAAGCTCAAGTACATTTGCTACCCACCTCCCTCAACTGACTTTCCTCTGAGGGGAAAAGAAGAATATACCATGCAGTAGCCTTTGCCAACCTGGTGCCTCTCCCCAGATACTTTGGACTATGACTCCCATCAGCACCAGCTGTGCTCGCTGAGGATGATGAGAGGTGCAGTCCAAAACCTTGAGAGGGCACCAGCTTGATGAAGGCTGCTAAAAACCAGAGTGTAGGAAACTGCAAGAGTTCAGTGTGGCCTTGCTAGCTGGGCTTTTGAAGTCCACTGTAAACATCCAAGGGTTGGTTGAAAGCAGCTTGCCCCTTGCTTTGTTCTGAGAAGGACATCAGCCCCCTTCTCTGCAATTACTGGCCAAAGGGAACCGTGGCTTATATGGTGAATTGTAATTTCTTTGCAGGTACCCAGAAGGGCTGGAAGATGTTTCCAAATACCCAGCCTTGATCGAGGAGCTGTTAAGGAGAGGTTGGAGTGAGGAGGAACTGGAAGGCGTTTTGAGACAGAACTTCCTTCGTGTTTTCCAGGAGGTGGAAAAAGTAAGAGTGAAATAATTCTATCTGTTTATCTAGCAGATCACCTTGGGCATTTGGATGTTCAGCTGAACTCATGCTAGGGATAGGGAAGAAATTCAGTTTAATGCAAAACTGCACTCATTTGCACTTCCTGAAACAAACCTAAGGGTCTGGTATAGATGCCTGAAGGGCCACATTCGGCCCCTGCGTTCCCTATTTTTGGTTTACAAGCATAAGTAATGTACCAGGCCTCCTGAACAAGCAGTAGCAACTTTGGGACTCTTATGGAAAACACATGTAATCTCCATATTCACACAACATGCCACTTGGGAATGTTGACGGGATACTTAAAACATTGTGTGATTAATTTTGCTTAGCAAAATTCTGGGGTGATGGTGGAAATAGATAACTTCGAAATTTGTTTGAATGGTTAAGGAAAGTTTAGATGATAGTTATAATAAATTGATTCACCTTATTGTAAACATTTATAGCAAAGCATAATTCTACAAATTGAATTACAATTTTTAAATGCCTGATATTGTCTACTGGAACAGAAGAATGAGAGACATTGACTTAGATCTTATCAAAGTTAGTTGAGCTTAGGTCACACTGAAATCATTGGGACAAGTTAGTTGAGTCTTAAATTAACTCCTATTGGTTGCAATAGGAACTGAGTTCAATTAATTAAGTTGGGATAATTTTATTATTTATACCCTGCCCATCTAGCTGGGTTTCCCCAGCCACTCTGGGCAGCTTACAGAATATATAAAACATAATAAAGCATCAAACATTAAAAACCTCCCCATACAGGGCTGCCTGCTTAACTTTCAGATGTCTTCTAAAAGTTATGTAGTTCTTAATCTCCTTTACATCTGAAGGGAGAGCTTCCCACAGGGAGGGTGCCGCTACTGAGAAGGCCCTCTAGTTATGCTAATGGTCCAGTGGTTTAATGTGCTTATGGCAACTTGATATTTTTAAATTTATTTTCCTTCTATTTCTCTGGCCTCTTGAATAAGCACCTAACATAGCCAGTAGCTATCAACTGCAGAGAGATATTACAGGCTTCCCATAGGCATCTGATTGGCCTCTGTCAGAACAGGATGCTGGGCTAGATGGACCTTTGGCCTGATCTGGACTTTTGGTTGTTGCTATTGTTGTTGTTGCTGCTGCTTTCTTAAATAGACAGACAGAACCATCAGTATATAAAGCAGCATTCCCCAGCCTAGGGACTTTCAGGTATTTTGGACTACATCTCCCAGCTGCTTAGATACCTGAAGTGAAGCCCCCTGCAGCAAGCAGGTTACAGTTAAAACTTAGACAGCTGGTGGAAACAAAAGAGCAAATGGAAAGATGGTGTGGTGACTGTAGTGAGGAGTAATGCAAATAAATATACCTACGGATTACATCTGCTTCTGTATTCTTCATTCTTTCATCCTTTTTAGTTTCATTGTATTGAAACTCCTATGCACCAGTTAGAAAAGATTGGTATACAAATTATTTAAATAGATAAAGAGGACGAACTCTAGGTTCTAGTGGGTTTTGCCTTCTAGTTAGCTCTGAATTTTGGATTTTTCTAGGTGCGTGATGAGAGTGCTTCCATGACAGCTGGAGAAGAGGAAATTTCCCCAGATGACGTACAACACGACTGCCGTTTAGACCTGAGGCGTCCTCCTGGTTAATGCCTTCTTCGTCTTCTGCTTGGGGACAACCAAGCACCTTAATATTGCTGTGTCCATGTGGGACTCATGTTGCTCACAGAGAATAATAAAGCTACTTGCCTCCACGAACATGTAAACTGGTGGCATCTGGTGATCTTTTAAGATCAGGGGGAGTGATCCTACAGCCTACAGGCAGAATTAGGCCTGACACAGGCATCAATTTGGCCCATGAGGCTATTCCCCCCAACCTACCCACTCCTGCCCTACATCTGTATTTTCAGGTCTGGGGTAGGTGGAGCTGCCAATGCACAATTGAGAGCTTTAAAGTATGCACCCTATTGTGCAAAAAAATAAAATAATAATAATAGTATTTTATATATATAAAAAGGCTATGTTTCTTTTCTCCTCCTGGCTAGCCTGGACATATAGAGCACCCTGTAACATCAGTATCCTTCCCATTCCCTACAGACAGAGCTAAGCTTTCACAATAGTGAATCACTATTTTGTATGTGTTGGACGGCATCTGTTTTATTCTCAAGACAAACAAGATGAAAGTCACAGAGTGGGCTGTAACACTTTTCTCATCTCGCCATTATTGAGTCACGGGAATCAGCGGGATTCTAAAAATTGGAGGAAGATTATTTTTCTACCAAGATATTACTTTCTAAGGGGCACAGTCTTCCCAACCACAAGGTATGGGGTAGCCAACACGCAGCCCTTCAAATGTTACAAACTACAACTCCCATCATCCCTAGTCATTGGCCATAATGGCTGCTTGCTGGTGGGAGTTGTATTCTAAAACATCTGGAAGGAATCAGAATGGCTACACTTAACACTGAGTAATGCTATCCAATTTTGTGCCTGTTGCATTTTTACCTAGTAAACCAGGAATGGGAAGACTTTGGGCTTCTAGGACCCGAGAGCCACCAAAAGGAAATGTGGGGCTTCTTGGCACATGTTCAGCCCGGAATTTGTTTTTGGTACACGGATTGGCCACACAATAATTCTACTTCTGGTCTCCACTCTACCTCTGCAAACCTTATTCATATCAGCAGCTTCATTTGCTATTGTGTTCAACAATTGGAAACTAGAATCCTTTCTGATATACTGAGAAATCACCCATAGACCTACTAGACAACCCCAATCTACCTTCTGCATGGAGTCACAATGTCCATCTTGATTCTGGGGAGGGGCTAAATAATCTGGGTTCAATCCCAAATTCAATCCCAGGCTAAGTAATCTGGGTTCAATCCCAGGTTCAATTGCCTGGCGTTGCTCCCACCTCACAAGCTTCCATTACAGCCACTGCCCTGTCTCTGACTGCTAGCAGGGAGGCTCACAAGCCTGGCTCAGACATTGTTTCCAGGGCTGCACCAAAGAGCATGTGCAGGTCCAGCCTGCCCTCATGAATGCTTGTTTGCTTGCCCAGCCCTGTCATTTGGGATGGGACCCATGTGAATCACTGTGCCTGCCCCACTCTTCAAAAAAGGGCTGTGTCAGGTGTTGAGTCAGTGACTAGCTATTGCCCAGTCATGCGCCATAGAGCTCTGCTTTGAATTCCTGAGCTGCGTAACCTGATCTGTGTTTGGACATTGTAGTAATTTGGGGAATGAAACCTTTGGCAAGAATGGTGCCAAGAGTCCATGTACTGCATCCACGAGTGGGAGCCAGGACAGGGACATTGGCTTGCAGTGTAGCACCAGGCATCTTGCCTGTGAGAGCTTAACACTCCCATTGCCCAGCCTTCTTCCCAGCTTTCTTGGATGATTTTTCTACCCCTGGCACCATATCATTACTTACCCTGAAAAACAGAATTCACCCCAAAAGCTGCTCAGTTTGCAGGTTCCATAGCAAAGGGTGGCTTGGGAACGGTGTCGTGGCAAGTTGTTTCACATACGCAGAACTGGAGATCAACAATTTGAAGGTGATGATAATGGCATCACCTATCAGCCTGGAGCTGTTTTCACCAAAACCGCAGTGATAGCAATGACAGGTAAGTAATTTTCACCACACACACACACACACACACACACACACACACATTCACTCTATTTATGCTGCAAAGTGTTTCAGCTTCTACCTTCTTCAGCTTCTCCGATAAAAATAAATTGATGCTTCCCTCCTGTCTAGAGAAAACCTCCATCCAAGGGAGGTGGCAACTAACAAAGAAGCTCTGTGGTGCAGGCTGCCCTGTCATTAGTATTGAAGCAAAATTCAGCTACCAGCCCAGTACATGGAATGAGACTGGCACCATCTTATCCTTTGCCTCATGGTCAGCCCTGTATGGGCTGCTTGTGTTAAGCCAAGAGGAAGGGAACAAAGTTTATGCTCTCCTCTCCTGAGTTGGAGCAAAGCTGGCAGTGTAACTTTGCACACACTTCTAAGAACACCAGGAGAGTGCCCGGCAAGGGGGCTCATCCTTCATTGAGTTCCAACTAACTCAGTCTAAGGAAGCAGGCCAGAATTAGCAGCCATAAAAGCCCAGATGAGCCCCAGCTGGCTCCTCTGGTCACCTGATCCCACTACAGTACATACTTTGGCAATCTAGAGCGATGGCACTGCAGTGTGACAGGGACCAGGCCATCAGTTCCCTCTGTTCCCTCTGTTTGCAGTCTGCCACTGCCTTGCCCACAAGACTTGATGCTGCTTGGGTTTTTCTGTCGCAGCCACCATTCTATTGCTCCAGCCTCTTACAGTGACCCCTGCTGGAACAGGCTACAAGGGCTATCTAGTAAAACATTTTTAGCAGTCTCTACCACAGGCATAGGCAAACTCGGCCCTCCAGCTGTTTTGGGACTACAACTCCCATCATCCCTAGCTAACACGACCAGTGGCTAGGGATGATGGGCGTTGTACTCCCAAAACATCTGGAGGGCCAAGTTTGCCTATGCCTGCTCTACCAGTTACTTTCCTGAGGGAAACTCGCAGGAGGATTTTGCACCAGCAGTCAAGTAATTTATTTTGGGCAATCCGATTATGTAAAGTTTATTACTGCTGTTTGAGATCAACTTAGCAACAGACACACTCAAGAAAAGTATTTTACCTCTGCAAGAGCACATTTTCACTTTCTAAGGTGATTGGTGTAAATACCTTAACCATGCACCAAACACATTTTATCCATGGCTCAAATACTCCCAGAAGCACAGCTGTTGCAACCTGATGCAATTCAGGTGTGTTGTTGTTGTTGTGTGTGTGTAGCTGTATTTTTTCCTGCAATGTTTAAAAGCTGGAGCTAGGTGGCAGCACTTTCTCTGTGTTTCCTGCTGTAACCGTAGGGAAGTAGCAAAGAATCCCCACCACCACCCTGCTTTAAAAGTAAAGGTTCCTGAAATTATGGAGCACCATCACAATTAGATAATTTTAGATTCTGGACTTATTGGGCTCGTGAATGGCATTGAATATTGCTTCACTTACTTAGGGAAGGGCTATAGCTTTGCATGTTAACTGTCTATGGTGTTTCCAGGTAAGGTTCTGAATGCTTGCTGTCGGAAGGCTGGAGAGCTGCTGCCAGTTAGGTGAGCTACAAGACCAATGGCCTTATCTGAGTCAGTGTAAGTTCCAGAACATATGTTGAGTTATAGCGCATTGATATACTCTGCCTGCAGAAGGTCTCATGTTCACCCTCCAGTATCTGCAGTATGTTGCCCAGCATGGCTACACTGGAGTAGATAATACAGCTGTGCGAATTGGAGCTGATGGACACTGTAGTCCCAAACACCAGGTGTAATGGTTCTAGGGGTTGCTCGTGCGTAAGCCAGTGCAAACACCTGGCTGGGTTGCCTGAGTGAACCTTTCCTGTCCGGACAGCCACTCACCCGTGGCTGTCTCAATCGCTGGCAGAATCCATCAGTGGGCGTTTCTTAAACTTCTTCCAGCAAAGAAGCGCTTTGACGCCTAGTCTCCTCCTACTCTCTCTGCGCGAAAGCCTTCTGCGCAAGGAGAGCGTAGGCAGCGGAGGACCTCTACTCTCCCCGCTGGTCCCCGGCAAGGAGTCATGGGGCCACCTCGCCGCTTCCCCCATCTGCCCCCCTTCTCCACTGTTGCTACGCTGATTCTCTTCCCCAGAGGATGGGCTGCCTCTCCCACTCCCGGGACGCTCTCCGGAATCCCTCTGGATTTTGCTCTCTCCCTCCAGCACTGATGGCAGTTCCCTGACACCAGGTTTAAGGAAAGCTGTGTAGCGTGACTTAGTATAAGAACATTCCTGAGGAAGGCTGGGCAGTTGTGGAGGGTGATGCCTCTAACCTCCTTACCAGCCCCTGGTCTCCTCTTCCCAAAAGGGTTATTACCAATTCATGGCCAAACAATTCTCAGTATTTGCCTTTATATCTTGCCAGGGCTGCTTTGCAGTTGCTAAAAAATGTAATTTCCTCTCTGCATTGGATCACCTCCATGCCTCAGTGACTATATTTGTTGTTGTCAACAATGTGCCGTCACAAGAGTACTTGGAAAGTGGCCGGCTTAGCTCTCAGTGGTCCTCATTCATCCTATGAGAGCCAGTGTGGTGTAGTGGTTAAGAGCGGTAGTCACTTAATCTGGGGAACCAGGTTCGCGTCTCCGCTCCTCCACATGCAGCTGCTGGGTGACCTTGGGCCAGTCACACTTCTCTGAAGTCTCTCAGCCCCACTCACCTCACAGAGTGTTTGTTGTGGGGGAGGAAGAGAAAGGAGATTGTTAGCCGCTTTGAGACTCCTGAAGGGGAGTGAAAGGCGGGATATCAAATCCAAACTCTATGGGACAAAGCATGTGAGTTGCAATCCAGGACACAGTTGCGAGGGGGGCAAACCTGCCACACGTGGCAAGCATGAAGCCCACTGCAGCTCCCCCCCCCCCCAGCCTTAGCCTCAAATCCCCAAGGGTGCATCTCTTCACTTTCTCCCAGAGAACATTACTGACTCGTAAAATGTATGCTCTGTCATTCTGCTATAATCACAGCACTCTGGGAAGCTTCAATTTAAAAACTATTAACAGAATAGATCGTAAAACATTTACAAATGCAATAAAATGAGAGGCAGTTATAGCCGATAAAAACAGTTCTAAAAAAAACCACCCCAACAACTAAGGGGAATCATGTTACTAAGAAAACAAAAAACCTTCAGTCTGGTAGGTCAAAAGTGGGCCAGAGTAAGACATCAGAAAACCAGTAAACTGGGGGGGGGGGGGGGGAGAGAAAACCTGTGAGGTATGGACTTTGATTGTTCTACTTGCAGAAAAAGGTATTAGCTAGGATAGATAGATGATAGATTGATAGATAGATAGATAGATAGATAGATAGATAGATAGATAGATAGATAGATGATAGATAGATAGATAGATAGATAGATAGATAGATGATACCCAGAGAGGCAGGCAGGCAGCTATACTGTACCAGTCATCTCGTCCAGCCTCGCTTGCACAATCTGCAGTGCAGGATGCAACACTGGCAGCCCTGACAGGTGCCCATCCAACTTCTGCTTAATTCTCTCCCAGAGAAGAAGAGCTGACCAACCCACCAAGGTAGACTGCTCTACTGTTAAAACAGTTGATCCTGTTAGGATGCTTCTCCTAATACTTAGCCAAGATCTTCCCTGCAATTTCATCTGTTGGTCTGTGTTTTGCTTCTGTGTGGCAGCCCTTCAGATATTCAAAGACCACTCATGCCTCCCCTTGACCTTTGCTTCTCTGAGCTAAACATGCCTGGCTCTTTCAAATAATTTGTTATAGGACTTGGTTTCCAGACCCCTAAGATAGTTGGAAATGAGATTGGGAGAGAGGTATTAACAGCTATTTCCACCTCAGTCCATAGCATGGGTTGCTCTAATGCAAATCGTCTAGCTAATGTTCTATCCCAGTTCCTGCTGTTCGTGGGTTCTGTTCCCAGAGGAGTCCACTTAACCATTTCCCCACCTCTGTAGGTAAATATACTGAGTACCTTTTCCACTGCAGCGTTATGACATGCTTTGCCTGATTTTAAAGTGCTTTTGAGAAAGTCTGATAAAAGGGAGGTCTGCAGAGTGCATAATCAAGCCCAGACGGCAAAATAGAAGCATTTCAGAAATTCATGACTCCCCGGTGCTCAGATAAACAGCATCAAAATGAGCCAAAGCAATGTTAAGTAATCTTGGCTCTGGCCAATTTACACGACTGTCTTGACATTCTCACATGCAGGGGAGGTATATAAAATGAAAAACAATTGGATTGGGCCAGCATCCAATTTCCCACAGGGGACAACCTGTGAAGCCCACAAGCAAGACGTGCACACCTGTTGTCCTTTCTCATTGTGGTTGCCCAGCAACTGCTTTGAGAGACTCAAGCTCAACCTGTAACAAAATATTGCACTATGGAGTGTTTCGGTTCAGCCAGCCATGCCCCCCTCTAAGACACTCCATTCCCTCTCTCCTGTCGGGTCATCCTCTCAAACAGCCAGACAACATTCCACAATCACTTAATTAGCTGAGACTGCACTGGGCTCTGCACTTCTGCAGAACTTGGAGTTTTCCTTCGGCTGCTGATACATAGCTGTCAAGTGTCCCTTATTTGAAGGGACAGTCCCTTATTCCAGCGCCATGTTCCGCTGCTGTCCCTTATTGATGGATGTCCCTTAAATGTCCCTTAAATGATGTCCCTTAAATTTCAAAGGAAGCAGCTCCTCTCCCTCCCCCCCTGCCGGCCAGGGAGGAGGGAGGCTCCAACTGTGTTGCTTGGCTGTGTTGCTTGGCTGTGTTGCTCACTCAATAAGAAGTCTAAGAACGACTGGGGGGTGGAGCTTGCATGCCTTGTGTGTGGCTAGTTAATGCAAGCTGAGGAGGTTTTTGAATGCTGGACGCCATTTTGTTGCACGTGCTGCTGCAAACTTTGCAGTGCAAAGCCAGGCCGAGGAGCCATCTTAAGTTGAGGCTGGATAGGCCTTGTGGTGCATGTGATTCAGATTCTATTCAGTTGAACCTCTGGTTACAAAGTTGGTTGGACAGTGTTCTTGAAGCTACCAGCATGAGTTTGACCAGACTGCAGGAGGACAGGAAGACTGGAGTGCCTGGAACAGGTGAGGCTGCAGGTCCCTTATTTTGGCTGCTGGTCCCTTATTTTCAAGGCTGCTGGTCCCTTATTTTCAAATCTGTAAGTTGACAGCTGTGTGCTGATATGTCCTGTGCATGGATGGTACTGTTTTGGCTACATAAGTCATGACACTCTGCTCCAAACACTGAAAACATAGAGGGAATGACACAGCCTCTGAACGCTGTGGTTGCATATGGCTCTTGTGGAAAGCATCCATGGAGAGACCCAGCCTTCTTCAGAAGTTTGTCTGGTTTCCTGTTTTGAAGCCGTCTAAGTCAGCATATCATAAATGCAACCTGTGTTCTATGGGGAAAGTACTTTCTTTTATGGGGGGGGCGGGCAATTGTTTTGCCAAATAAGTGTTCCTAGTCAAAACTGCATAGAAAAATGTGTATATTAGGAATGAACTGCCATAAGATGCTGAAGAATTTTCCTGAGGACTTTTTGTTATCAGTGCAAGCTTATGTAGAAATGTGGAGAAGTGAATTGTAAAAGTGGAAAAATGTGAAACTAATAGAAACTGAAATTGATAGATTCAGCTTTCCCTACCTTAGTCACTCTTGGCTTTTTCCAGTCAGATCAGCCATCCACCTTATTTGACATTTACATATTGCTTCACTGACAGCTCCCTTATTATCTCCACTTTTCAAGACCTAATGAAGCAATCTCCTTTGCTTCTTTAGGCAGGACATAATGACATAAAGCTGAAAGAGCAGCAAAATGTGTCAGAAGCCGGAACGCTTTCTTCAGAGAGCAGTACATTTTAAGACTCTATTCTTGCTCCTGATGAAAGCAGAAAATTGCAGCCTCTGTGTAACTTAAGGCTGCAATTCTATACCAGCTTAACTAGGAGGAAGCCTCACTGAACTTACTTCTTCTGAGTACACTTGTGGCCATCTACAGGCTGTCAGTATTTTGCCAGAGAGATTCAGGTGCATCCCAGAACTTTAGGTTTATGCAATTAAAGTGGATTTGGGTGTTCTAGTCCAACTCCCTGCAATGCAGGAATCTGCAGGATATATACTTGAATTGTAAAAAAAAAAAAAAAAAAAAAGCCTCTTGTTTGCCTGGATGACTCTCCTTCATTGAAGGTTTTTAAACAGAAGTTGGATGGCTATCTGTTGGGGGACATATGCTTTGAAATACTGTTGTAAGCTTCAGGAGCACACAGAACTATTGGGCAGAACAGCAGCCTGAATGGTCAGGACCCACGGGAAGGGAGTGAGGTTTTTGTCTTGTAAGACATTATTTAGCTGAAAAGGGATTGATAGATGTATTAAATTATAAAATTACTGGCCATTACAGAGTGGACTGGAATGGGAATGGCTAAATAAAAATGTATTTGAATTAATGTTAATGAATTACCTTGCTCTCTCTCCATGGCTGTGAAACCTCCTTCCCTCTTCCTTACTGAAGAGTTCTGCATAGCAGGAAAGCTTATGTACCTGTTAACAAAAGTTAGTCAAATAAAAAGCATATTTTGACCTAAAAAAATAAAATACTGCTGTAAATCTGTCTTGATTTTATAGTTTTATCTTATTGTAAACTGCTTTAAGGGCTTTTCTTTTCTATTTTTTTTACAACCAAATAAATGAATGAAATAAAATTATTTACTTGTGATTCCTGTTTTGCAGGGGGTTGGACTAGATGACCTTTTGGAGCCCAACCAACTCTACAATTCTATGTTTCTGTGAGCCTCATTGGGTGTGCAGCAGGTCCAGGGAAGGGCATGCCCTAGGGAGAAGGCGTGGTTTAGACCTGAGGGGCCAGGCAGGTAGGATACCAGAAGGTTTCTATTGGAGAAGGTGGCCCTCAGATTTCAAAAGATTTCCTGATCTGGATTTCTTCAGGTCTCTGGGCAGCCTGCATTTCTTGTATAGAATATTGACACACACAAAGAAACACACCTCCTTTGTGTACATGTTTTTTAATACTGCACAGAAAGTTGAATGCCTAGCGAGCCAGCAGAAGGACTGAAATATCTGTCAATTCTGATTTCTCTCGGTTTCTCACTTTTCTAAGAATACGTTTAGTTCTCCACCATTCCATATCAGTTTGCATGAAATAATTTAAAAAGTCCTCATGAAAATTCTAGTGCAAATTTCTCCCAATATACACATTTTCCAATGCAAATTTGCCACATATGCACACATTTGCAAAGCAATTTCCCTAAGATGATTCACATTTGCATGCTGATATATGCATTTTTATGCACACTTAGCCCTAGTATATGCATTTTTATATACATGGCTAGAGAACTGCATTGCAATGTTCAGAGAAATGCAAATTTCAAAGAACAGCTGTGTTTAGGTTTGCGTATGGCTCTGGAAAATGCAAAAAGCTTCACCTTTAAATTGAACTTCTGCCCCACCCCTAGAACATGTTTTTAATTTGCACTGTAGACTTTGGGAAACTGGGGAAAAGGCAATAATTTTGATTACCCTCATAGAAACACTCACTATACCAGCACTTCATCTGCTTAGCTGTCAGCCCTCTCCCCTCCCTCTGACTACAAAGCAAAGGGAGGAGGAGCTAGAAAGGGCTCAGTCTGCCACTCTCAGCCTAGGCTCACAACACTTCAGCCGCAGATCTTTGGAAGAGGCTTAAGGCAACAGCCTCTCAAGCGTAGAGGTCTCTTTAGCTCTTTCTCTCTCGCATGCTGCCTCCGCCTGCTGCTGACCTTTGGCTTCCAGTGACAAGCAAAGACCAAACCCAGAAGATTCTCGTCCAGCTGCCTGTCTAGCCGCACATCCTTTTGTGGGGCATCACTGACGTTGACCACCACCATACTGGAGAAGGTATCTGAAGAGAGAGCATTTGGGATCCAACAAGTCTCCATCCTGGAGGAGAAGCCTTTGCCCCAGGGTCTAAGAACTCCCAAACCTCCAGACAAAACACACAGACACCCTCTTTTTCCTGGAGGGTCCAAGGAAAGGTAGTTCTCTCCCTTGAAAGGGTGTGGGGGGCATCCCATCAAGTGACCTGGCTCCATGGAAGAAGCTGTGAGCAATGCTACCGTTTGCAGCCATGACTTTGGGTTCGAAGAAGCCAACGCCTCTCTTTCCTGGCCAAGCGTATCTGGAAGTGGCCCAGAGACGGTGATTGTGCCTGTGTTGTTTGGGGTGATCTTCCTCCTGGGCATGGTGGGGAATATGCTGGTCCTGGTGGTGCTTGGCCATCTCCGGCCAGGTGGGCGCCCATCACGCAGTGCCACCAACATCTTCATCCTCAACCTGAGCATTGCAGACTGCTCTTTCCTCGTCTTCTGTGTCCCCTTCCAGGCCACCATCTACTCCCTGCCTGAGTGGGTCTTCGGTGCCTTCTTCTGCAAGTGGGTCCACTACCTGGTCATGACCACCATGCTGGTCAGCATCTTCACCTTGGTGGCCATGTCGGTGGACAGGTACATCGCCGTGGTGCACGCCAAGCGCTCACTCTGCATCCGCAGCAAGCGCAACGCCACCCTGGGCGTGGGGGTCATCTGGATCCTGTCTCTGCTCATCGCCATCCCGGTGGCTCAGCACCAGGCCCTCATGAGAGGCCACCGGCAGGCACCCAACAGCTCCTTCTGCTGGGAGCATTGGGCAGACAACCCTGCAGCCAAGCAGGTCTACAAGGTTACCATTCTGGTGGTGGGTTACCTGCTACCTCTGGTGCTCATCACTTGCTGCTATGCCAAGGTGGGTATCGGGGCAAGAGGGGATGGAGATGGATGGTTGGCAACAGGTTTCGGAATGCTGCCACAGACTTCTTCTCTGTGGCTGAGTTTAAGCCATGACTATTTGGTCCCAAAACTTCTTTTGACAGCCTGCGTAAGACCATTAGGTCTAAGACCATGTAAACTGCGCCACTGGCAATCCCAGCATGTTTGAAGTTAGCTATGTCACTAGATCTCTTGAAAATCTGAGATTAAGAAGTGTGGAGGGGCATTTTCTCCATTCTTGCACTTTTTCTCATGGTCATCTTCATACTTTCTCTCCATCAGCTATGTGCAAGTCTCTCCTCCCTTAGATATCTGGCAGAACACCTCACTGCTTTCTTTCTAGAAATGTTCTTCTTCCTGCTCTTGCTCTTTTTCTGCTTTGTTCTCTCTTGTAGACTGCCTTGGCTCCCGTTATTTTCTACATTCATTTTTGCTTCAGCCTAGTACAGGCGCTAAGATTTCCCTTTTTCTTCTCCCTTTCCAAGTCCCCTAGGACAGTGATGAGCATCAAATGGATTGTGTTCACGGGTGGACACTTTCTGGGGTTTTTGCCGCAAATGCTAAGTTACGGATGGTGGTCTAAGGAGAAAGGTGGTTCTTACTGCACATGTGGACCACCCATGGCCTGAGGGCCAATCCCTAGCCTCAGATACCTTCAGTGTGGCCCCCAAAGGTGACCCCTTGCCACCAAATGCCTCCCCCAAATTTTGCTGCATCTCTATGTTCATTCTCCCCATGTCCTGTGCACAGCCCTCCCCATAGAGATTTGGCCATGCTCAGGAGCTGGGACCTACACCTTAACTCTAATATTGGTAAAGGTAAAGGTAAAGGTACCCCTGCCCATACGGGCCAGTCGTGTCTGACTCTGGGGTTGCGCGCCCATCTCGCTTAAGAGGCTGGGGGCCAGCGCTGTCCGCAGACACTTCCGGGTCACGTGGCCAGAGTGACAAGCTGCATCTGGCGACCCAGCGCAGCACATGGAAACGCCGTTTACCTTCCCGCTAGTAAGCAGTCCCTATTTATCTACTTGCACCCGGAGGTGCTTTCGAACTGCTAGGTTGGCAGGTGCTGGGACCGAACGACGGGAGCGGACCCCGCCGTGGGGATTCGAACCGCCGACCTGACGATCGGCAAGTCCTAGGCGCTGAGGTTTTACCCACAGCGCCACCCGCGTCCCCCTAATATTGGTAGGTAACCCTTAACTGGTGCTACTCCTGGGCTACACCAGTCTAGCTACTGGTGCTATTCTAGTGGATCTCTATGGCTGATGAAGCCTTGGATTGCTGGGGGTGGGGGAAATGAGCTGCAGTTAGGGGTGTGAATTGTTGTCCATTTCCTCCTGATGTGCATCTATCAAAAGAAGGTCTTTCTCCCTTTTCATGCTCTCTCATTTCCCCATTCATTCGGTGGGATTTCTCTCTGAGTGGACATGTTGAGGATTGGTGTTGTAAGGCTGCATGTGCCATGTGCATTACTTAGACAGAGGTTATTCCCTAAGTCAGGGGGGACCAAATGTCCAAAGGGTTTCCTGAGAGTAAACCCCACAGATCTCCAAGGGACTTACTTTTAAGTAGACATAGTTAGGATTCAGGCAAATAGTTTGCCCCACCCTGTAGCTCTCCAGAGGGGATTTATTTTTCTTACTCATATTCTTCTTTTTCTTACTCATATTCCTATTCTTCCATGATTATTGTGACTAGTTTAATTGCATGCTAGACAATTGCCTGTACAGCCAATTTGAAAAGGGCAGTATTATTAGCATTATCTACATAAACACCTGCCATTGGAAAAAACAAAACAAAATAACAGATCGGATTGTGGCTTGTTATGCGTGCTTACTCCGGATTTGGAATTGCAGTTGTTGTTGTTGTTGTTGTTGTATGTTTACTCAAAAGTAACTCCCGACCTTGGATGTGATTTGGACAACACAATATCCCTGAAATCCTGTGTACAACAGAACAAACGGACCTGCCTCATTGCTTTGAGGGGCTAAAGAGAGCCTTGAGATACTGGGGGTGAAGTGCAGAAAGGTAGTCTTAGTAGGACAGGATCCTACAGAAGTAAGTGCCATTGAATTTAAAAGGGGTTACTCCTATGTAAGTCAGTTTAGGACAGCAACCTTAGTCCAGTTTGTTTACTCAAATGTTTAAGTCCCAATCTCTGGGTGCTTTGGACAGCACAACATGCCTGCAATGTAGCAAATCCTAATCAAATAACTCATTCTCAGAGCAGACTGACTGAAATGACTGAACCTAAGTTAGTGTGCCTATTAACTTGAATGACCTACTACTTTCAGTAGAACTAGACTGAATACCACCCCAGGCCTACTCATAAGGAAGTCCTAATGGGGCTTACACTCAGGTAGGTGGGTTTAGCGACAGATATGCACAGTTTTTATATAGTTGTTGTTGTTGTTGTTAAAAATTTATATACTGCCCTATACCAGGGGGTCTCAGGGTGATTCACAGAATAAAATCAAGATATAAAACCACAAAATACATAATAAAAACAAAAACAAAAACCTAATAGCTCCCCCGCAAAAGCACATTTTAAAAGGGCATAGGATGCCAGCAATTGCCCCCTTGCACTTGAATGAAGTTAATCCAGTCTTGAGGACTAGTAAATTTGTGAATAAAGGCAATTTCTGCACTCATTTCAGAATTCCCTGCGTGGGTTTGGTTTCTTTTGAATAAAGGTCAGCGGAAACTGTGGTGTCTTTAGGATATATGGGTTTTTTAAACCCATTTATACAACCAGAGTATAGGATGGAGGGACTCGTGGCATTAATACTCCACAGGTCTTCCTTCCCCATTCAGTTTCCAGGAAAGCCCCAAACTCATCTTTGGGTCTTACCTTTTGTCTCTCCAGCTTCTAGCATTAGCCCAAATTCTGCCTACTGTTCTTCCACCTCACAAGAGGATGCCACTTCCAACATTATTTATTTTATTTTAGCATATTTATTACCCAACCTTCACCAAAGGTAACAGAACGAGTTACAAAACAATAAAACACAACAGGCAGTAAACATTAAAACAATTACCCACCAATACAATCATACGCAGAAAATAAACCATCATTTCACCTTCCCAAGACCTGGGCAAAAGAATATACACCTTTTCCTTTTTTATGAAATAGCTGGGTCCAGGTGTACCTCAAGGAGCAGGGAGTTCCAATGTCTGGGAGCCACCTTTAACAATGATTGCAGGAAAGCCTGTGTTGTTCTATGATGAGATAAATGTTGTTTGTTTGCGACTGTTTGTAATGGAAGGTCTGTGTATTTAAAGCATTTTTAAGAGAGAGAGTGTGAGAGACACTCAAAGTGTATTTATCTCTTCCCATAACCCCTGTGCCACATATTCTCTCCAAGGCTTCTCAATTACCACCCTTAGACCATTTGTCCCAGTTAGGATGTGTGAATATTTCAATTTCTCTCCCTCCCCCCCAATCTTAAGTAAAGTTCTTCACATTACCACATCAGTTTGTGGTTTTGTGAGGTTTTTTTTTTTAAAAAAAAGTCCTCGTGAACCAGTTACAAACATTTTAATTGAGTCATCATATGAGTTTTCATTCCATTTGCATATGAATAAGATAGTAGTTCTGAAGCAAGAAGTGTGCTCCCTTTATTTTTAGGTGATGTACAAGTGTGTCATCAGAAGACTGTATCTTATGGTACACGATGTTTAGATCACCTTGTACAAAGTGTGTGTGTGTGTGTGTGTGTGTGTACCTACCATCTTGCATGATAATTTAGGGACACCATTTCAGCTGATTCAAAGTTTCTGAATTGATTAAACTTTGCAGTCCTACTTTTTAATGTGTTTTCTTTCTGAGCAAAATTCAGACAGAGATCCTTTGCAGAATATCATTTTCTTCTGCAGGTAATAGTTGGGGCAGTGAAATTGCTCGCATCAAATTCTATCAAGCAAGTGGATTACATTAGCACATAGTGTGTCTGGGCAAAGAAAGCCTTTCCAAGGAGAGGGATAGCTATGATCATCCTTGTGTAATTTTTTGGGGACAAGACCTGGTTACACAAATTGCTACATAGTTTCTAAATAAGTTTTGGAAAGACCACAGGGAATATAATATATACGAAGGTAAAATATATTTATTGATCTGCCCACTTTTGTCTCTGGTTCTGGCCCTCTCTTACGATGTCCAGAAGGGAAAGCAGCCCTTGCATTCGCTTCTGGGCCACTATGCTCTAGCTTGTCTCTGAGACAGGTGTGGCTGGAGACATGTATATTAAGGGCAGAGGAAGGTTAAGAACAGTTTCAGGTTAAGAACGGACCTCCGGAACGAATTAAGTACTTAACCCGAGGTACCACTGTAGTCCGGCCCACCACATAGTCTGAGGGACAGTGTTCTGACCCTTCTGAAAAAGTTTGCTGACCCCTGCTCTATTTCAAGGGTAGGAAGCCTGTTCATTGAATGCAACCCACAGAAACCTAGGAAGCTGCCTTATAGCGAGTCAGACCATTGGTTCACCTTGCTAAGTATTGGCTTCCTTTCAGTTAGTAGCAGTGACCCATCTGCTGGGAAGCTGGCGCAGCAGCTATGCTCCCCCTGGCGAGTCACTTCCACTTTCCTGAGTGGCTCCACCTCCTCACTGCAACAAGTCCAAGGGGAGGGCGACTTGTCGTTGTGTGGACTCTCCGCAGATACCCAGTTATGCTGACTCTTGGTGCTGGGCCAGGTGCAAAGATGAGCAAAATGATAAGCAGCAACCTTCAACAAAATGAAGAGCAGGAGCGGAAAAAGTGTCACAAAGAGTTAGGCTGGTGTAGTTGTTAGATCAGGACTTTGGAGACCCATGTTCAAATCCCCATTCAGTTAGGAAGCCTTGGACAAGTCACTGGGAGTGGCCTAAGCAAACGAATGTGCAGAAGCATATTGTTCCACTGTGAACCCACCTCAGGTGCCAACACTGCAGGGAAGATGTGGATCAATCGAAGGAAAGGTGATCAGTCTTGCTTTGGGACAGGCAGGTGGCTGGAGCCAATGCATGTATGTTTCCTTCCAAGCAAAAAATTCTGTAGTGTGGCTGCTTGGGAGTAGTTTGATTGCCTTCTGCCTCATTGCTTTGTGTGAGTATGCCAGCAAGAGGTATACATGATGGATTTTCTTTTAATTAATTGGCTTAAGTACGTAAAGTCTCCTAGCATTAATGGTTAAGCACACTCATTGCTTGGTTACAGTGCTTGCTGTAACTGCGTTTTCAAAAGGTTAATCTAAATTTTGTTGGTGCACTGCATGAATTCCCCCCTCTTAATGTCATTCTTTAAAATAATAAAAATAAAATCTCCAGTGAGTCTAACGTACCTTATCTTGATCCTGGAATGGAGTTAAATAAAAGCAAAACCTTTATGCAGAAATTATTTACCTGAAAGTAAATAATAGACATTTGTTTACAAGCAGCTATGTAAAAAGAAAAAGTCTCTGTTGAGGGGAAGGGCCATAGCTCAGGGGACGGCATCTGCTTGGTTTGCATGAAGAAGGTCTCAGGTTCAGTCCCTGATATTTCCAGGTAAGACTGGGAATGTCCTCTGCCTGAAACTCCAGAGAGCTGCTGCCAGTCCGTGCAGACAAAGGTGAGGGAACTTTTTCAGCCCAAGGGCCACATTTCTTTCTGGGCAACCTTCCGAGGGCCACATGCCAATGGTGGGCAGGGCCGGAAACAAAAGTGGGCAGAGCAATGAATGCAAATGCCACCTTTGCACAGTAGCTTAGTTTCTGCACGTTCCCCTCTTTATCTATTTATTATTTACAGATATATTTATATACCACTATATCACAAAAAACATATCATCCTCCATTCAGGGAAGCAAAAGGTCTCATCAGAGTTCAAGGACACATTCCAGCCAGGCAAGAACCCCCAAGGTGCAACAGACGTCCGGGTTAGCGCCATCGGCGAATGGCGGAGTTCCTCCGACCGGAGGAACTAGCTCCGTGGAAACTGGGTCTTCCCGCCGCGGCGAAGGTGGGGACCCGCTAGAAATCCCAGGTGGAGGAAGCCTGGGAACGTGAGGTTCGGCAGGGTACCTGGAGCGCCCCCCTACTCACGGGGAACCCCTTTTTGGGATTCCGGAGTGAAGTGGGGTGAGTGGCGCTTCTGCGAACTGACTGCTACTTTCACGGAGTGAAGCCGCACAGCCATCGCCGGAGAGCGCTGACTTTTTCCTGTGGACAATTGGATCTAAAATAAGCACCCGTGAGTAGAAACGGAAAATTGGATCAAGAAATATCTTAATTTGACATCGAAGCGGGAAGGTTCAAAACAGGAAGTCCGCCTTCCGCTTTTTGTATATAGACTGAAGCAAAAACCTTGTAAGCTAAAGCCTGGAAAGTCGTTAAAAAAGCCTAGATTTCCTTCATTTACAACTACTGAAACCCCCTTGGAAGCAGGAGAAAAGGGGGGGGGACTTTGTGTAACGCCTGCAGGAGAGGGAGTGAAGAAAGATAAGTTTCCACCATCTCTAACCTGGGAACGGGGTGTCAGAGACAGAAATTGTTGGAGAGGTTCATTGACTGTGAATGGAATACTTTGACAGATAGCTAAAGAAGAGAAATAAACTGATTCCAATGTTGCCTTTTTCATTCTAAAGAAACAAAATATCTGAAAAAATGAAAGTAATTTTCCTTTGTTGGACTTGCCTTAAAAAGATGGATATAAATAGAAATTGTCTCCTCTAGAGGGAGCTTGCTAAATTGTTGCTGCAGCCACAGCTATGAGATTAAGATCGTGGGATTAGTCCTTTTGACCTTGACTAAATATGAGCTGGAAGGAAGTTTTGGTGCTTGCTCTATGCAAGACAAGTGCTTTGTTGGAACAGATGCATGAGAAGATGGATTTGATGAATGAGAAAATGGATTTGATGACTGTTGTGGCCAATAACTGTGGACAATTAGTGAATAGTGATACAGAAACCATCCAGGGTCCAACTCAGGAACCTGTACTGATTGGGCAAGTGCAGAAGATAATGGAGGAGGCTGCAGTTGCACCTCAAATAATACAAATGGAGAGGCCCAAGGCCCCACAGGAGCATAAGCCGTTGTTTTTGAAGATTGAAGTTGGAGTGGGCCAGGGGGAGTCTGGAGCTGAGGAGGCTTTTAACTTTGGAGAGACTTCGAAATATGCTCGTAAATATTTTTTTGATTATATTGATGTCTGTGGGGAGTGGGACTGTGGGGAATGGGCTGATTTGATGAAGGGAGATGGAGATAACTTTGGGTTGGAACCCCCCAGAGACCTACTCCTCAACGAGAAAGGAAAGAAATTAAGAAAGAGACCAACAAAAGACAAGGAAAAGTGCAAGTATAAACAAGAAGAAGAAGATCTGCAGAAGGGACATGGAAGAGACTTAAGGGCCTCGGACATAAGGCTTCCAGGTTGATGGACTAGATGGAATGGACAGTAAGGACTGACATGACCCGAGACCAGGAAGAAGAGACGTTGGATGAAGATTGGAAGAAAATTTATAAAGAAAACTTTTTATTTAGGGAATTAGCCTAAAATTAATGAATATTAGGGGAAATGTTGGAATGAAACTATATGACTCTAGCAGAAATGATATCAGGGGTTATGTATAACTGAGTATTAAGTTTTAAGCTTTAAGGTATTTTATGGTAAGATAAGGTTAAATAAATTAAGGTAATTTGAATAACAGAATATGGGGAAAGATGGAAAGGATCTGTCGAGTTAATTAATAGGTTAAATTGTTAAGATAAATTATTTAATAAAAATTGAGAAAGATGGAAAGAATTTGCTGAAATAACTAACTAAACTAGAATACAAAAAGGGAGGTGCGAGGAGGTCAACGAAACAAGCAAATGGAAGTTATATGGGATTTGTGCCTTTTTCTCTCTCCTTTTTTATTTTTTTTATTGTATTGTATTGGTTTTTATGTTTTGCATTTTTTCTTCTTTTTATGTATTGTAGTGTTGTTTTTTATTTTTTATTTTTTTCTGTAATTCTGAAATTATTAATAAATATTATTTTTTTTAAAAAAAGAACCCCCAAGGTGCAAAGCAGAGTCAGCGAAGGGGGCAGCCTGGGAAGGTGAGGGGTAGGGGTAGAGGGTATCCTCCGGAGGGTTTGGAGGACCAGATAGAGAGGCTTGTTAGGCCACATTTGGCCCTTGGGGATGAGGTTCCCCATCCCTGGTATAGACAATACTGAGCTAGATGGACCAGTGCTGTGACTCACTGACAGGCACCTTCCTGTGTAATGGATCTACTAAGCCTTGCGTAGGCAAAAAGCAGGCTGGGATCTACTGCTAAATCTTTTTGAAACCTGCAGTAAGTAGATCACAAGAATTTTCAACCTCCAGAGACAAAGAGAGAGAGAGAACACTCAGTTCTGGTAATGAGAATGAATCCCTGGGCTGAGCATAATGCTCAGAAGTATCTTCGTCCTTCTTCAACTGTGAGTGTATGTCTGCTGCACTGAGCCAGTGTGTGGAGGGGAAGTCCATGTGGTGCCCTCAAGATGAGTGTTGTTGGACTTTGATTCCAGCTCTCATCATCCCTGACTAATGGTCCTGCTGGCTGGGATTGGTAGAAGGCAGAGTCCAACAACATCTGGAGGGCACCATATTGGTTATCTCTGCACTTGGTTCCAGTTGGTGGCTGTCAGAGATCCCATACGAAAGCTAAGTAGATGACACAAACCGGGTGCCCGCCCACCACTGTACTTAGCAACACACACCTGCTGAGACTGGCTGTGCCTCTTAGAGATCATAGATGAGAAGCAGGAGTTCTCTAATATAAAGATATAAATAGAAGCCAGTACACAACATTATTTGAATATCCAAGGAGACAGAACCATTCCTGTTTTTACAATACACGCTTTACCCATCTGCATATCCACTTTGTTCCATTTATATACCTGCACCTGACATGTAAGAACCCAAGAAGCTGGATCAGACGAGAGACTTAACTGGTCCAGCATCCTCTTCCCCACAGGGGCTTTGCCTGATACCTGGGCAAAGCCTGCAAGGAGAACATCGGGGCAATGGGCTTATCCTCTCGTTGTTCCCTGGCAACTGGCAAATCAGGGCCAGACTGGAATCTCATGTTAATTACATGAATGCAATTAAGTCATGTGGATTTTGTTATGTAAATAGCTGCTCCGGGGGAGCCTGAACAACCTCAGCACGACTGGGAAGGCAATGTGAATACTTTCTCTCCCTGCTACGGTCAGAAAATAATCAATCACCTTTCCAAAGCATTTTTGTGCATTCCACATTAGCGTCAGTGGAAGATTCAACTGAAATCCAGAGAGCAGCTTCAGAAAGGCTGCTGTTTTCATAACAATAAAAATGCATGTTATTTGCATTCACGCAATGAGCATTATGCCTAGTCTCATCCACAAAGGAATATTGCTTCCAAACGTGAAGCTAGCATATAGCCATCCCAGCTAGTAGCCATGGATAGAGAAGGGGGAGAAATTCAATCCAGAACACATTCAAAGCAGAATCTGTCAAATAAACACTATCTGACACAATATATGAAACAAAACACAGTCACCCTTGAATGGAGTCGAATGGCTGAGTCCAATTGTTGAGTTGAATGGTTGCCACCGAAATATGTCAGTCACAATTTTAGTCCATCACACTCCCCTAGTAAACTGAACTCAAAAGACCACTTTCCCCCATTGCTAATAACAAGGTCAGATTTCACTTCAGTTATCCATACACTTGTCACTCCCAGACTGGACTACTACCATGGCCACCTGTTAAAATTGGCTCATGGGGTGGGTGGGTGGTGCTGGGGGATGTAATAATCTGATCCACCAACCAGATCCAATTGCCCACCCCTGGGATTGCATCAATGTTGTGAGAAACGCAAATAGCAGAGAGCTTCCAAAATGAACCCCAAAGCAGAAAACAATGTGTCTTAAGATGCTGAAAACATGGGTTTTGTTTTCCAAACAGCCCAACGTATTTCAGCCAATTATTGTTTAAAAGCTGTCCTCAGGGGCTATAGCAACAGAAGCAATACATCATGTGAATCATTTCTACTCAACATTTAAAAACAAACTAAATTGATTATGTACAAATTGCATATAAGCCTAGATAAACGAATGAATGTGGGAGAGGGACAGATCTGATTGTGGCAGGGGCCATGGCTGGGAGCAAAGGGTTGATCCCTGTGCTTCTTGCACACTCCATAGTCTGGCCCTTCCGCAGTGCCACCGGTTTGGTTCTGAAAACCAGCTATGCAGCGGCCAACCATGTGACCAAGGCCACACTGAGTTTGACCCTCACTTTCTGACCCTCATCCTTCTGTAGCAAAAGCAGCTTCATTCATGCTGAAGAGGGAGATAGCAGCAATCTTGTGGAGACCTCGAGCTTCATAGAAGTACAAAATATATTTTTGGCTGGCAATGGGAGGGAGACTAAGGTAGGAAGGACGGCGGGCACAGGTGACTGCTGGGAAATGTTGGGTTGCATGTGTAAAAATGGAGGTGGGACGGAATGGTGTGCTCTGGGAAAGGGCAATGTTAGCTGGATGGCAGGCCCAATTTGGTTCAAGGCCCAATTTGGCAATTCTGATCGGGTCCCAATTTGGACTGGATCTTTCCATGCCTGACCCAATCTGAGCCCTGAACCAAATCAGGGGCCTTTCATAGCCACGAGGAGCCTTTTATAGGGATATTTCATATGGTTTGCAAGGGAGGAGGGCAGGCGAAGGAGATGGTGCTGGCAGAGAGCCTTTGCTTGCATGATCTCCTTCCCCCTCCCCCTCCCTTGACCACATGTTTAATATCCTCCCCCCACCCTCCGCAAAACACATTTTTGACAGCTCTGGGTTGCTCCAGGTGGACCAATCCCTTTCCAAGACTGGCTTTCCGTGTGGCTACCCCTGTTTTGTGGAACAACATCCCTGTGGAGATATGACAGGCACTCTCTTTTTTTGTCCTTATGGAAACAATTGAAAACATTTTTGTTTCACCAAACTTCTCCAGCTAGGTGAAAAGGGCTCTGCCTTATGCATTCATTTTGCGCTGTTTCCAACCTATCTTTAGCTGGTTTTTCGGTACTGTTTTCAAAACTATTTTTAGCTGTTTCGTGGTATGAAATTAATACCACCACATTCTGGCCAGGCAAAGTCACCTGAGGAGAGCACAGGGTTGGTGCGAGGTGACCTGGTGAGAGTCCCAGGAGCTCACAAGAAATGGCCAGAGGGCTGCACTTCCCCCCACCCTGACCTAGGGTACCCCCCACCCCTGATGCAGCAGGATAAGAAACATCTATTGTGCAATGAAGCAAGTTTCTTCCTTTCTTTCCTTAGGTTATACGCCATCTTCAAAAGAAGGTGAAGAATATTTCCAAGAAGTCAGAGAGATCCAAAAGAAAGGTAAATTAAAAGAAAACAACATCCAATTACCAGGGAACATTAGCAAGCAAAATATTGCCTGCCCCAGCACTAAAGTATAACTGATCACAGAGCCCTGTAAAATTATTCTATCATGCTCCATCAGAAGCATATACTTTTGCAGTGCTGTCAGCCAGATCACTATTTAGATGCGTGACTATGGCTTGTGGTTTTGGTCTGTTTCCTTCCCAATTATGTATGTGATTGATTCTGATTCTGATGTGATTAATAAATTGTAGCAGTCGCTTGTCTCTTCATCCAGGTGACCTTTGGAAGCTGTACAAATGTAAAACTCCAGAGACATTTATCTTGTTCTGTCGAAATGACGTCTAAAGTTGGAATACATTTAAGGTCACAAGCGGGGGAGCAGACCTCCCACCCACCTCAAATGAGTGGCCTGAAGAGGCAGGAAAAGTTGCAGAGCAGGGGTGGGCACCTGTCACAAGATTTGGTTGGGATCCTAATTCAGCATGTTGGAAAACACCTTGCTTTGGTCTGAAGTATTTTGGAGACTGCCTTATTTGGCTTGGGGTCCGAATCTTAGAATTGTAGACCTGGAAGGGACCACGAGGGCCATCTAGTCCAACCTGCTGCAATGCAGGAATATTTTGCCCAACAAGGGACTCACAACCCTGAGATTAAGAGTCTCATGCTCTACCCAGCAGAAACCACTTTGGACAAAGTGGTTCATTCACTATGATGGGAAATTAAAAAATGGCTATTGTCTTGTCGTTTGCAGGAATAGTAGTATCTATTCTCCAGAGTAGATAAAAAGCTGCCAAATTATAGGCAAAATATATCCTTGTGGTTTGGTGATGAGTTATCTTTAAAGTTTGATTATCTTTTCTATTTCTTTAGACTATATCTGTACTACAGTATAGATACTGATATCAATTCCTTGCCTTTCTGACACCATTTCCCATGCAACACCTCTCAACCTCTTAGCTCTCACTCGACTCCACCCATCCACCCTGGCTCTCACTCAGGGCTCAAACAAATTCACAGATCAATGCCAAAAACTCATACAGTGGTACCTCGAGTTAAGAACTTAATTCATTCCAGATGTCCGTTCTTAACCTGAAACTGTTCTTAACCTGAGGTACCACTTTAGCTAATGGGGCCTCCCACCGCCGCACCATTTCTGTTCTCATCCTGAAGCAAAGTTCTTAACCCGAGGTACTATTTCTGGGTTAGTGGAGTCTGTAACCTGAAGTGTCTGTAACCCGAGGTACCACTGTAATAAGAAGAGTTCCTGCAAGATGCTGGCACCACCTATATCTCTAGGCTTACTTTTATGGGCAGGTGTCAAGGTTGACAGAGCTTGCTCAGGCTGCTTCCAGCTGTGTCCCACACACCTAGCTCCAGTCTACAGCAGATTTGCTTTGATTGGAATTTCTTAGGGGGTCTAAAGGATGGCAAATAGGACACCCCACCACACACAGTTCTTTCTCTAGCCTCTGCACACTTCTTATCTTCTAGCAGGGAAGGAAACATGCGTGGTTTTTTTTAAAATGTTGAATTCTTCAGGTGCTGTAGACCTTTTTGAAGGGATGAAAAACTTCAGAATAATGAGTTTAAGGAGGATAAAGCTAACAGGCAGCACTACCCCCTGGGTGTACGAAAACAGTGGGAAGCAGGTTGTGGGCAGGCCATGGGTGTAGCCAGGATTTTTGTTGGGGGGGGGCAGGACTTTGTTAGGGGGGGCAGAATTGATCAATTAGTTACAGTAAGTATTTCTATTGTTTTACTTGATCTGGGGGGGCAGCTGCCCCCTGCCCCCCCGACTACACCCATGGGGCAGACAGCATGGCAGGGTAATGCCCCATTCACCCCTGTAGGCAGGCCTCCACTGAATACAACAGAAGGATGGAGTCATCTTGTACTTTGCCACATACACAGAACTTACACATCATTCTCCATTCGTCGCAGACGCTGTGTTCTTTCAATGCCTGGCTTTAAACATTCAAACAGCTTTCAAGGAGGAAAAATGAGGGGATTAACTTGTGTATCAAGGGGGAGAGAATAAATCCTGGATGTGAGCCATATTGCCTGTGCTGCTCTTCTGTTTTCAGGATCATAACTCAGACCGTATAGTCCCATATAGCATCCTCTTTCAAGCCAGAATAGCCAGTGACTCTTCTCTCCTTTGGCAGAGGAACTGTGCAGGGCTGCCTACAGACATTAGACCAGGGTTTCCCAAAACTGGGTCTCCCACTGGTTTTGAACTACAACACCCATCATCCCTAGCTATCAGGACCAGTGGTCAGGGATGATGGGAACAGTAGTCCAAAAACAGCTGGCGACCTAAATTGGGGAAACTCTGCATTAGTTCACAAAAATAACCTACTGGATCAGGCCATTTAGGTCAGCATTATGTTCTCACAGTGGCCGAACCCTTTGCTTATGGGAAGCCAACAAACAGAACACAAGCATAATAGCAATTCCCAGCAACTGCTGTTCAAAGGCATACTGCCCCCAACAGTGGAGGGAGAACATAACATAGCCATTGTGGTGGCTAGCAGCTAATGGTGGGCACTGACATTGGTGCTGTGGTCTTGGGGCAACAATAGATAGCTATAGTCCTCCATTTTAAATTTCCCAAAATGCTCCTGGAGAAAAGCCCTTGGTGCCTTAGAGGTCAAATTACCGTATTTTTCACTCTATAAGACACACCAGACCATGAGACGCACCTAGTTTTTGGAGGAGGAAAACAAGAAAAAAAAATATTCTGAATCTCAGAAGCCAGAACAACAAGAGGGATTGCTGCGCAGTGAAAGCAGTGATCCCTCTTGCTGTTCTGGCTTCTGGGATAGCTGTGCAGCCTGCATTCACTCCATAAGACGCACACACATTTCCCCTTACTATTTAGGAGGGAAAAAGTAAGTCTTATAGAGCAAAAAATACAGTAATACAAGGACTTTGAACCTGGCTTGGTAGCAAATGGGCAGCCAATGCAGATGCTTTAACAAGGATGTCCCATGTTGTTAGCCATGTTGTGCTCCCATCAGTAGTCCGGCCACTGCATTCTGCTCCCGCTGGAGCTTCCGAACCAGGCCCTAGGGCAGCCCCACATACAGCATATTACAGTAATCCAGCCTTGAGGTTACCAACACATGGACTACAATGTGCACGTGTACATAATGCATATATTGCTGACAGCAACAGACACAAAGGCATTATATTAGGGAAAATTGCTTTCAAAAATGTGTATGTTAGGAGAAATGCACACTAAAATGCTGATACATTTTTGTGAGGACTTTTAAAAAATTGCAACCTATGCTGAAATGAAAATGAGAAACTTGGAGAAATGGAAACTGGCAGATTCATCCATCCTTGTGAGTCACAAGTTCTCCCAGAGTATCCCCATTGCCATCTGCAAAATGTTGATGGGAGGTTGGATGGCAGCTTTTGCCAGAGGGCAGCTATTTAGCATCTGCTTCCCATCTGCAACAAGTGGGAACAACAAACTTTCTTGCAGCGCTCTTAGAGGGGTGACTCAAAATGATGAATGTGAACTGTGATCCCATTCCCATGAGCAGCATATGATTATTATACTTTGGCCTGGCTGGTGGCACTTTTAAACAAGAGTGGTTGGTCTTTGCAATGCAGTTCTTCCTCTGCAGCTCTTACGTTTTTGGGCTACCACAAGACTGGCAGAAGTTGAATTAATTGGTTTGGATTGAATCTAAAAATCATTTCCCCATTTGGAGCATCTTCTGCTGAGATATTCTTCCTTGCTCTACCTTCCTCTGTCTATTAGCTCTCTAGTGATATTACATTCCATAATATGATTACAGACTTTGCCACCTATTATTCTGGTATAGATGAGGTGGGGAGGGGGGAAGGAGAGAGAGAGAGAGAGAGAGCACATTCAGCACAAATACTTGAGTTTTGGTCTCAGTTTTGTGGCAGATTGCTCCATAACATTTTGTAAGTATGTTTACACTCCTCTTTGTAGAAAATGAGCGCCGCCTCTTCCATTGCCAGCCCTGCCCAATAGCAAAGGGTGCCTTCTCCTATTACTGTATCTCTCTCTCTCTGCTTGCTGCCACCTGTGCATGTGTGGACAGGGATGGGTGAATCAGTCAATTTCAGTGTCTCTCAGTTTCTCCTTTTTCTTCTTTTTTCGTAATTCATCTTTATCGGTTTCTCCTTTTTCCAGTCTTAAGTTCAGTTCTCCACATGGGAGAGATCGCTGCTTTATTCAGGTCTTACTTGCAGGCTTCCCATAGGCAATTGGTTGCCTCTTACTGTGAGAGCAGATGTTGGACTCAATGGGTCTTTGCCAAATCCAGCAGGGCTCTTCCTGGGCTCTTAAGAGCAGCTGCAGGTTCTCTAGCAGAGAGTTCCCTTTCTTCACGTGTGCTTCACCTTCCCTGCCTCCACTCCACAAGCTGCTTTGTAATTATTTTCCAGAATTACCAAAATGTGCTGTCGAACATCTACGCAGCTCCAAATGGCTGTGTTCTCTGAGCCAAACACAGGTAACCAAAGCAACATGATTAGGATGCATTTCCAACAGCACTTTAGCCCATGTGAGGTTTGCACTTTTGCAGTGATGTTTGAATGATGACTCAAACTAAGATTACACTCAGGCACCTGACAGAAGCCAGTGCTAAAAGGGCAATGCAGACCATACCAGGATGTTGAGCAGGGCTGTCAAAACTCCATAGGGGTCAGTGGATGAAATTTCACACCCAGCGAATGTTCATAGGAACATGCCTAAGGTTTTTTGTTTTTAACCACAAAGTCCATCCCACCTTGATTTACCACCGTCATCCCTCCCAGGGACTACACCTCAATCCCCTGTAATTGACACATCCTGTAAAATCCAAATCAGGGCCTGCTAATGGTGGAGTGGAAGTGCAGGCCATCATCACCATCACACAAAAACACATACACACCCAGGGCCACAAACCCCTAAAGGAAGCATGAAATAATAGCCAATCTGTTAGGATCAGAGTGACTGCAATTCTTTGCCTGATTACCTGCAAGTGAGCTTCACTGAACTCAGTGGGGCTTTATTTATGACGGCATTGGCTAAGAACATAAGTGCATCAGGCATCTTTTTTTTCCTGACTTCTCCAGGCAGGGCTTGGAGACCCCCATCTGAAATCCAGGAGAGTTGCTTCCAGTCAGTGCAGGCAGTACTGAGCCAGATGGATCAGTCGGTCTGTGTTGGTATATATATGGCAACTTCCTGTGTTTCCAACCCAGCATCCTGTTCTCGCAGTGACCAACCAGGGAGCTCGTAAGAAGGAGCTGTGCACAACAGCCCTTTCCCCATGAGTGAATCCCAGTAACAGGCGTTCAGAGGCATAATGCCTATTGCCTCAGACCGTGGCTGGTAGCCGCTGATAGCCTTTATAAAATAAAATCAGCCCTGCAAAATCAGACCAAAGGCCCATCTAGTTCAGCATTCCACACGCAGGCAGGACGTGACTACAACTGGAGACATCTGGTATTTATAGATAGACAGGCTGAGCAGGTAGGAAAACAAGCGTGCAGGCTGTATGAATCCCAAAGCAGCAGCATTCCAGCACTCCAATAATTCCCTTGCCAGCCAGAAACTTCTTGGCAGTCATCTCCCGCCAGCCTAATTCAATCACATGTTTACAGCTATGTTTTGCTAATGGGAAATAAAGTTTTAGAGCCAAGCCCTGGATGTTTATCTTCTGCCCATGCATGAGCCCCCGCAGGTATATGTACAAAGGGAATGACTTGCCTGTGGGGGTGTCACAGCTCTGTGCCTGCAGTGCTGTGTTCTTAGACCTCTGGCTATTAGCAAACACTATTTCCCTCCACCCCACACTGAATCCAAAGGGAAAACAAAGACACTTCTTTCTTTTGGGCACGAAGCTAATTGGGAAAGAAGCTAATTAATGGGTTGTTAGACTGTTCAAAACAGCTAAGAGGATTAGCCCCCCCCCCATTGACCAAGTTCAGCAGTTAATTGCAGCTATTTTCCATTTAATGTGTTCCAGATGGTGATAAGGCTATCCAGATTGATGATTATTCTAGCATCTTCTGACCATTTCTCAGTACCGCCTCTTTATAACATTCTCTTTTTTAATTGGTTATAAGTGGAGGTTGTCTTTGTTTTGTACAAATGGTTTGTTAAATGCCTCTTGCAAATTTACCGTGTGCTATTTCTGTTACTGTCTCTCTGTGTTATAAGTAGGACGGGGAGAGTGGAGCAGAATTTTGGGAGGCAGGCTCTAGAAATAAAAAAAATATGATAGAAGTGTAAAAAAACTATCCAACCTACACTGCTGTGCAACTGCACACAAATTAAACATGTATTCCTTCCAGATGTTTTGGACTACAACTCCTATCATCCTCGACCACCGGCCATGCTGGCTGAGGTTGACGGTAGTTGCAGCCAAAAGCATCTGGAGGGCACTAGCCTGGGGAAGGCTGATTTGCATCCCCCAAAGTCAGCCAAATCTGTTTTAGTTGGTAGCAATAATTTAGAATAGCCAGACCACATTCTGTGTTGTTGATGTTGTTGTTAGAATTACACACCCTTCACTCTAAGGTCCCAGGGCAGGCTATACAACTATCAAAACACACTATTAAAATTTGAAAACCTTTGTTTGCTTTTGTCTTCTAGACCGCTCAAACAGTGCTGCTGGTGGTTGCTGTCTTTCTGATCTCCTGGCTCCCGCACCACATCATCACTATGTGGGCTGAGTTTGGGAAGTTCCCCCTGAACGATATCTCCTTCACCTTTCGCATCATCGCACACTGCTTAGCCTATGGGAACTCTTGCATCAATCCCATCATCTACGCTTTCCTGTCGGAGAATTTCCGCACAGCCTGCCGGCAAGTCTTCACATGCAAGGGCCTCCTTCAGCCGCCCCCTGCGGAGAAGATGGTGAGGATCCGCATGGAGAACTTCTCCACTTCTCACTCGACAACCAACGTGTGACACGGGGCAGGGAGGAAGAGCTATCAGCAAAGGAAGAAACAAAAGAGAAACGTAGCAGTGTCCAGAAATTCCTTGCACAGGCACAGATTCATCTCAAAAGGGATGGGGGGAAAGGGGTGGGGGAAGCAGACCCATTCTGGATGTTTCCTCTGTGACATTAAAGGTACTCACAGGAGCTGTCCATTCCTCATCACCACCATTGCTCATAATTGTGGCTTCAGAGTGGCAGCTTTCTGAGATGTTTCCAACGTTTTATGGAGGGGTGGCACCTAAAGCTGCTACAGGCTGAGATTTAACTGTGGTTTACAGCTGAAAGTAAGGGAGCCACTTAAACCCTGCCCCAAAAGAGGATGCTGGTGTATAGGAATGAATTTAGAATCGCTGTAAATTCAACAGAAGTACAATGTGGGGAAGACACTGGCCAAGTGACTGGTGGGCCTGCTCACTCTTGACAGGTAACTTCAAACCCTCCCAGTCTATCCATACCCTTCTTAGGGTTCTTTATTTTTAAACTGGACTTGGACCTCAAAACCCTTCAAAGTAAGGGCTGTCCTTTGTGGAGCAGGACACATATCTGCTTTCACTATTCATGAAGTGTAGTAATGTCTTATAGAAAGATATGTTCATGTGTGAAGTAAGTCTATTTAGCAGTGACGGATAATAAAGGTAAGAGGATGAAGGAAGACACACTGGAAGGCAATTGTTGCTATGGATCCATAGTGCTAAAGCTCACTTTTATCTCCACCACCTCATTTGTGAAAAGCTTCCTTGATTATATCATGGTGAGATGTTGCATTGCACATACCAAGACATTTTGAATTTTTGGCCCAAGATAATTTTGCCCTTTCGATGCAGAATGTACATTGGCATAGTCACTCTTTTTTGCATAATTTATTTAAAAACTGATCTGTATTATTTATTCTTGTTTGGGTATTAATAGGAAGGAGCTAGTTAGGGCACTGATGCCTCCCTCTCAACCACTGAAAATTATTTCAGCTACTTTTCTGGGTTCTGATGTTTCAGCATGCCCTGCCTGAATACTGTTAAGTATAACTTCATAGCCATAAGGACTAGAAACTTGTTTCTCCATCTCCAGTTAAACAAACAAACACTTTGATTTGCAGGAAGCAGAAATCTGCTTCTAATACATTTTGCTTCCAATGCCATCCTCTGTGCTTATTCCGTATCCTGCAGAAAAGGTTGCCCAGGCATAGCCCAGATGGCCCAATTCATATGTCTAAGTGGCACATTTATCATTTGAAACACAATGTGCACAGCTTCATTTGTGAAAAGTGTTGATGTGACACCAGTTCCCTGCACAGTTCTGACAACATGAACAAGTCTATCACAAACCTCTGCTTTTGTGATGGTGTTGCTCAAATCCAAGGACTATGTTCAGAGCCCCCTGGAGGGTAAAAATTAAATAGATCAATCTCTACAATCAGAAAGAGAGTTTGATCTGATTCCACCTTGCCATGAAGACCTGTGTCCACATAGCTGTGTCTCTAAAAAGTAACCATGCTGTGCATAATATTCCTGCCCGATCACTGAGGTCTTTGAGAGATTTTCTAGTTGTACTCCCATAGTTCAGATGCATGGCTTGCAGTCACTAGGAACCATGCATTCAGTACTGTAGACCCAGTTTCCTGGAACTTCCTTTCAGTTGAGGTCAAGCAGGCCTGCTGAACTTCCGGCACCTACTGAAGACTTTTTTTAGTTCAGCAGGAATTATGATTTTACAGTCTTAATTGATTTTTGTCATTATTGTGCTGGTTTACTTGAAAGGATAGAATGATAGAATTTGAAGGGACCCCATGGATCATCTAGTCCAACCCCCTGTAATGCAGGAATATGCATCCATACAGGGATCAAACCCGCCACCTTGGTGTTATCAGCACCATGCTCTAACCAACTGAGCTAACCAGCTTCTACACAGCTTAGAGACTACAGTAATCATGATAATTGGCAGATGCAGGTGCAGACCAGATCTGGCTAAGATCCGGTAGGGCAGGGGAGAGACAACAGGGGGGAGGCAACAAGAATAATCAGAAAATAGGAGAATGGTAGAGGCAGAAGCAACGCATCTGTTAAGAAAATGTCATTAGACACATGTATATTTTGTGCTGAGCTTCACTGTGGTTTCCATAAGGCACCAATCTCTCTTTCTGTTCAGAGGCACTGCCTGCAAACTGTGTGATTGAGCATGTATATATTTTTATTTCATTCTGCGAACCGCCCTGAGACCTGTGGGTATAGGGCAGTATATTAAATAAATGAATAAATAACTGTTCATGTAAAAAAACACACCTGTTACTGTGCATTATCTGAATGCATCAGACTAACCACCAGGCTGTGTGTTTTTTCCTGCACTGTGTTGCTGTCGTAAAAATGAGAAACACCATTGGGATCAGTCTGCAGTGGGAATGTCCTTTGCTTCACTCTGCTGTGCAAAATTGGAAAACGCTTTATTAAAACATTGTGTGACTCCATGTTCAATAAGTCTCAGTGCTTTTATTATTATTATAAGAAAAATAGCCCTAATCAACTAGCTATCAATCCTGCATGGTGCTGCTTCAGGGACAGGCATAGAATAATAGAATTGTAGAGTTGGAAGGTCATACTTGGAAAGGTAATAAACGAGGAGGCAAGTCTAAAGCCCAAGAATTATTATAGAAAGTGGTCCCCAGATGTTCCGCAGGTGGCCATTCATAACTGGCCAGTAAAGAAACCCAGCACAATAACGAAAACAAAATTTGAACTACAAGCAGGAATTCAAGCCATTGTAAAAGCTTCCATGGATTTAGGAAACTCCAATTGTGATAAGAGAGGTAGCATCGAACTAGCCTTTCTGGATCCTGGTGTATGGGATAAATTTTGGTCTCTAATTCATATGTTTACTGCATTTATTCAAATTGAAAGGTTGTCTAAATATCCACACCAACCTTTCTCTGTACTTAATTCAAAAAGAAAATTGCAATTTGTAAAAGGCAACTTGAGCAGAAGGGGCAGGAAGTTGTTGAGCCATAAGAGTCCTGCCTTTTGTCACCTATCCTAATAATATCCAGATAGGTTCCAAGAGAAAAGGGAAGATTCATTATATTGGCCCAACTGCACCTACAGTACTGGAAGAAATATGCCCAGGTTAGAGGCCCCAAACTCCTCCCTGCTAGCAATATATTTTCCGTAAATCAAAGGAATTATCCATTAACAAATGCTCAAGATAAGCTCAGGCCTATGAGTACCGGTAATTATAGAAAAGCATATTGTGATACCTTCAGCTCTCCTTTAAAATACCATAACTGACTAGAAAACATCCAGAAAGGTCTTAACATTCTTTCCTGGGACCTGGCTGGGATAATAGGAAGACAGATAAAGTTCTTTTTAGTACAGGTATCAAGCATTCGGAATAGCAGCCAAAGTGGGTTATGCTAGGACAACAAGAGTTGCATAATCATTTGAAGGTCACATCCTATTGGTGCTGGTACAACCACTGCGGCTCTTGCACCAGCAAAACTGGTGGCCTTGCAATAAGTATGTATATTGCACCCACATGCAGATGTCAGGCTGGATTTAATCTGTTAGCTCAATGTGAATACCACTGAAGTAAAGGGGTCAAATCAAGACTTAACTCTCTTTGATTTCATTAGGAGTTAAATTCAGCTAACAGACTGGCTTCACGTGCATAGGAACATACAAATATTTTCCAGTCACAAGTCCTTTTAGCTCAGTATTGTCTACACTGACAGGATTGTCTACACAATCCAGGATTAGAGGTAGGGGCTTTTCTCAGCTCTACCTCATGATGGCTGGGATTGAACCGGGAAGCTTTGGCATGCAAAGCATGTATTTCACCACTGACCAACAGTTCATGCATCAAGAAAAATGTGCAAATGGCAGAGGGACAAGAAGAGCCCATTGAAAAGTTCTGCCCCAAATTCTCTAACTGCTCTGGCTGCTTAGGTAAGAACAAGAAACAAAGGGTGCTTCAGGTATAGGTTGACATTCTTTCTTTGAAGTTGAATCTGACCCCTATAGGTGAAAACAGTAAGGGGATCACACAGAATAGTTCCTCTCTCCCGATTCAGATGGTCCGCCCCCGCCACTTAATGGATCCAAATGGTTTCCAGAGAGTGGTAGGGGATGTTTTATCCCATGTTGATGGCCTTTCAGCTGATTCCCTGGTGGCCCGCTGGAATGTGGAGTTAACCAGGGCTATTGACTGTTTGGCTCCAAAGCGCCCTCTCCGATTGCATGGAGTCCGGACAGCCCCGTGGTTTTCCACGGATCTGAGGGCAATGAAACAATCGTTGAGACGGCTAGAGCACCGGTGGCGGATAACCCATTCTGAATCTGACCGGACACGGGTTAGAGCTCAATGTCGAGCCTACCAAGTGGCGATAGCGACGGCGAAGAAGACTTTCTTCACCGCCTCTATTGCATCTGCGGAAAACAGCAGCAGGAGACTCTTTCAGGTGGTTCGCAATTTAGCGGAACCACCTGCTCCATCAGGGCCCAGTAGGGGCCACATGATCTCCTGTAATGACTTTGCAAAGTTTTTTGCAGATAAAGTTGCTCAGATTCGAGAAGAGGTAGACTCCACCGTGGGAGCAGGGCCGGGGCGGGAGAGTGCTAGAGTCCTGTCTAGTCAAGTTGTGTGGGATCATTTCCAATCTGTTACCCCCGAGGATGTGGACAGGCTGCTTGGACGAGTGAAACCAACCACTTGCCTCCTTGATCCTTGCCCATCCTGGCTTATAAAAGCTAGCCGGGAAGGACTGGGCGATGGGCTTCGTGGGGTGGTGAATGCTTCCCTCCGTGAGGAGCCTTCCCAGACCCGCTGAAAGAGGCGGTTATTAAACCGCTTCTTAAAAACCATCTTTAGATGCGGCCACGATAGCCAACTATCGCCCAGTCTCAAATCTTCCATTCTTGGGCAAGGTGATTGAGCGAGTGGTTGCTGAACAACTCCAGGCACGCCTGGAAGAAGCGGACCATTTGGATCCCTTCCAGTCGGGATTCAGGCCTCATCATGGGACTGAAACTGCCTTGGTCGCACTGGTTGATGAACTCCGGCGGGCTAGGGACAAAGGTGAGAGCTGTTTCCTAGTTCTGCTGGATCTCTCAGCGGCGTTTGATACCATCGACCATAACATCCTTCTGGACCGTCTTGAGGGGCTGGGAGCTGGGGGCACTGTTATACAGTGGTTCCGCTCCTTCCTCCTGGGCCGTGTTCAGAAAGTGGTGGTGGGGCATGAGTGTTCAGACCCTGGGCCCTCACTTGTGGGGTGCCTCAGGGTTCTGTCCTCTCCCCATGCTTTTCAACATCTACATGAAGCCGCTGGGAGAGATCATCAGGGATTTGGGCTGGGTGTTCATCAGTATGCGGATGATACCCAGCTCTACCTCTCTTTCAAATCAGAACCAGTGAAGGCAGTGAAGGTCCTGTGTGAGTGCCTGGAGGCGGTTGGAGGTTGGATGGCGGCTAACAGATTGAGGTTGAATCCTGACAAGACAGAAGTACTGTTTTTGGGGGACAGGAGGCGGGCAGGTGTGGAGGATTCCCTGGTCCTGAATGGGGTAACTGTGCCCCTGAAGGACCAGGTGCGCAGCCTGGGAGTCATTTTGGACTCACAGCTGTCCATGGAGGCACAGGTCAAATCTGTGTCCAGGGCAGCTGTTTACCAGCTCCATCTGGTACGCAGGCTGAGACCCTATCTGCCTGCGGACTGCCTCGCCAGAGTGGTGCATGCTCTGGTTATCTCCCGCTTGGATTACTGCAATGCGCTCTACGTGGGGCTACCTTTGAAGGTGACCCGGAAACTACAACTAATCCAGAACGCGGCAGCTAGACTGGTGACTGGGAGCGGCCGCAGAGACCACATAACACCGGTCTTGAAAGACCTACATTGGCTCCCAGTACGTTTCCGAGCACAATTCAAAGTGTTGGTGCTGACCTTTAAAGCCCTAAACGGCCTTGGTCCAGTATATCTGAAGGAGCGTCTCCACCCCCATCGTTCTACCCGGACGCTGAGGTCCAGCACTGAGGGCCTTCTGGCGGTTCCCTCACTGCGAGAAGCCAAGTTACAGGGAACCAGGCAGAGGGCCTTCTCGGTAGTGGCGCCTTCCCTGTGGAACACCCTCCCACCAGATGTCAAAGAGAACAACAACTACCAGGCTTTTAGAAGACATCTGAAGGCAGCCCTGTTTCGGGAAGCTTTTAATGTTTGATGTATTATAGTATTTTAATATTCTTTTGGAAGCCGCCCAGAGTGGCCGGGGAAGCCCAGCCAGATGGGCGGGGTATAAATAATAAATTATTATTATTATTATTATTATTTATCTGATGGATGTGCTCACCTAACACACAAGCATCAGCCTACATGAAACTGAGAAGTCAGACAAATCCATTACAACAGTCATTTATGCTTGTGCCTTTAATGAGTACACATAGTTATTTGGTTGGGCTGCTCTTTTGCACAGGTTCTCAACCTAAGTACACAGAATGTTTGATTGCACTTACACAGTCAAGTACCTATTCAAACATCACTTTAAACTAGAATCCTTTAGTAAGACTCAGGGCTTTTTCTTTTTAGACAAAGCTTCTTTAACAACAGGTTCCATCCCTGGCAATGGAGTCCTTTTACGAGCTGCAGTTTCTATTTTCCGGACAAGGTCCACATCCCACTTGTGGGTTACAAAGCTAACTGCAGTCCCAGGGAACTTACTGCCTGTGCGACCAATACGCCCAACACGATGCAGATAATCGTGCAGTGTTGCTGGGAAGTCATAGTTCACAACTAGCTCCACATGGGTGGTGTCCAGACCCCGGGAAGCAATATCAGTGCATACTAAGATGTCGAATTGGCCTTTCTGGAAGGTGTCAAAGATGCCAGCTCTCTCAAGTGCTGGCATCTGTCCTTGCAGGCGTAGGTGTTTAATTTTATGATCATCCAAAATGTAACCAAGCCAGTTGACAGTGCTGGCCTTGTTGCAGAAAATCAAAACAGCTCCAGATGAGGGCCCCCGGTCTTTCATAAGCTGCAACAGCTCCACCACCTTGTCAGCGCCTTTCAGACGCACAAACTTTTGCTCAACATGAGGTTGAAGACGATGCAGACTAAAGCTGGTTAGGACATTGAAGCTGCTCAGATCAGTGACTTTACTCAGCAGGTCACCCAACCCCTTTGGAAGGGTGGCTCCTACAGCCACTAACTGGGCTTTAGGATTCCAAACATCACCAAGTTCCTCAGGGCTAGTGGCAAAGAAGGCATGCCGAAGCACATCTTCCACAAGGTCTACAAATGTGGGATCCAGCAAGGTGTCCACTTCATCCAACACTAGGCAGCACAGCTTTTCCAGGGACAATCCCTTTCTCTGCAAAGCCTTATACAGTGCACCTGGTGTGGCCACCAAGAGATCAGCAGGACCAGCCCGGAGCTTCTGCTGGACAGAGTGTTTGCCCCGGCCACCACCTATATCTGTCACCTGCAAGTCCAGTGGAGTGCACAGGTAAGAGGCAACGCGTCGCACCTGTCCTGCAAGCTCCCGGGATGGCAACACCACCAAGGAGCGGGGGGCAGGGATAGCAGCGGCCCCATATGTGAGGGCCGGTGATTGTAAGAGCCGCTGGATAAGGGGCAGTAGGTAGGCCAGGGTTTTCCCGCTGCCAGTCTCTGCAGCACACAGGGCATTGCACCCCGTCAGAAGGGGAGGGATGGCACGTATCTGCACAGCAGTGGGCTTAGAGATGCTGAGAACATCCTCTAAGATGGAGGCCAGCTGTGGCTGCACTCCCAGAGCTTGGAAAGAGGAGGGAGCAGCATCAGCAGCATCGGGGTTTCGCTCCTGAGGCGCCTCCTGTCGCATTCGCTGCAGCTGGAAATAGTCCCCCCGAGACAAGCGATGCTTCCAGCCAGCCGAGACCAAGGGCGGCTGTTCCCAGCGCCCCACCGTGTGGCGAGCGGCTTGACTAAGTTCCGGCCGCCGGCTCCGCAGCAAAAGCTTCCCGGTCCGAGGAATGTCAGCTGCGGGGGCGCCTCTTCCTCTGCGCCTGAAGGAGCCCCGCTCCAACCGCAGTTGCCAAGCGCGCGGGATCCGCACCACCTTCTCCTTCTCCGACTCCGGTGGAGGCAGCGGCCCGCCGGAGCTCGGGCGGAGGACCCAGCGGTGGAAAGCCAGCCGCAGCCACGGGGAAAAGCGGGTCGAGGCGCCCCGAGAGGCCCCGCACGCGGCGAGAGCCATGAGACGGAGCCTCCGCGAAGCAGAATAGGAAAGTTTCGGTAAGAGTCGCGTTCTAATAACGTCTCAAGTCCGCTCTTGTTTCTATTCGGCGATCGGCCTCACCGCATGCGGTCGTCGACTGATGACGTAAACCGCGTGCACTGTGCCGCGTTCATGGAATGGACAGTTGGTACGCCATAGAGAAAGAAGTAGAGTGATACTTCCGGAATGAAGCTTCCAGCCGGGATGGTCTCACAGAAATATAACAAGATATTGCAGTCACACACAAAAGTTCTGTTTATGGACTATTTATGCACGTAGAGTGGTGTCACTCTATTGCTGTGGTACCTCCATAGGTTTAAACCGTATCTAGCCCTTCATCATACCGTACCTAAATATTGCAGGGCTGATGCCCAAAATTTTAACGGTCCGGTCTCTGTTGTTTTCTATGGTCATCTCTCAGTTTCCGAGGGAAGAACAAAAATGTTTCTTTTCCTTTTTTCATTTTGTTTTCAAAAGTAGAACTCGGAAATCAAAGTTGTATTTTTCTCTATTTATATATCTATGGGAAAGGGGAGACTTGTGCGGATGACGTACTGCGAGGGGGTGGAGAAGGAATGGGCGCGCGTGCGTGGTAGCGGACTCCTCGAGGAAGGAGGTGGGGCTGAGTCCGGCGCGCGGTGAGTTCGTTGGGAATGGCATTTGCCTCCCCTAGGCCGCCCCTCTGCCCCTCTCCTTCTGAAGCTCCTTAAAGGGATAGAGGAGGCCCCCATCCCCTCCCCTAAACTCCCCTTCCCTAACTTTGGGCTGGGCTCTCATTTAGCCGTGCTTGGAGAAGAAAGCAGCAGAACATTAAAGGCGATAAAAATAAGTCCATAATAAATCGGCCTTCCCAAACCTGATGTTTTCCAGATGTTGAACCGCTGGCTGTGCTGGCAGGGACTGATGGGAACTGGAGTCCCACAACTTTCCAAGGGTCCCGTCCCCCCCATTACTGCATTGGTCTTTTCTTCTCCTTGGTGCATGAAATGAGCCTATTATTGGAGACCACCAACATCTGGAAGTTGCTTAGGCTGCTTAATATGCCATAATTAATTTGTTTAGTCATTAAGGTGCTGCAAATCCGGGTTGTATCTAACAAATCAGGGTTGATAATTTTTCATAATGTGGCGCCCTCAAATCCTCTCAATTATGGATCTTCTCCATTTTGTTCTCCCTTGGCTCAATGCCCTGTGTGGGGAAACTGCCCACACCGCCCTACATCTGGCACTGAACTCATGGTCAGAGCAGACCCATTGAAATCAGTGCTACTCAGTTAGTCAAGACTGATTTAATTCAATTGGTTCAATGGGTCTGCTTTTGAGTATGACCTAGTCAGATACAAGCCTTTTCTCTCTTTGCTTCAGCAGACTAACACAGGAGCTCCCAAACTGTAATCTAGGAACTGTTTGTGAAGAACAGCAGAAGCAACAGTATGTTTTATTATTTACTAAAAAAAATGTAGCACCTACCACAGCATATTGCAATTGCTACAACAGACAGAAAAATCATTTAAGTGGTTTGCCAAGATACTCTGCAGTTTTCAAGTGGCCTGTGGGGAAAGAAGCTTGGGAACCACTCAACCAACACACTTAGTTAAAAGATGCCGCAGGAGTTTCATTGATTCTTAAAGTTTGGAGAGGGCCTTGTAATCAATACAGTCAAACAAGAGATCTTCAGTATCCCCAACAGATTGCTTTCCACCCTCTGCTTGAAGGCCTGCAGCAAGGTTGAAAAGCTATCCCAAATTGATTAGTTCCATTGTTGAACTGCACTTACCTTTTAGTTCCTTCTTATTTTTCTTGCCTCTGATCGTCCTTTACCAATTTGTCTGTTTCCTTAAATAACATTGTATTCTAGATGTGCTTGACTAAGTGCAGAATGAAGAGAAATAATTCAGAAGTGTTTTTGTCCCACTCTTTGGCCAGAAAAGGCCCTCAGAGTGGCTTACAAATAAATCTAAATCAGTGGACAGCCCCTGTCTGCAGGTTCCCCAAGAGACATGACAAAAAAGGAGAAAGGATTGGGGAGTACAACAAGCTCAGGTGCTATGTCTTACAGAGTGACCAAGTGAAAGGAAAAAAATTATCACACGTCCCAGTCTCCCACAGGGGCAGTAATTTCAAAGTGCTTGCCTAGCTGCCCATGAGGCTACTTGCAAGAAGGGGGAAGTGCTTTGGAAATACTTGCTTGGGTTGGGGCCTGACTGAGAACTAGGAAGAAAATGAAGCTTCCAGCTCATATATAAGTTCCCACTGTGAACTGCTTCATGGTTGAAGTAAGATATACTATTGTAGTTTGTCTTTGTCATTGTTTAACAATAATGCAATTTCCCCCCAAAATGTTTTCATTTCAGACAATCCAAGAAACATGACGGTGAACACAACATCGCTCTCTTTCAGAAATAAGGCCGTATTGGCACCTATGGTCAGGGTTGGGACCCTACCAATGCGACTTCTAGCTTTGGATTATGGTGCTGATATTGTATACTGTGAGGTAGGGTGGCTGAGTCAATGAGGCAAGAGAATATTTCTATTTTGCTCACGTTGTTCCCAGTGGCTTGGCTTGCATGTTGTGTTAATTTTGTTTCATTGTGGTTAACGGCAAACAAGCAGTGTGTTGGTGGATGTTGCTCAAAACTTGGAGTTCTGCTCTTTCTTTTGTCCGGCTGTGCCACACCAGGGGCAGTAGGCCACAAGCCTTTCCTCAAAGCTACAGTGTTTTGTGGAAAGTTATTTGAAACTCTGCCAAACTCCTCTCTGCAATGCAGGAAAGTAGGAAGAGTGCATGAGCCCAAGGCTTGCAGTGGCTCCTTCCTTCTCATGCATGTAGCATTAAACCATGGTTTAGCATGGTGATAAATGTAGCCTCTGGAGCAAATGCCCTATTCCTGGCTTAAGCAGCAAAAGGAAACTTCAACTCAGAACTTAACAGTGTTAAATGCTAACCAGGGTTTACATGTCTTTTTAAAATTTAAGGCACTTATACTTTGCCTTTTAGCCAAAAAGGCCCTCTTACAAAAATGAGTACTAAGATAGATCCTTCCCTCAGACCTGCAAGCTAAACCCCATGACACGAGGAAAAAGGAATGGGCAGGAAGAGGGAAAAGCAAAGTCAAGCAGAACTTCTTAAATGTGTTACAATTCTTATAACACAGTTATATAGTTCTGCTATGCAGATTTTAGCAGTCTAGAAGATCAGCAACTCATTGCTGATTCCAGTGGCAGTTCTGGCTGACTTTCTCTTTAAAAACAGCAGTCCCTCCCTAAAAGCAGCCCCCACCCCCAGTCCCTTCTAGGAGCAGAGTTGGTGACCATGTTCAGGCAGGAGGATGGGGCAGCTCCTGTGACATAGTTCTCCCTTCAGACTGCTGACGATGGGAAACTCCTCATGGAGGGACTCGATGTATCAGTGGTGGTTCTGGCTGTATAACCCTCCCTGGAAACATTCTTCTTCCAAGGTCACAGTGTCGAAGCCAGGAGAAGTGAGCAAATACACAGATTTTCCTTAACATAAATGTCTTGAAGCTGCTTAGTCCAACTAAAGTCCGCTGCTGAAAGTTATTTTTGGATTCTGGTAATAGGAACCTGAGTCAGTTTAAATCATGATTAAGTTGGGGTGCCTTAGTGTAGATGAATCCACCTTTCCCTTTATTTGATGCATTTTTATAACTTTTGCCTTTTTTCTTGAAGGAGCTGATTGACATAAAGATGCTTCAGTGCAAGAGAGTTGTAAATGGCAAGTATCTGCTTATATATTCAGTCACTTGAGGGACAAATAAGGTGAGGTTATAGGTGGGGTTTTCCAGTTTTCTTCTCTTGGGCTCTCCATCATCCCATGCCACTATATATACTTCATGAGGCTGATGGGAATTACAGTTCAACAACATCTGGAGGGTCAGTGGTTCCCCGTACCTAGTTTAACTGAAGCATCCCTTAAACCAGTTTTTCTCAGAGCACTGGGAGAATAGTTTGTTGTCTGCTGCTTGTATTTAATTTAGTAGAAAATCTTCACAGACTGCTAAATATTCCCCGTAATATTGGCTAATGGAATGCATTCTAGCACAGCCCCAAAATGAAGTCCTTCTGACCAAATGGTTGTGTAGGTAATTGCGAACTTCTTCAACTATGAACTAAATAAACCTTGAAATAAAATAAATATAAGTACACCATGTCCCTTCCTATTGCTGAAGATTCAGGTTATAAGTTGCTGGGACTTCAACCTGTTCAGGATTGTTATTAGAGATAGGGGCACTCTGCACCAAAAAGCAGCATATAAATATTTGATATTTTGAGTTTGAAGGGTATTGTAATGGACCTGCTTCCTTTGGAAGAGTTTAACACTAATCTAACAATGATACACCCAATAAATTTAATTGGGAAAATGGAAAGCCTGCCAATCATCTTTATAATGCATGCTTTTTAAAAAAAATATGGCAGCAATTTTGTTTTTCTTTCTGTCTTAAGATCTTAGAACTGAAACACTTTGAGTGAAAAGATGGATGCATGCTGTTTATCTTTATGCTGTTCTGTTTCCCTTTTCTACCCTCCAGAGGTGCTTGGAACAGTGGACTTCGTTGCTCCCAATGAAAGAGTTGTGTTCAGGACCTGTGAAAGGGAAAAGGACCATGTTGTCTTTCAAATGGTAGGAAGTAACTAACCCTCAACATCCTGCTAACCAAATATGATCTGTGGTGTTTACATTTTTTAATGTACTGCTAAGGACAGTTCCAATGAGATCTCTTGTGATTGTGAGTACATTGTTTTGTAAGGTTTGGATGAAATCATGGGTAATTCTTGTCTGCCATGTATTAATTATTTTATTCATTTATTTCATAAAATGGCAACACTGCTTGATTGTAAAAAAACCTCAAAGTGGTTCACAAAAAGGTAAAACTGTTTTTGTCTATGTCTTTTTCTCTTTGCTGCTGTGCTGTTCAGGGGACAGCAGATGCTGAGAGAGCCTTGGCTGTAGCCAAACTTGTGTAAGTATCTGTCAAATATTACCTTTTTATAAAAACCTTATTCATCCTTTGGGGGCCTGCTGAAAAATGGCTTGGTGTGATCTGTACCAATTCACCCAGCCTTGCAAATAAATTGACAAAAATTACTATCTTGCTTATTACTCTCTCACTGCATCCGTTTTTGTGCATCAGGAGTAAAGATGATACTCCGCATTCCAGCATTTACACCTATACCAGGCAAAACAGTAGCTAATAAGAGCCTGCTTGTTTGTAACAGCCTAATGGTGTGTTTGGGTTACTGTGCAAAGTGTTGCTTCCTTATATTAAAAGTTTTATTTTAATACCCCCAAATGGGACCTTGTGACAAGGGTGAGGACCCATTTTCAGCCTGTGGGCCATATTCCCTTCTAGACAGCCTCCCAGGGGCAAAAGTAGATGGACCAGAAGCACAAGTGGCCAAAGCAATGGATGTGAACCTTACCTGTGTATAGTACAGTGGTACCTCTAGATACGAACGGGATCCGTTCCGGAGCCCTGTTCGCATCTAGAAGCAAACGTAACTAGCGACGGCACGTCTGCGTCGCTTTTCGCTGCTTCTGCGGATGCGCATGACGTTATTTTGAGCATCTGCGCATGCGCAAGTGGCGAAACCTGGAAGTAACTCGGAGCGCAACTCGAACACGCTCAACCCGAAGCGCATTCAACCCGAGGTATGCCTGTAAAGGTAAAAAGGTAAAGGACCCCTGGACGGTTAAGTCCAGTCAAAGGCGACTATGGGGTGCGGTGCTCATCTCGCTTCAGGCCGAGGGAGCCGGCGTTTGTCTACAGACAGCTTTCCAGGTCATGTGGCCAGCATGACTAAACCGCTACTGGCGCACAGAGGACCCTGACAAGTGCCAGGGCGCACGGAAACGCCATTTACCTTCCCGCCACAGCAGTACCTACTTATCTACTTGCACTAGTGCTTTCAAACTGCTAGGTTGGCAGAAGCTGGGACAGAGCAACAGGAGCTCACCCCATTGTGTGAATTTGAACTGCAAAAGTTGAGAATTTTTTCACCCACCCATGTGTTCCCCATCCAGGCGAACAAAATGCATGATCACTGTTCAAGGACACCTCCCAGCAAGGCAAAAGCTCTCAAAGAGCATGTTTAGCAGGCTTGGAGGGGATTGGCTTTTTTTTTTTTTTTTAAAGCTTCTCTCTTGAGTTCTCCAGCCCAGCTGAAAGCAATGTTCCACCTGGTCTGGAAGAAGAGAAGCACTGCCACCTAGTGACCGCCCAGTACTGCTCGGCAATGTAAGAATGGCATCAACAGAAACACCAGTTCTTAACTTTGTGTCCCCACCAGCTGCCAGTGCCTCACTTAGCCACCCCACAGTTGAGACATAGCAATTGTTTGTATCATACTGTTTTAATCTGTAGAAAGCCACCTTGGAGATCCATTGTTCAAAGGCAGTGTATAAATGTTTGGGGGTCCTTTGGTTTTAACATACACAATTTCTTTTTCTCTCCGGCATCTTAGAGAGAATGATGTTGCCGGCATTGATGTCAACATGGGATGCCCCAAAGAATATTCCACTAAGGTAGGTTGACTCTTGTCCAGCTGTATTCTTTTTTTCTTCCTTTAAAGATAATGCTTCTTGTGTTTACGCATGCAATTCGACTTCATATCCATTTTAAGAAATAGGTTTTTGTAGTTGCAGGACATGAGGAAGCCTCTTGGTGCCAGCCCCACCTTCATACCTTACATTGAGTCGGACTGTTGGTCCTTCTAGCCCAGGGATTCAGGCATAGCTGAGAAAGACCCCAGCCTATCTGAGATGCTCTGAACTAAAGGGAAACTTGTGGTCCTCCATATATTGTTGGACTACAACTCCCATCATCCATGTTGGCTAGTGCTAATGGGAGTTAGAGTCCATCAGGTCCCTCATTCCTGAATTGAAGATTTCAGGGGTTGAGAAACATGTACATTGCTTTGTATCGGACTACTTGTCAATAGTTAGCATTGCAGAAAGTGTAATAATGATCCATGGGAGCAAACATGATTTTTCTGCATAATATGTGGTGATCTGAAATTTTCATGTGTGGGTGTGACTGTACTGCTTTATATTCTTTTTGATAAGTGCCCTGTTGGTTCTGTGGTACTGAGATAATGAATGCCTTTTGTGTGTGCCTTTTCCCAGGGAGGAATGGGAGCAGCACTCCTGTCTGATCCCGACAAGATAGAATCTGTAAGTAATTTCTGTATTCATTTTTATTTTGTCTTGCTTTTGGCTTTATGCTGTAACTCAACAAAGAATAAACTGCAAAATGTCCTGGGAATTGGATGGGTTGGCAAGGCATTAAAATGTCTGCTGTTGTATCACGAGTGTTTTAAGACAAAGGATGGTTTGTAGTGCTATTTTGCTATCTCAACAGCTATAGTTTTTGGATTTTGGGGCGTTGTTCAGTGCAGGACCAAAGAACCAGCTTGTGCTTAGAATCCTTGATTTCTAAAGACTTCCAGAGCATATGGAATGTTATTGATTTTTTTTAAAAAAGCTATTAAAATATATCAAGAATTAGAAGTCCTTGAAAGGATGAAGTACAAAAACAAGGTACTTGAACATTTCCAACCACCTGTGCATAGGACAAATGAGATTCAGAGAATGAACAAATAACAATGGGGTGCCAGAGTAACTGGTGTGCGCTGTTCGAAAGCAAGCATGCCACAACTTTTTTTAAAAAAAGAAATATGCTCAGAAGGAACAGTTGGGAGTAGCATGAAGCAATTGTTCTAGGGATTAGTTAAGTCAAACTTCCCAGCATGGTGCTCCCCGTTGTTTTGGACTTCAAGTCTCCTGCAAGCATGGTAAATGGTTATGAATGATGGAAGCTGTATTTCATAACATCTGGATGACACCAGACTGGGGAAGGCAACTTTTGACCTCAAGCTGCAGATATGTTGTTTATTATGTTGTGTATTTTTGTGCTTTTATACTGTGTGATTCTCGGGTGAAGGCTGGTATATAAATAAAAGAAACAAACAAACAGTCTGAGCAGATAGTGAATTAGACTTAAGATGTTGTTCACCTTTTAAGGTGCTTTTGCTCCCCCATGCTTCTTACTGAGAAAGGAAGTGAAGTGGGGAGGGTTGGGAGCAGAGCAGGTGAGGAAATCTTAGCAGTACTAGCTAGGCATGTCAAGACTGAAGTCCTGCTTTCCTTTTGCTGAAACAGTCCTTTTTGTCTCTTTAGATTCTGACTACTCTTGTCAAAGGCATTTCTAAGCCAGTGACCTGCAAAATCAGAATCCTGCCGTCAGTAAGAACATCTTGTGGTTTTTGAAACATTGGATCTTGGGCAAACGTGCAGTGCTTTGACCAGAAAGCACAGTAAATTATGATAATACAGTAATGGTTGTGTTTTATCAGAAATGAATAAAATAGCACTGCTGCCTAGGCAGTCTATGACAAACCAATGAAGCTTAAAAAGATGGAAATCATTAGCTTTTAAATTTAAGATGGCAGGCAATAGATCTGTTGCAAAAGCCAGCTGAAAATAATTGCTCAAGCAAATGGTTTAATCATGCAGAATAGTGCAAAATTGGAAGAAGCAACTCATGTGAAATTTCCCCTTCTGTGAATAGGAAAATCAAATGTTGCATCCATGTACAATCTGTCTAGACCAGAAATAGAGACCCTATGGCCCTAAGCATTGTCCCTGGCCCTGACTGGGGCTGATGGGAGTTGAAGTCCAGCAACATCCGGGGTGGGTGGGCGGTGCTGTCACTAGTTGAATTTGGTCTCAGCAATAAGACACAAAAATTCATGTTGTGGGGTTCAGGCTGCTATTCTGCACACATTTACCTAGGAGTCAGACCTCCTAAACATAGGGAGATTTACTTCTGAGTAAATATGTATAGGATCACTCTGTTAAAGTTGTTTCGTAATGAGCCAAAGATAGACATAGCTCCTGCTGGCATAGAGCGTACATGGAGAGGGGAAGCAGAACTGGGATGCACTGGCCTAGCCTCTCTGACATTAGGAATGTACAGCTCACTGCATGTGGACCCTGTCGTCACCCCTCAAAGTTGGGGTGTAATGTTTGTTCACTGGGCCTGTGCATGTAGGCTCTCAGCCAAACATGACATAAGGGTACAGACGTCAGGCAAGGCCTGCCCAATTCCCATCACTCATTGGGCATATACCCAGGTCATCATAGAGTTAAGTACTGCCTGCATTGAAGGGAACTTGCAAACAGATGGGGGTTTGTGACTTTTTCTCCATTTCCAGAAAGAAGAAACAATAAGTTTAGTGAAGAAGATAGAGCGGACTGGTGTTGCTGCTGTTGCAGTTCATGGAAGGTGAGTTAATTTTCCGTCTCTCTGGAGCAAAATAATTTCTGGTTAGCCCTTCTTGAATGTATTTCTGCACCACAAGGGCCTGGCTGGCTGGAATTACATCTGCGAAGAAGAATGCTCTGCGCCAGTAATCTTTGATCTGTTTGTTTCCTTTCATTCTCTTCCTTGCAAAGGAAGAAAGAAGAGAGGCCTCAGCATCCTGTCCACTGTGATGTGATCAAAGCCATTTCTGAAGCAGTCTCTATACCAGTAATAGCCAAGTAAGTGGGACTAGATGGCTACTTTTTGTTGTGAGGCATCCCTATCTAGCAATGGGCAGTATGTTGAGAAAAAATAAGAGATAGGAACTGAAAGATTCATTCATGATAAATGACATCACACTAGCACTCAGAGCAACGTATACTTAGTCCTAAATTCAATTTTTTTAAAAAAATGGTTTACCATATTGTTTTAATGTGCACTCAAACTCCAAAATGCCCAGAAATTACAAATGTTAAGGACTGCGCATCATTTAGGTGAGCTTGACATAGGATGTTATCCTATCCTGTGGTTAATTGCAGCTTCAGCAGTACCTTGGAGCTGGGTGCCTGTCAGTGGCAGAGTGGTGGAACCAAGTCCCAGATTTGTCTGTTGGCTTAAAAGTTAAAATTCTCAGGATTCCCCAAACTACATTCTGTGCTGGTGCATAGCCACAGTCGTGCAGGTTCCTGATGTCAGTCCTTTTATTTTGGCTGAAGTGTTTATGCTTGCTTTAAAGTATTCCTGAGCTTTTTATTATTATTATTTGGACCCTCGCTATGAATAAGAAGCTTTGCACAATTGTTCTGACTGCTTTGATGATAAACTTCCTTTAATCCTTCTGGCTGCAACAGTAGCACCAGGTTTGAGTACCTTTCAGGCCTTTGCTGGATCAGCATGATCTCATAAAATAGTGGGGCGCATTGTTAACCAAATGAGTCTAATTAAAACAGTGCCATTCTTGGCTTGCAAGGATTGTAGCATAGTGAAATATTCATTTTAAGCTTTGTGGGGAATTAAACTACATTGCTGTAGCTTGGTGTGTTTTTTTAAAAAAAAGATTTAATTCTAATACTGAGTTTGTTAATACTGATAGAAGTAATGCTGTTCTTATTTCAGTGGAGGCTCTCATGACTTCATAAAAGAATATTCTGACATAAAGGTCTTCCAGCAAGTAACAGCAGCATCTTCAGTCATGGTTGCTCGTGCTGCCATGTGGAATCCCTCTGTCTTCAGGAAGGAAGGTCCATGGCCCTTAAAGGAAGTCATGCAGGAATATATCAAATATGTACGGTTTCTTGATTTCTGTTCTAAAAAATCTACATCCACAGTTGTTTCTGAATACCAGTTGCTGGAAACAATAAGGAGAGATAGAGTCCTGCTTGTGGAATTCCCATGGTCACTGTGAGAACAGGAAGCACCTTAAATTCAGCCTGGAAATGAATAGGCAGCCAATGAAGTTCTTTCAGGATCATTGTTACCTGAACCCGAAGGGCAGCCCCATAGAGAGTGCATTGCAATAATCCAACATAAGGTTACTAGAGCACGAGTCACTGTAGCCACATTCTATCCAGGAATGATTGTAACTGGCAAACCAGTCAAAGCGGGAAAGACACTCCATGGCACTGAAACAAATGAGCTCTAGTGACAAACTTGAATCTGCTCTTTTAAGGGAAGTGCAAACCCTATCCAGAACATGCTGTCTACCCAATTTCCAGATTCAAGAGCTACTCCACAACAGCACTTCCATCTTAATGAGTTTCATCAAGCCCTTTGTTTTTAGATAAATAGGCCCTCCAGATAGTAGGATTTTAACCAACCTAGACATTTCAACCTAGGGATATATAGAAACAAGATGGGATGGCCTGGGCTAGAACAGGATTGGGAGGCCTCCCCTCAACCCCAAGGGCCATTGATCCAGGAAGAAGAAGAAGAAGAAGAAGAAGAAGAAGAAGAAGAAGAAGAAGAAGAAGAAGAGGAAGAAGAAGAAGAAGAAGTAGTAGTAGTAGTTGGGGGACACTTCACACAAGGGAAAATGAGGGATAGTTTTGAGAAAGGTGAAAGTGTAAATAAAGGCAAAAGCATCCCTTCTCAGTCTACTATAATAAATTTATATTTAAATACACTTACTACGAGCTGGATGAAATTCAGTAAGTGACTGAAGGAGGCTCACAGGCTGTAGGTTCACTAGCTGATTACAACCTGCTTTTTCTTCTACCATGTTGTTTCTTGTATTGCTTTCATCAGGCAGTGAGATATGATAACCACTACACCAACACCAAGTACTGCTTGTGCCAGATGTTAAGGGAGCAATTAGAAAACGCGCAAGGGAAGAAGCTACATGCAGCACAATCCATGCAGGAAATCTGGTAGGAGTATTTCCTTTTGAACCAAAGTAAATAGCCCTTGGTAAAGCGACCATTGTACTGTGACTGAGGAAGAGGGCCTGGAAGGGGATGAGTTTTAAAATGTAAATGCATTTGAAATGTGATATTAAGGTTGCCATTTTAATATTTCAGTTAAAGTACCATACGATGACCTTGAATTTTAAAAAGTAGTTTAGGACCACCTCCTAGTAGTCAATGGTTTATTGCATCTAGTAGAGAGTTGCCATCACAGACATGTTTTTGAGGTCAGAGCAGCATGTTCAGTGACAGATTGCATTCACTGCCAAGTGGCAGAGTGAGGGGGATAATGAGGATGCTTAACTTGGTCTCCTGCTTGTTCCTGCAATACCTACTTCCCAGTCACTTCGCTAACTGGGCTTCCAGGCACATAGTTGCTAGAGCAGGGTGGGGTGTGAAGATTGCAGGGCAAAATGGCAGTCAGGTTAAACATCTTCCTCTTTCTTGCTATAATTTAGCACCCCATGCTGCTGCTTGGCAGCTGTTCAGGAGAGATCTTGGCTCTGATGTAAAAAATGTAACTCCAGCATGATCATTCAGAACAAAGGAACAAAATATTTTTGGAAATCATCTCCCCACAGCAGCTTTCCATGTTTCCAATGTAATCCTGCAGTTCTAAAGAAACCTATGCACACACTTTATACACAGCTGTGCAACAAATTTTGTGGCATAGACTGCCCAAGACATTTCTTAAGAAGTTATGAAATGGGAAAATAGTAATACCATCCCTGCTAGCTTTGACACCTGATGCATTCTTCAAAACTTCTCTGCAATTAGAGGGTATATTTCTAGTATTAATTTGGATGTATTGTGGCTTTGTTTTTCATTAGTGAAGCTTTTGAGATGAGCAGTTTTTACCAAGAAACTTCTGCTCTTTTGGAAGCCAAAAAAGCATCTTTAGAAGCTAACAACCAAGATGAAGAAGACCACAGTGAAGATTCTGATGTCATAAAAATGGCTGTTAAATTTGATAAGTAAGAAAAAGGATTTGATTGTTCTGTTTCTTTCAGTACAGGGCTATCCCAATGTCTTCTGTTCTCCATTGAAAAAGCCTTCAAACACCCCACTCTGTCCCTGCCTTTAGTTGTGATGTTTTGTGGTCACTTCCAGTTTCGACACTGTTGCACACATATCGGATGCACCTAAGATGGTCACTGTCTTCCTTGGACACAAGGTTCAGCTTTCTGAGAGTCCCAGTTTTTGTATTTAAAGAAACCCTGATGGTGACACAGATATGCTTGGAAGTGTGTAGGCAATGCTTGCTAAAATTTCAGAAGCCAGAGAGGAGCCAATTTTCAATGATTGCAGGCAAGGGACAAGTTCCTTTGGTGCCCCCACAATACTCTTTAATTTTGATTATGACTAGGAAAAGCGAGAATTAATTATGCAGAATAAAATAAATGAGGGTATGCAACCACGGTCTACTCAGAGTAGGCCCAACGAAATGATTGAAACTAAGTTAATCATTGTTCATTAATTCCACTGGGTCTCCTGAGTAGATGTAACATTGAATACAATCCATGGAACATATTCTCAGTTTCCATAATTTACTCAGGTTGTAGAATTTCGATTTTATTGGCTCGGAATTTGGATTGCCTGGATGCAGAGCTTAATTTTTATTTTTAGCACAGGCACCACACACCATGTCAGTTGCCCAGAAGAGTTTGTTTCTGCAGTCCTTTTTTTGCATTGTGCCCACTTCAGTCATCCTTTTGCCATCCAAACACAGTGACTCTCCTGGGATGAGTAATAATTATGTTTTTGCTTTTCTCCTCAGACGAGAATATCCCCCACAGATCACACCCAAAATGTGTCTCTTGGAATGGTGTAGGAAAGAAAAGCACCCTCAGCCTGCTTATGAAACTGTGAGTCTCTGCGTTCTGCAACAAGTACTCTTTTGAAAGACACAGTGTAATCCTATACATGTCTATAGTGGTACCTCTAGTTACGAACTTAATTCGCTCGGGACATCTGTTCTTAACCTGAAACTGTTCTTAAATAGAGCCGTGCTTTCGCTAATGGGGCCTCTTGCTGCCGCTGCGCCAGCGGCACACGATTTCTGTTCTCATCCTGGGGCAAAGTTCTCAACTCGAGGTAACTCTTCCAGGTAAGCGGAAGCATTTGTAACCTGAGGTGTTTGTAACTCGAGGTACCACTGTACTGAGAAAAAAGTCCAATTGAGTTTGATGGGATTTGCTACCAGGAAAATGGGCTGATTCACACACAAACATATAAATCAGCTTTCCAGGTAGTGTGCAGCATGATTGAAAGCCATGCTGCATTTGTACAAAGTGGTCTCATGTTTTATTTCTATGTGGCAGTTTTGTCTGTAAATGAATATGCCACATGTGTTTAGTTTCTGAACACTTATTGAGTCTCAGGTGAATGTGTGAGCTACCTGCAAAGTATAATTACAATGATAATGTTGAGCAGGATTTAAGATTTATCTGTGGTGGCTGTTGGGCACACGCAAGTTGTTATCATTTGAAGTTGCAATAATTGTGTTTGAAGTTGTGACATAGAAGCTTCCCAGAATCAAAGACCTCCAGCCAGATACGATTTCAGCCATCTTTGATACCACCCTCTGGCATTTATTGTAAGGGTATGTGAAACCTTCCACACTATTTTTTTGCAAAAAATTGCGTTGCCAAAAGTTATCTTACATGTCTGGAGCACTTTTTCTTCAAAGATGGGCAACTTTTACAAGGGTGGTATTTTCTGATTTTTTTGCTCATTTCTTAGAATTAGTGCACATAGTTCCACATTTCAAATATAAAACTGTTCCTTGTAAGGGGAGAATTGACTTTCTCATCTGGTTCCTCTGTGAAAACCCCAACGAACTGTTTTCTGCTTTTGTATTTACTGGATCATACATCCACCCTGCATCTTTGAAACAAGCTGTAGATCTAGTTCTGGTGGGCCTATTATCTGGGCTAAGCAACTTTACTGTTCAGGTGACAGCTAGTTCATTTTTAAAATCCCATGTTCATAGAAAACTAGCATGTCAGGGAGTAGACTGGGCTAGAACTCTTCTGCCTGACACCTAGATTTCTATCAGAAAATTCAGTTGGATGAGTTCCAGTCTGCAAGGTGAAGTGGTACAGGCCAAACACACGTTTACTTCTTGGTGGTGACATTTGCCCCAACATCAAGTTAAAATATCCTAGCTGCTTGGTGGGCAGGATCTGATGTTTCATGTTGAAGTACCACAGCAATACACCTATTGAATAAGTTATGTGCATTCAAAGAGAGCTGTGCTGTTGCTCCCATTTACAATTTCACAGTTGCAATTCCAGGGACCTGCCACCTGAGGGCTGCCCTTATCACTTTCCCAAGAGGATATATGACCCTGGAGACAGAGCCAACTCACAGCTCACAGGTGTCTTTTTCATTTTATGAAGACAACGTGAAATTATCCTTTGATGTCTTGCCTTGTTTTAGGTCGAAAGACCACTAGATAGACTCTTCTGTTCTATTGTCACGGTAGCAGAACAAAAGTACAGATCAACTTTATGGTAAGTCTTTTTGGAGGGTGGGTTTTTTACCCCAAATAGGAGCTGGAGGGTCAGAGGGAACAACATATAACTGTTCATTAGTTTGCATAACCTGTAAATAACAAGTGATGCTGGTGTATAGGCATAGCGATTTCAAATGTTTAAAGAACTTCACATGCATTAGACTGGTAGCACACTAAACTACCATTTTGCTTTGCCAGAATGAACTGCAGCAAGCCTTGGGCTTGTTCCGTCCCCTCCGTTACAGCTGTGACGATTTCAAAAGCTTTTGATTAATTACAGCTTGCTGTGCTGTCCAAACCCAGGCAGACTGTGGTTAACTGGAATGTAGGAACCTGCTGTATATCAAGTCAGACCATTAGTCGATCTAGCTCAGTATTGCATACACTGACTGACAGCAACTCTCTGGGGTGTCAGTCAGGAGGAGTCTCTTCCAGCCCTTCCTTGAGAATTCATCATAGGACATGCAAGTGTCACAGCTGGGGTTGGACAGCATGTACGTTTCTAAATTGTTCTCTTCCTACCTTACGTTTTGTTCTTTCTTACAGGGAAAAGTCAAAGAAGTTAGCAGAACAAGCTGCAGCTATTGCCTGTTTACGAACCCTTGGCCTCCCAGAAGGGAAATGGAATGAAGAAGCAAACCATTTGGTTAACAAACGCAAGAGGCAAGACCAGGAACACTTGAACAATGGAGAGCACGGAAATGACCTTGTAGCCGAGGCTGCTTGCAAAAAAACTCATTTTATTCCAGGCACTTCTAACCCCAGTGTTTCTTAAGTGTTGCGATGGTGTGAAAACAGCCATTCTACAACTATGCAGCTTGCCCCACTCACCCTCTATTTCTTCTGGATGCAGTCCGCTGGAACAGACAACTCTGGATTTTGAATTGCAATTGCTTCTTTCTGCTCTTCCTTTGATGCCTTTGTAGCTTGCAGTTTCATTGAGAGAAGAAGATTGGCTCTGCATTGAATTCTCTTTTCCAGTAAATGGGGAGAAAGTTAATGTGTGTGTTTAAATAGTCCTGCAGTTTTCCGGTTTGAAATGATCTTCCTACACAGCAGTCTTCAGTCAGTTAGCCAGCTGGTTCTCTCTTTGGGAAGAGCTCAGTGACACAAAGGAGCTCAAGGGCAGTAACCCCAGTGTCACAGATATATTGAATATATTATCTATTTAATATCTGATGTTTGGTTGCAGGCTGGTGAGAATCTTAATACAGATTTGTAGCTAAGGAGGGAAGGTGGCTAGGGTGGAAGCAGATCTTGCTATACATCTTTTCCTTACCTTTTACAGCAGCAGAAGCCAACATGGTGGAGCTTGGATGTTGTTGAACTACAGTTCCCATCAGCCCCTTCCAACATGGACAGTGGTTGTGAATGATGAGTTGTGGTCATATATGTGGAGGGCAACACATTGGCAACCCTTTTTACAGAATGTATCTTTTTGAGCTATATGAAATTTTAAGCTATATGAAGTTCAAAAAAAGTGTACATCTTGTTATTTGTCTGTCTTCTGTAAGTATCAATTAAAAAGATGATCCCCTGTCTCCTAAAAGTGGTTTTACATTAAGTGCTTTCTTATGTTTTGATTATATTCCGAGCCAAAGTGAGATGAGGGGGACAAAAGTAATTATCTGAACCCATTATATTTAGATGATCTCCTTACCTTTTTAGAATAGTCAAGACTATTTGTATACTAGCAACATTCCCTTCATGATCAAAAAACAAAACTTAGGCTTGAGCTGATTCAGTCCCAGATTTCTCCCACAAAGTTCTGTGGGGCAAAACAAATGGAATGCGGTTTTGAGACACGGTTAGGAGCTGGGAATGGGGAAACGGTATGTTGCAGAGAAATCATGAGGACAAATGAATGTTGGGCCACCAAGTGTGTAAAGGATGGGTGGCCGATTTTGTCCCACCGAAAAGTTGTCCTCGAGCTCAGTTGTGATTCCCAGTAACTGATATTCAAGTAGGGAGAGTGTTCTTGCACTCCAAGTCCTGCTTGTGGGCTTGATGGCCACTGTGAAAATAAGATGCTAGACTAGATGAGCTATTGGCTTGATCCAGCAGCCAGACTCTTGTTCTGTAATGCTTTCATTTCTGCCATACAAATGAAGGGCATCCATTCACTTACATAAGAGAAAGTAAAGCATGGTGCTTGGGGACCTTACTGGGTCCTTACTGGTGATTCCCAAAAGAAGGCTCCTGCTCCCCAGCACTCCTGTCTCTAATGATATCTCATTTATTTGGTTGCAGTAACTGTGGGAGCTACTTAGAACTGAGAGAGATTTCCTTCACTATTTTCTGTTCTGTTTTTATCTCTTCTGTTACATCTCTTATGTACCTTGAAAAACAAGATTCCTGTCAACTAAACCAAATGCAAGGGGGGGTTGTACTCGATATAAACAGCAGAGGGCAGTGTGGTCCGTAGCTCATGCTCCAGCTGTGTGCTACTGTACTGCTGACCTTACCGCCTTGGTAATGCTGAACCAGGAGCAGAGGAGGCCACTTTCTGGGTGAGCCCATACTCAAAACTACTTCTGTCTCTGCTTCAACATGGCTACTGGTATTTCTGCCATGCTCACCACAGCAGTCACACTTCAGCTTGCAAACAAACAGAAGTCCGGTGCAGCAAAAACGTCAATGATCTGCTTATGATTCACGCATGAAAACTAGGTCAACATCAAATATGCACCATTGATTTAATCTGAGCATTGATTTTGAGGGACTGGGATTTTCTCGGCACAGCATTTGTACTGTCGCTTGTTCCTCTAAGGACTCCCTCTTAACGACGCCATCTGTTACCCAATTTAGCCAGCACAGATCCAAAGAGGGATGTCACACCACCACACACAAAATTATAACTCTCCCACTGTAGCCTTTTGAAAGCATGGTAAGATCCTACCTGTTTGGACTAGCCACTGAGAAGTGTTTTTCCTATCTGGATTGTGTCTTTGAACTCCAATAATGCTTCGTGCTTGCCTAAGTGCAGGAAAGAGGTGTGTGTGAGTGTGTGTAGAAACTTGCCACCGGCACAAAGGCAAAATTCACATTTTCTTTGCCTACATTTGCTTCTGACCACCGGATGCATGTGGCCTCCAGGCAGCTGCCCTGAATAGAATGCAGCCTTCTGTCTGGAAAATGTTCCGCACCTTAGTGTTATCGAGTTTTGGATTGCCCAGAAATGGTTTGGATGCTGCATCTCAATTAATTCTGATTTCTGCCCTGATTTTTGATTTGTGTGTTGTTGTTTTTAAGCATGCAAATCTAAATAAGTAAACAAACAAAAGCCAGAAATGGGTGCCCTGTCAAAGATCTCAGTGCAGGAGATGCTGCCATCTCTCCCCTTCTGCATTTGCACACTGTCCATTTGGAATGTGACTCTGAAGAGCTCTTATAAGCCCTTTGGCCTTAGATACTCCTGCATTGGGGACTCCCTTCTCCTGAGGAAATGTCAGTGGAACGATTTTTGGAATGTCCCAGGCTTCAAGCCGAGCCCAGCCCTGGAATGTGGGTCCAAACGCTGCTTGAATAGCGAAACTCCAGCAGGGCAGTTTCAGAGCCACATGGCAGCTCAGCTGCTCTCTGGTTCAGGCTTCAAAAATGCTTGGGTGGTTTTTCTTTCTTTTTCTTTTTTTAACTTACCCACTCTGACCTGCAGGGCAGCGCAGCTTTCAGGAGGCTTTCAGCAGGGCTGCAGTGCCATGAGAAACAGGTGTGAGCTTGTTAAAGGACTTCTCATTCACAAAAGGGTTTTGTCACCAGTTGTGACAACTAAAAGTCACCGGGGAAAGCAGGTGGCCGGGGTGGGGTGGGGGTAGGGTTAACTGGGGCAGGCGGCAAGTATCGCAGCCAAAAGGACCTTGTTCTCAGCTAGTGGCTGTTGTCTGGCTGGCACCAGCCTCTGATCTCCTGAATACACAACCTCTGCGTGAGCTTGTTATTTGTTGTCCCCCGGCAAAGGCAGAATGCAAAGAATGATAGGCAGTGAGCTCTTCTGGCAAAATCCACTTGAAAGTATAGAATTACAGAATTGTAGAGTCAGCAGGGACTACGAGGGCCATCTAGTTCAACCCCTGCAATACAGATTGCTCCTAGTCCTCATGATTCCCTCCCACCCTTCAGTTTGTATGTTTTCCTTTCTTAGGGTTCTTAGTTTCCCTTTAACCATAAGGTCCTGGGGCAGTAAAATATGCAATTGTAAAAAGGTCACAACAAGAAAAGCATTACAAAAATTAAAAACAATTCCATATATAAACACAGGTAAAAAATAGTTTGAAAACCAGTTCAGTGGTTACATTGGAACCTGCTGCACAAAGTAGAGAAATAAAAAAATAAGCAATATTGATTATTCAACATAGCAGGCAATTATTGTTTAACTGCAGGTTTGGAGTGAGAGTGGGGGTTGATACCAACAATAATATGCATTTAACATGTAACTTTGAAATTTATAAAACATACAGAAACTTCAAAACAATCAGCTTGATGCCTCAGTGGTATTTGAGTTCTCGAGTGTTGTCTTCTTGCGGTTCAGGAGTGTGGACCTGCAGAAACGTACTGTTGTTAATATTGCTTTCTGGGTATGATAATTGTTTTCATTTATTTATTTGCTACATTCATACTCCAGCTTCAGGTGGTTTTTGTTTTGCTACAGTTGAGTAGCTAGGATCCAGCTTGAAATGGAGGTTCTCCAAAAGGGCGGCTTAGTCAGACAGGCAGAGCGCCTGGAGTTCAAGTAAAACATGCGGCCAAGGCTTAGCCTATTAATAGCCTTCGCTTTAGTGGCGTGTGAACAAAGCAGTGACCTCAGGCTTTATATGACTCTGTGCAAAATCTGTTCAATAAGTCCTAGTGGGAATGTTTTCCTTGCTGTTGTTTCACTCTGGGAAATCTTCAGATTGGCAAGTTGTGACAAGAGAGTTTTTCCTGCTTTGATAACAGGAATAACTCTGAATTTGTTTTTGCCCCCCACCTTCTGCCACCCAGAATACGTTTGCACACAAGCTGTTCTGTCATAAAGTCGAAAAGCAAGCCTGAAAATTACTTTGGAACTCAGTGCTGTAAGAATTGATTATATAAGAAAAGCTGGGTTTTGCAGCCCTTGCATTGCTGAAAGTCCAGAACCTGCAGGGAAGTGGCTATGGGTTCAAATATTCTGCATCCCTCCTTGTCCTCTTTCCTGATTCTTGTGTGTGCCACCATTTCCCTGTATCTGCTTTCCATTCCTCCTACTTTATCATTCTTTGCAAGTTGAGAAAGAAGGTGACTTGCACATAGTTAAAAAGCAGTTATGTTCTGGTGTTTCTTTTTAATGAACACGCCAGCTATCTTTCTCTTATGCTACAATATTCTTACTTTGGCACTCTTGCTTTAAAAAAGCTGACAGAAGTCTTGTAACGTACACTTTTGGCTTCATTCCCTAGACCCCTTTAAAGTCATTGTGTTTTCACATTTGTGTATGCAACTCAACTGAAATTAATCCAGAACTGTGAGGACTCTCTTTTGAGAGAGGAACCGTGTGTGTTTAGACTGTCAGAATGGTACTGAGTCTCCTCAGGGGTTTTGCCTGTTTGTTGCTGAGTTTTTAGAGAGCCATGGCAGCACTGCACATGCACACCCTCCAGCGAATTAAGCCCTGTGGGTCTTGTCACCAATGGGAAGGTAATTTCAGTTTGTTGTGCTGTTGTGACCTGGGTATAATGCCAGCTTTCAAACTTCTACAAAATGGTGCAGGTGAGGTGAGAAGGGAATAAGAGTTCAGAGCTGATGAGCAGAAGTGCAGACACCTGGAAGCAGGTAGTTTGTTCATTTGAGAGCTGCTTGGGCCTTTCATGTACCGGTAATCCTTTAGCAACAGCCAAAGAACGCTTGCCATGTGGCTCTTTGCCTGTGCCAAGAGATGGGGGGGGGGGAGTTGATGCTGTGGCACCAAGATTTTAAGTGCCAACTCAACATCATATTGATCCTGGATCTATGAAATGGATGGCACTGTGTTTTCAGGACAGGGGTGTTTCTGGCCCCCTTGCTGTGATTGGATGGATCGCAATGGGCAAGGAAGGATCTATGTAACCTAACTGCTCCATTCTTCTTTTTGCGTGACCTCTGGCATTATGAGGTTTTTGCAGAAATTGTCTTGTTTCTTTGTAATGAGGAAGGAGAGATTTGTTTGCTGGTGTTTTGTTGTATTTTATGTGAAATGGGTTGTTGAAATGTGCTTACAAGAATTCAGGCCTTTTTTGAATGCTTATAGGATGGCAGTTTTCATTGATTTTTGTTGTATATTTTTGTCATTTCTATGGGCTGCAAACTACCTTGAGGACAGCAATGAAGAAAGCCTGTAATATAAATTGAAAATGAAATGAAATAAGTAGACAGCTGCCTTCTTTCATGTGCATTAGCTATCAAGTGACTGTGGATTTTAATATCATTTTCCTCCTAATTGCCTTACGGTCAAACTAGATGTTTGGCGAAACACTTGGGTGATGGAATCCAGCGCTTTGTGGAACTTCCTAAAAAGTGATGAGGGGAGAAATTGTGGGGGGAGCCGGAAGGTGATGGGTTAAGCACCCCTGCCACCCACCCCCCACTCCAAATGCTATTCCTTTACCCTCGTCCCCTTGCTTTTTAGAAGTTTGTCAAAGACTTAGACTCAAATATCCGAGTCTTTTTGCTGAAAGTTTTGTTTGTCTCTTAGTGAGAGAGCCTGCAGATGATTTAGGGGTTAAAGTTAAAGCAATACATCATACCTGTGCTCATCTGTTTATTTGCTGATAATGAATTACACCCTGAGTGCAGACTTTGCAAGCTGGGATTTCTGTGCATCCCTTGGAGACGAGGCAGCGTTCAGAAACAGTTGGCTGGCCTGAGTCCAGGGATTCCCAGTGGAGTCACAGTGCTCTTCTGAGCAGGCGTGGGGTGGGGGAAGAGATGGCCCTGACACGATTTGGCAAACCGTAGCAGATCTTCAGCCATAATCCAGCTCTGTGTTGGATTACTTTAATCCCTTTGCTCTGCTTGCAGGAGCCCTTCTGCTAAGGGCGCTTTTAAACAAGCCTTTCTATCATGTTGCAGCAATGATGTTGTTTTCCTGCTGTTGAGCACTGGGGATCTCTGCAACGGGAGAAGATGGCAAATGGCACAATGTGGTGATAAAGTGGGTTTGCAAAGGAATGTTTGTTGGGTGCCCGGAGTTCAGTCTTTTTCTTTAAAAATAAAAAATAAACCACAGCCTGGTTGTTAACTTCAAATTATATTTCTTATTTTATTTTAATTATGTATATCCAAACAATTACAAAGAAAAAAATTCCCCCAAAGCAACTCATGAAAATCACAGATATAATAAAAAAGAGGGGGAAAGTTAAGATCTGTCAAATGTCAAAGCCATCACAGCTGCAATGCAAAGGAGACAGCATAAAACTAGGGGAAAGTAATCATTACAAGCCTTGATGGATAAAATGGTTTTCAGCGCTTTTCCAAACACAGGAGGAGATGAGGATTGGTGTACTTTCCCAGATAGAGTATTCCTGAATTGGCGAGCCACTGTCCAAAAATCCCACTCCCTTTAACCTGCCATTCACATTTTTGCTAATGACACATCAGGGAATAAGGTCGCTGATGCTGATCTTGGGACTTAGATTGCTTTCAAATGGGCGGAGGTGATCCTTAAGGTAATATAGTCGTAGGTCAATTAGGTCAGTAAAGGTTAATCAAGTAGCAGCCGACCTGTGACCCTCCAGATGTTGGATTCAAACTCCAGTCACCCCAGCTAGCATATTCAGTGATTAGGGAAGATGGGAGTTGTAGCCCAACAACATGTGGAAGATCACAGGTTAGCCGCTTCTGGGTGGAAACCAGCAGTTCATACTGAACCCGGAAACAAACTGGTAAGCAAAGTAATTGGTATAGGCTCGATATAGTCTGTGCTAATGGTCTTACTCTTGCCTATGGCCACATTTTGAACCCATCGCAGTTTCCAAACTCTTCTAAAGGCAGCCCCACATGAGAGCATTGCAGTAAGTCTAGCCAGGATCTAACCAACACCTAAGTGATTGATACCAGATCTGCTTTCTCCAGCGTGAAGCTGATAAAAGGCATTTTAACTATCAATGGCACCTGGGCATCCAGAAACAATGTGGTGTCTAGGATAAACCCCAGACTTCAAACTTGATCCTCCAGGGCAGTGCTATTATTCTAGAAAAAGAGGTGCCAGAACTCACCCTGAATGCCTCCCTTGTTCTCTCTGAGAGGTGCCAGAACTGAGTTCCAGTGGGTTCTGGCTGGGGGGAAAAGCCCTGCTTCAGGGGGAAGTGCAGCCTGACCTGGAAGAAGCTGCATACCTCCACCCAGATCAGCAGAATGCCCAACTACCAGAGCCTCTGTCTTGCCTGGATTGTTTCGGTTAGTTTGCCCTTATCAGAATCAAAACTGCCTGCAGACACTGGTTCAAAGTTTCCACCATCTCCCTAGGATCATCTGATAGAAATGAGAAGGATGGCTGAGTGTCATCAGTGCGCTGATATGTCAACCCAAACCTCTGCGTGACCTCATCCGGCAGTTTTGTGTAGATGGTGAAGAAGATGGCAGTTTTGTGTAGATGGTCTGTGCCTAAAGAATATTTCTGAAAATATGCACAAATGTTTTATATGTTTTCGTTACTCCTTTTTGGTCTTTTAAAAAAGAAAAATTTTACAGGAGGAAAGGAGACCACAAGTGGAAGCATGACAATGGATTTAATTGCTGCATTAACTAAAGAAATCCTATCCCTTAACTGTGAAGGTTTCCCACTAATCCTTGTTGCTTTCTAAGCCTTTGGCAGATACTACTGATGTGTGCCAAGTGATTTCTTTATCTAGGGGACCTTGAGCACACATAATCTCGACCATATCTCACAGGGTTATTAAGAGGATAAAATGGGACATATCTGTGTATAAAATACCTGAAAAGGATGCAGGTATGATCAAAGTATTCTTTTGGTGTGGCCCAGTTATCCCTGGTTTCCCTGCCTATCAAATTCTACTGATGCCAGAGTTCCTTTCCTGTAAAGTGCTGGGGACCTCAGAATAGGCTTGCAGGTTAATGGGATGATCCAATAAAATGTTTGTGTCATTCTTCCTCTGGGCCTTGGAGTGCATAGAGCAGCCTCCAGCCTTGCCCCAGCAGACAGTTGGTTTCAGGAAACAAGTGAGGTGGGAGTCAGTGAGCCCTCAACTTGAGAGAGAGAAAGAGGAAGCTGTTTCATGTTTCCTTTGCTTCAAGTCAAGTGCATTTGTTCATTGCCTTTGAATAAGGCAGCCTAGGTTGGTCAACAGGGTCCAAAAATAGGCGTGTGGAACTTTCCCCGTTTTATTTTGTGATGTTATGTAGAGAACTACCCTGAGACCTGCAAGTATAGGACGGTATACAGATTTAAAACAAAAAAAAATATAATTATGCACAACTAACATACATAACTAAGGCAGGGGTGGGGAACCTGTGGTGCTCTAGATCAGCATTTCCCAACCTTGGGCCTCCAGCTGTTTTTGGACTACAACTCCCATAATCCTCAGCTAGCAAGACCAGTGGTGGGAATTGTAGTTCGAAAACAGCTGGAGGCCCAAGGTTGGGAAACACTGCTCTAGATGTTGTGGTGCCCCAGCCCGGATGACCAAAGGGCAGAGAAGATGGGGGGGATGTAGTCCATCAAAATCTGGAGAGCCACAGGTGCTCCACCCCTGTACCCAAGCTATGAGCAAACCTTTGGACTGTCTATTGAAATATTCACTTAATGGAGGCATGGACAAGGGTCGTTACTTTCATGTGTTGACTGGGAGGGGAGGAGAACTCTTTTTAACCACCAGTCCTTCATCCCTTAACATGAGGGAAGGGCCCTTCCCCCATACACACACACTGGGGATGGAGAACTTGTGGCCCTCCAGATGCTGACCGACATGGTCATTGGCTGTGCTGACTGGGGCTGATGAGAGTCGGAAATTTATCCCCATCTGGAGGACTATGGGTTCCCCATTCCAACACATCTGTGTTAAGTGATCTTGAGTATATCTTCATAGCTGAGTCAAGTCCAGAATGCTTTGTGAGAAGCAAGCAGGCATTATTGGGCAACTCATCAGAAATGTGGCTAATGGTCATCGGTTCCCCCTTCTTTCCAACCTGCTCTGAGGCATCAGCTCAGCTCCTGCAGGGCACCAGCTTGGCTTGCTGCTCTTCTGGAATGGAGAATGTGACGTAGAATATTCCTAGCCCCCCCTCGGGTGCCTTCACTTCACAGTAACAAGTTTATTACTAACAGACAAGCTGTGTTTCAGGGCAGCGTGTTTTCCAAGCTGTGATCTTCCCTTTGAGGAAAGCCCTGAAAAGTTCTAGGGAAACCTCAAACATTCCCAGAAATACAGTTGGAAAGGCACTGTTGAAGAGTGCAAGAAACACTCCAGTCAAACACTCTAAACGGCAAGTGTTTTGACGCTGCAAACAGCCTGATTCAGCAGTTCCTTAACTTTCATCTTCAGAAGCTGTACCATACACACACTGCCTTCTCCCCCACCTCAGTTTGATTCACTGTCCAAGCTTAGCGGTTTTAAGCTAACCTTGGAGGATGTGAGGCTGCCTTGTTCTCTGTTGCCAACCAGAAAAAGCCCATAGGAAGCTGCCTTATCCAAGAGCGTTTGGTCCAACTAGTGCAGTGTTATCTAGACACTGACTGGCAGGGGCTCTCCAAGGTTGCAGGCAGGGACTCTCACATCCCTACCTGGAAAGGCCAGGGGTTGAACATGGGACCTTCTGTCTGCAGAGCAACTAGCCTATCATTGAGCTACAGCCCTTCCCAGCATAGGGAGCTGCATTTTAATGTATCAGACCAGTGGTCAATCTTGCTCAGTGTTGTCAACACTGGCAGTGACTCTCCAGGGTTTCAAGCAAGATTCTTTCCCAGTCCAATCTAGGGAGGCCAGGGATTGAACCTGGGACCTTCTGCCTGCAAAGATGCTCTGCCTCTGAGCTACAGCCCTTCCCCAGCTGAGACTCTTGACTCCTTCAATCCATCAAAGTTACTGGGGAAGGGTGGAGGTTGCCATCTGTTGCTCTATGCAGCCGACGCACCTGTTTGCCTTTTTGACAGAAGCAGAAAAGAGAACAAAGCCAGAGGCCAAATATAGATACAGATAGATCGATATAGCTGTATGCATGCACAGGCACAAACATATGTGTGTGTGTGTGTGTGTGTGTGTGTGTGTGTGTGTCTGTGTCTTCCCCTGCACATTTTGTCTTCCCCTGCACAAGTCCAAACCTAAACCAAATGGATGTGTAAGCAAGTTGAGGGGAAAGTGAGCCTTTGCCAAAACAAGAAACCAAAACAAAAAACCCCAAACTCCCCAAGAAAACACAACGTGCTCTGTTGCCCTGAATTAGAAAGTCTTAACCTCATCCTGTTTGCATCAACAAAACAAACACTTTACCCTTCATCAGCCCCATGATCTCTTTGAGGCTGGCTGTGTTCATACCCATTGCCCCAGGTTGTGAAGTCTCCATCCAAAAATCTGCTGGAGGAGAAGAGTGAGAAGAAGCTCACCCACACAGTTCACATCCGACATGGAGGAGCAGCAGCTTCCTCGCTCACCTTCTGCGCCATGTGTGCGCTGACTTTTCTGCTGACCTCATGCAGCTGCAGACACACTGATGTGCACAGCCGGACTGGCTTGCCCTTGACGCAGCTTGGCACACAGGCACTGATGTTTGCTGTGGGGAATGCGCAGGTATGTTCTCTAAGGATCTGAAGGGCACACAAGGGACATGTCCCAGTCCTGATGGTCTGGATCATCCTAGCACATTTGGAACAGAGGAAACTGCTGTACCGAGTCAGGCTATTTTTCCAACTAGTTCAGTACACTACACTGACTGGTAACTAATAAATTATTATTATTATTATTATTATTATTATTATTATTACCCCGCCCATTTGGCTGGGTTTCCCCAGGATTCTCTCCAGGGTTTCAGGCAGCAGTCTCTCCCAGCTCTTCCTGGAGAACAGGAACCTGCAATCTTCTGCATGAAAAGCACCAGGATATGAAGAATTTTGACAGTGGGGAATAGGAGAAAAGAGGGAGAGGAAATTGCCCAGAGCCTCCCAGTGACTTTTGGTCATGGATGTGAACCTGAGTTTCCCTATACTGAATTGCTACAATTGGGGTTGGCATGGCTGAGTGAAAACAGGCCACAAAGCGTTCCCTAGACCTTCTCCAGCTCCCTTGCTTGCTTGCCTGACCTCTCTGGTCCAGAAGGGGTGAGCAACTGAATAATGGTGGCAGCTGTCATCACCTGCCTGCCTGCCAGCTATGTGGCCAGAGAGCAGGTTCTGGCATTGATGAAAAGGAGGCACAGCAGCAACAGCTGGTGACAGCAGCAGTGAGGAGGGATGGTCCAACCAAGGCAGGCAGCTCACACTGAGAATGGGTGTCTTACCCAAGAGCTCCCAAAACCTGGCAACAACCAGATATTACTAAATTACAGTTCCCATCATCCTTGGTCACTGGTCATGCTGGCTTGGCCTGATGGGAGTTGGAGTCCAACAACACCTGGATCCCCATCCCTGATCTTGCACTTGCACTGCACAGATCTTTTCAAACGCTCAGATTAAAAATAAATACAAATGAGACGGCTATTTTCTGGCCCTTTAAGAAACCTATATGGAAGTTTCCCATAAACAAATATGAAAGGGTATGTGTATATATATAATCGTTTGACAAAACCTAGAGCACCAGGAGGTTTTTCTCTTGATGGGCAAGGAAACTGCACAGCTTCATTAGTTTCCTCCTACACCAAAGTATCTCCAACCACATCTTCTGCCACCCACGCCAGCGTGGCTGTCAACATTCAACTTGATTGACTTTAAAAGGTCATCGTCTTTTAAGATCTTTGCACATGCATGCACATGTTCTTGCGCTTAAACCAAAATAGACTTTCTGAACAAGTGAAGCAGCCACAACTGTCAGATGTGCAAAACAGCTTCCGTCTATCTTAAGTTGGCCCATCTTAGTGAAGCTGGCCCACCTTTAAAACAATACAAAAATGCAAAACTTGGTGTGGGCCCTGTTGGGTATTTGAGGCTTAAACCCCTGGTCCAAAGATCTAGTCCCAGCTCCAGTGACAAGGGCTTGCACAGTGTTAGCCAAGTGCTGTATTCCTAAACCCAGGTGGGATGGTTGGCTGTAGGCCCTTCCAAAGACTGGTGTTGTTGTTGTCATAGACACAATAACAGTGCATCAGTGGTGGATTTATACTGGAACGTCCACAGATCATCCCAATTTATTGGTTCTTCTGCAAAGGCCCATCTGGTCCAGCATCCTGTTCTCACAGCAGCCAACCAGATATGCATGGGAAGCTCATAAGCAGGAGAGGAGCACAACAGCTGGTATTCAGGGCGCATGCTGCCTCTGATCCTGGTAGCCATTGACAGCCTTGATTTCCACAGAACTTCTCTCCGGAAGTTCTTCTGCTCACTAGAGGTGTTGCCCATCTCAGCGTACCCACCACCATACCCCCTTCAGCACAAAGTCCAGTATCTCCATCTCACACAACTCACGGAATATATATTATTTCCCCTAAGTTATGAAACTAAGGCCAACATCTTCATTCTCTGCTTGTGAATATTACTGGTGATGATTTGAAACTCTGCCGGTTTCAGAACCAGGGAGATATTTTCCAGACACAGAGATAAGCAGACAAGTTCTATGCCTGCCCTGACAAGCTTAGACTCTAAACAGAGTGAAACTAGGGAAACAAGATTGCTTAGTCAAGGAGACCTTCCCTGTTTTCTCTGGCCTACTTTGCCCCCCGCCCTCTTAAACTCACCCTGCTTTATTTTAGTAAACATACAAAGACAATAAAGAGGTATATATATACACCAAGAACAAGCGGGCAGCATCACCGTGTCACCTATACTGCTTTGCAGGGAGTTGGACTAAATGTCACTAGATGAGTCCTTTCCAACTCTACAAATCTGATTTGATGATACGACCTGCCTTATCACAGTCCAGAGCACTTCCTTGGTGCTCCTACATTGTCATCTGAGTGCTTCTGGAGCACTCAGTTATTGCTGTCAGGAATCATTGCAGATTGGAGCTGTACTTAGAAGTCATCAGAGCACTTAGCTATTAGACCACAATTTGGGAACCCCTGCATTATAAGAGGGCATTCTCTGTGTATGGTGGCAGTGGGCTTATGAAGGGTGTTTTTAGCCCACATGAATTATTTAATAAAGACAATAAATAAAGTGCTTATTTAAGTTCTTTTTGATATTAAATATCATCTTCAATGGTCAGGGATGGTGTGAGTTGTAGTCCAACAACATCTGGAAGGCCAATGTTTTCCCATTCCTGCATTAAGATGTGGCCTAGGAAGACCTGGGTTCAAATCCCTGTTCATCAGTGAAGTTTTCAAGGTAACCTGGGGCCACTCGCAACCTCTCAGCCTGGCATGGAATAATCCCATTGCAGAACCCTGAGCTGCTTTGCTGATGGGCTGGATGCAAAAATGACAATGTATTGCATGTGCAGCCAATGTGATTCCCTTTGAATGTTAGACTCACTTGCACTCAACCTCCAACCTTTCCTCTTACATCAGCAGAGCCACCTCCTAGAAGAATATTGTGGCCCTCCAGAAGCTGCCAGGCTGCAACACCCCATCATCTCTGATCACTGGACATGCTGGTTAGGCCTGAAAGGAGTTGGAGTCCAGCAGCACTTGGACTCTCCCTGGTGAACATTCAGCACTCACAGAGAATTCTAGTACAGTGGTACCTCAGGTTACATACGCTTCAGGTTAAAGACTCCGCTAACCCAGAAATAGTGCTTCAGGTTAAGAACTTTGCTTCAGGATGAGAACAGAAATCAGGCTCCAGCGGCGCGGCAGCAGCAGGAGGCCCCATTAGCTAAAGTGGTGCTTCAGGTTAAGAACAGTTTCAGGTTAAGTACAGACCTCTGGAACGAATTAAGTACTTAACCTGAGGTACCACTGTATGTTGCACTCAAGATGCAGTTAGTCCAGCCCTGCATGATGTTCCCCTGAGGAGGTGCATACAGAGGGAAGGATGGGGCAGAGCCAGGTTCAGAGGCAATACATCTCTCTCATTGATTGACTAGTATTTATTTATACACCTCTTAATGCCAAAATACACTTCTAAGCATTTTTCAAGTACAAAAGCCAACTACACTAGCCTTTTTATTTTCTGTGATTCCTGTATTGCAGGGGGTGGGATTTGATGTCTCTTTGCTTCCCTTCCAGCTCTACAGTTCTATGATTCTATAGGCAACAACAGTAGGAGGCTACTCTCCACCTGCCCTGATTGCAAGCATTTTCTTAACCTTTGTAGAAAACTTGATGGCCAGGCAGGCCTTTCATCTGATTCACAAGGCTTCTTCTTATGTTCTTGTTTTTTGTTTAAGGAACATAGGAAGCTGGCTCAGTCTGCCTCGCTCAGTATTGTCTGCACTGACTGGCAGCAGCTCCCCAGGCTTTCAGACCGGGGTTTCTCCAAGCCCTACCTGGATTTCCTGGGGAAAGAACCTGGGCTATGGCCCTTCCCCTACCACGTGAATCATCTTCTAGAAGGGTCCATTTATTCCTGTGCAAAAAGATGGCATGGAAGCTTGCTGAGGTCTCCAGATGGCACAGAGACATGTGGTCAGAAAGCAAATACCACTGGCTAGGAACAAGGAACATCAAGCAAGGGAAGAGTACATATTGATCTATTTCATCCATGAAACTTTTTTTTTAATGCAGAACGACAGGAAACTAACTTTGAGCAAAGAGGCCAAGTCATCTGTTGAGCCACACACCATAATTACCTGGAAGTAAGTAGCCCAGTTCTATGCTCCCTGTTTATTCACCATTTTTCTGGGTGCATTTGCCACAAACTGAAGTCACAGGCCACTGCTGGTGCATGCCAAAGATGCATAAAACACCCTGATTTCTGACTGGATGCCTTGTTGAACAGAGTGGATGTGTTTATCTGAAATGAAAGGCCTTATTTGGCAGCTGATCTTGACAGTTCATAGACAGGTAACGCAGCCTTCTCCAACCTGGTGCCCTCTGGCTGTTTTGGACTATGACTACCGTCAACCCCAGCCAGCACAGCTGTAGTCCAAAACAGCCAAGGTGGAGGTATTAGTTTAGAGAAGGGTGCAGTAGTCCTATATGGCTAAAATATAGGGGGAGCCTGCAAATATGGAAATAATAGCTCAGTGGTACGGCATCTGTTTTGCATGCAGAAGGTCCCAGGTTCTACCCCCTGCATCTCCACGTAGGGCTAGGAGAGACCTTGTCTGAAATCCTGGAGATCTTTGTATTGTATTGAGCTAGATGGACCGGTGAAGGCTGGTCCCCTAGGGCAAGAGGAGCATTGCCCCACTATCTTCAGCCTGCTCCCCTCCAGTCCCCACCTGTTTGCTTCTTACATCCAATCCATGGGTGGTACTGCCTGTCAGCTTCCTCCTCCTTAGTCTCTGTGTTGCCTTTGTACTGCAACTCAGAGGGGGGAATTGGATGAGGGAATGGAATTAGTCAGTCCTGCCTGTCATTGGCTCTGCCTCCTGCTTGGTATCCTGGCCTTCCCCTCTACCAGTCTCAGAGGACGACAGCCACCACTGAGATGGAGCAAGGGTCTGAGTCAGGATAAGCCCGTTTCCAAAGCTCTGTTTTGAGGACGGGAGGAAGCAGAGGTTGCGAGGTATAAGAGGGAGGGAGGTTTGTTTACTGTGGGTGGTATTCAGTGCTAGTCCTACTCAGAGTCAACCTGCTGCAGTTAATGGACATAACGGGTTCAATAATTTCAGTGGGTCTACTCTGCATAGGATTTTGTTGAATACAACCCACTGGGCCTTGCAACTAACATGGTTGTGAACTGACTATTGATATCATTCTTGGGCACCACTGCTTCAGGCAAGAGCCACCGCCTTTCCCCCAATGCTGCTTCTATGCCTTTAGCAGAGTTTCTTCCAGAAGTCTCCTTTCAGGTGCAATTCAAAGCAGAGATTTAATTGCATCTTTTGGAAGTCTGACTGAGCATCTTTATCTAGATGGAAAACCCATCTCTCTCTCTCACACACACACACACACACACACGAGAACAACCTTCCCCAACCTACGATCCTCCAGATGTTTTGGATTACAATCTCCATCCCATCTGTAGCTGAAAACATCAGGAGGGCACCCGGTTGGTGAAAGATAGTGTAAAGCTCTTTTCCTAAAGCTCATTGATTGTCATCTGTTCCGAAGCTGAAGTTGCTTATGCCGTTAGTTACATTTGAGACAATCTGGGAAACTCTCTAACTGGGGGAAAGCCCTTCCTTCTTTAGCAGCAGAGAGAAATCCAGTACTTGCTTACTTTGTCTCAGGGCATTAATAGCTATGGTAACAAACTGGCAATGATGGCAACCTTATCCCAGTTACTAGAGTAACAGGAGCCAACATGAAGAGAAACATTCTTTTTTGTTTTTTGTTCTCCTTTATTATTATCTGTTGCTGAATGTATTTGCCATCGAAACTGTCTTGGTTTCTTCCCGTAAAATTGATGCCTTTGCATTGTGAGTTTGCATCTAACAGGATCCTGACCGAATGCATGTAGCTGGGGTGCAGCCCCTTACCTGCTTTGATATTCCTTGCTGGCAGCACCACCTGGCTCAGCAGAAAGGATGTCAACAGCAGCCATCTTTATGGAGCAGGCTGAGCCAGAAGGGAAGAAAGGGCAGAGCAGCACAAGAACACAAGACAAGCCTTCTGGATCAGGCCAGTGGCCCATCTAGTCCAGCATCCTGTTCTCACACTGGTCAGCCTGATGTCTGTGGGAAGCCTATAAGCTAGACATGAGCACAACAGCGCTCTGCTCACCTGCAGTTCCCAGCAACTGGTATTCAGAGTCATGATGCCTCTGACAGTGGCTAGCAGCTGTTTATAGCCTTGTCCTCCATGTCTCATCCCCTTTTAAAGCCATTTAGGTTGGTGACTATCACTGCCTCCTGTGGGAGTGAGTTCCATAGTTTAATTATGTGCCATGAGAAGCGAACCCTGGATCTCTATAGATAATACCCACATACCTATGTAGATAATAAATAATACAGCCTTGGTGGTCTGGGTGATATTATTCCCAGGTGTGGTATTCAACTAAGTTTTACTCAGAGTAGACCCATTAATTTCAGTGCCTCTGCTCTGAACAAAACATAATTGACTACTGCCCTAAGAAGCCATAAATATCTCATTCATTGTTTTGGGCTCTGGAAGAGCTTTCCTCTGTTAGCTATTCTTGGCAGGGCCTGACCATGCACATGTAATCTAATTAATGCCGTGTTCCAATTCAGTGGCTGATTCAGCCAGTGAAGCATCAGCTGAGCTTTGCAGCAAAGGCAGGGCTGTCTGTCTCTGCTGTTCAAAGGCAGACAAGCCTCACCATTTGGTTCGGATCCTTGCGCAATCCCTGCCCCTTGCTTTCTCTTTAATCTGCCTCTCACTGTGCAGTTCCATGCATGTCTACTCATAAGTAAGACCTACTCAGTTCAATGGGGTAAACGGATATAGATCTGCAGCCTAGTAATAAACACACTTACTAACTCCCACTGAGTATTTTAGGATATGTGCCATATAATTGGGGCTGAACAAATGCCAGAAGTTTGGTTTCTAGTTTCTGCAGGCAGCAATTATTTGTGACTAAACAAGTCATTCTGCTGAAATGCCAACTCTATTGGGCCTCCTCCCCCTCCACTGGTAGAGGCCACTCCAGCAGGCTGGCTCAGTGGGAAAGATGGAAAGCAGGGCCCAAGAACTACTATTTAACTTTTAAGAACTGTCACACAAGTTTGCTTTTCCTTTTGCCCTCTTCCCTCCTGGTCCTGTTTTCCTTGTATGTTGTGTCTTTTAGATGGTAAGCCTACAGGCAGGAACTGCCTTGTTTAACCTGACTGCATGTAAGCCTCTTTGGGAGTCTCTTTGGCTGAAGAGCACGTACAAATCCTCAAAGTAAACAAATTCACCTGGCTATCCTGAAAGGTGGACTTGAGGTTTGATTGCCTTGGCTGTGAAAGAGACAATGATCTATCTTAAGCAAGCCTGGAAAAATTTCAAAATATTTGGCAGGAATTTCTTGAGCTATTTTAATAATGCTGGTAGTTTCCTAAGAAAATGTCCAATGACTGTTTTCACGTTTCTGCAGTTGAGGCTGCCCTCTCCCTTTTCTCTTTTCCCCCTTGTGTTTTTGATATGTGTGTTTCTACCACATCTTCACTTATTCTTATTCTCATCCAAAATTGCCATTAATTTGGAGGAGGATGAGATGGAGGGCTTATAGAGAGGGAAGTGAAGGTAGAAAGAGGGTGGATTTCATTGTGGGCTGTGGGTGAAGGGGGAAAAAGTGGCTATTGTGGCTTGCTTCAGAACTTTATTATTTAGTGAAGTGTGTGTGCATGCCTTTGCAATCCTGTGTGTTTTTCTATATAAGCTTATAGTAATATGGCAGCTGTGCCACCTCTGGAATTACAAAAATGGAAGCCCTAAGCTGACAAAAAAAAAGAAAGAATATTAGCAGTTATCAAAGTGTGTGTGTTTGTGTGATTATTACATAAGTCTGAACTAAAAGTGTTCAACAATCTTAAAAGTGTGGAACCCGCTAACACAAGATGTAGCGATGTCCACCAACTTGCATGGCTTTTAAGAGAGAATTAGACAAATTCATGACGGAATAAGGCTAGAAATGGTTACCAGCCATGGTGTCTTGTGTTCTACTTCCCCCGTGTTGAGAGGCGACGTGCTCCTGAATACCAGAATGCAGGGAATCACAAGTGCGAAGACAATGCTATACTCTGGCCCTGCTTGTGAACTTCCCATAATGGGCATCTGGTTGAGATCTGTGAGTACAGGATACTGGACTAAATGGACTTTTAACATTACCCAGCAGGACTCTTCCTGTGTTCTTAGCTATTATTTTGGAAGTTAAGTTGCTTTGAAATGAATGGAGCAAGATAGGTGTTGCCTGCCCTCTGGTCTGAAGAGCTTTCCTTCCTTCTGACCATCACCACAGCTGCTGGCAAACTGCTATAGAGGAGGAAAATATCCCTTCCCTGATTTTATTTATTTGCTTGTTTTAGCTGTCCAAGCACTGCATCTCCCAACCCCCTTCCTCCTCTACTTCCAGCCTCTGAAGCCCCAGGAGGGAAGCGGGCTGTTCTCACAATATTCCAGCTGGGATCAGAACGAGATGCTAATGCCAGCAATCTCTCACAAACAAGCCTCGTTCTCTCAGAAGCCTCCCAGGCTGACATTTCTCGCCCAAGAAACCCAGCTCCTTAAGATGAACAGTCAGACCTCCGAAAGCAACTCTGAATTCAGGCCAGTTCTCATATATCCAACAGTTGCAGTTGCACACTAAGCTAGGAGCTTTCTGGCTATCATAAAATATTTGAGGCCTGGCTGCTTGTTTGGCTTTATTTCATTTTCGCAGGTATGCTGCTGTGGTATGATGCCCTCGCCCTCACAAATCTGTAATTTAAATTGTCATGTGTGTAGACACAGTTCTTAAAGGTTCTTTCGGGAGGCATTGTGCTTTTCTTCACTGAAGTTTCAACACATACTTTCCATCTATCCACTGATGTGTATCGCGCTTTCCCCTCACCAATACGATCCTTTGATGAGACTTTTCTCTTTACTGCTCTGGAAAGACGGTCTCAATATTTGCTAAGACACAATAACACACATACACACAAGACCCATTGGCTATAATTTAGGAGTCATCTTCCCTTTGTTCTCTGCAGCAAACGCTTCTGTTTGTTCTCTAGTATTGGTGCCTCTTCCAGTTTCACTCTCAATCAGCCCTCTCATGTTTTCTTTAAAGGGCATCCCAGGAGGACAGCAAACAGTCCCCTTAGCTTCAGTATATACCCTTGAGCAAGCCGTTTGAGGTAACCAAGATGGTTGTTGGCTTCTCTGTAAACTTCAGGTTGCATTTCCTTGCCTAGAGATCTGCAGCGGAGACTCTGCTGGAATTTGCACCACCCTCTGAAGTCCATGGGGTAGCAGTGCATGAAATAGCCTCCTCTGGGGCAGCTCCCAGGTAGTGCAAAGCCCTCCCTTCTGAGGTGCATCTGTAAATGTAACCACATCACTATAAATATTTTGATGTGTGGTCAAGATGCACCCTTTTCCCACAAGCCTTTGTTTGTGGAGGACAAAATCAGAATATCCCTCCCACCACAGAGTTGCTGCTGTCTCTGATTGCTATTTGATTCAGTTCAATTCATAATCTGGTGATGTATTAC